AGGCACAGCCCTTCAGTTGTTCACAAATTTGATAGCTGAGATGTATAGACTGTGCATCCAAAACCTCTAGTGTTACAAGAGAAGAGATGCTTGCTAAACACTCATAGGGCTCAAGGTTGTGGACTGAGAAAACAGCCGATTTACCCTGAAGTTAACAAAGCTTAAGCTCCAGGAACTCTAACTTGTACAAGCCACTTCCAAGGCCCAGAGAGGGACTCCAGGGAAGTTTTTACATGACTATGTTTTTGCAAACTACATTTTCAAACTAAATTTCAAAACTAAGATATTTTAACCACAGTCTAGACTGCTGTCCCTTTCCACTGTAATTTCCTGCACGAAGTGTTTTGAGATGTAGACTATGAAGTAGCTGAGTGTTATGGAATATATTTACATGGTCTGCAGTCATTTTTCTACCAGGTTGAACTATTGCTCACCATCTCAGGATAGGAAGACTTTAGGGATACTCCGACTGTCCATACTGTCAACGTTCCCAGTCTTAGACCAGAAGTTGAATGCATTAGATAATAACCGGCCCCATAAGTACATGTGCAGTGGTGGACAAGATGTGCAATGTACAGATCCCAAAGCTCATCTGTAGAGATACTTCCCAGTCTTCAGACATGTATTGTAACAGGATGCTTCATGGATGCCTAGTCAAAACGGGAGTTCTGCCTTGTCAGAAATATATACTCATGTAATCCCCTGAATCATACAGCTCAAATATAAAACAAACATGGTAGAGATTTTCTCAAACTTGGCAACAATCCTAAAAACTTACATGACAGAACCAATCAAAACTTTTAAACTATCAATAACAAAAAACTTAATTCCATCGCATGCTTTCTGCTGTCACCCTCTCTGTGCCCCCCTCTCCCCAGTCTGCTTTATGTGCTCCTTTTCCAATCTGTTAAATGTAGATGTTAGTTCTGTCCCACTTACCCAGTCACCCTTTTCTCCTGATTCTATACTTCCAAGTAATCTCATCTAATCCTGAGACTCCACCTAAAGGCTTTTTAAAGTCCAAACGAAAATGACCATCCTTAATCTATTTCAATGACCAAAGGGATCACGAATCCAACAGATCCTAAACTGAATCTTTCTCTCAGCCACTTAACCAAACTTTCTACTTCCACATATAGTATCACCCAATGTGGTCTGTATTTCAGTGAGTGAAAGCACTGCCCTAGGGGAAAAAAATCTGAGCATGACCCTTCTCCCTTCTGCTTCTCAACTTGCTTCCCAACCCACATTCAGTCCACACAGGATCCCCAAATTGTACAAGTCAGGAAGCATTCACATTATGTTCCAGAGATGCCATTCACACATACCACAATGTAAAGGGTGCTCCATGGAGTTAAGCCCTGAATGTGGGGGCCCTGCATCCACCACCAAATCTTGCCCATTCTACTTTCCAAATATTTCTCTATTCTGGTCACTTCTCTCCATCCTCATGGCTAGTATACTCTTGTTCAGGATACCATAATCTCTTGCCTTAGGTACCCCAAAAGTCCTCTAACAAGTTCCCTTGCCTCTAATGTTCCCATGCAACAATGTTCTTCCCACAGTAGCCAAAGTAAATTTTATTAAATACAAATTTGAGAATCACTCTCCTATATAAACTATCACTAGTTTTGCAGTACCCTCTAGGATGAAGTTCAAATGTCCTCTAGAATCTCAGCCCTCCTTTCTTGAGCTTCATTTCTTCCCACTATCCAGTTCCCCACTCTATGCTAGAAATTAAATTTTCTCAAACTTGTCTTGTCTTTTGCATCTGCTATTCCCGTATTTCCCATGATCCTTTGATATTACCTGTTTAGCATTTATTACACTGTATCTCTTTATTTGTACCCCCTCATCCCACCTCCCACTTCCCTATAAGCTTTGTCAGGAAAGAATCCATGTTTACTCTGTTCATTTTTGTATTTCCAGTGCCTAGCAGTGCCTGAATTATATGTAGACTCAACAAATATTTGTTAAATTAATTAAATGAATGAATCAAACAAGTTTCATTAACATTAAATTTTTAATGTTTCTTTAAACAGAACTCAAAGGTCAAACATTAAAAAAGAATTGTAGAGGCGTTGGGGGGTGATAAAAAAAAAAAAGAATTGTAAAAAGGTAAAATGAGCCTTGGTACTGTGTTCAGAAATGCCTTCTATTGACAGAGACAATGGATTCATGGGTTGGAAGTAAAATTTTTTTCAAATGTATTAGGACAAACTGTCAAAATGGTGAGGACTTGGGTATACCCCATCAATTTATTAAATTTAGTGTAACTAAAACAAGAGTGGGAGGCAACTAATAAACAATGGGCATGGTGCTTCTGCCAAAAAATACAAGAATAATTATGATTTAAATGTTGCTATCAAGTTACAAGATACAATTAATAGTAAATAACTACATTTCCAGAAAGAAACCACTTGAGAAACTACTGCTTTTGTACCTTTAAGGCAATATTACTGTTATTAATAAAAATGAGCACTAGACAGGAACTAACATGCTAACACTTATTATAATAGCACATTTAACCTTTCTAAAAACCTCTGAGGTAGGCATTTATTAATATTCTATTTTATATGAGAAGAAACTGAAGCTTAACAAGGCTGAAGACTATGTCCAAATTCACAAGCTAGTTGAGTGCAATAGGTTGTATACTCAGGTTATTTGACTCAAAAAGGACTCTATTAACCACTATGCTATTTTGCAATGATGCAACAATATGACAGCCTCTAAAGACTGTTCTTTATTCTAATCACTTTTAGGAAAGGATGGTAATTATAATAATGATAGTAACAACAGTAGCTTACTATAATATCCAGCTCTGCTCCAAACACAAAATGTGTACATTCCCTCAATCCTCACTTATACCCATTCTACAGATTTCAAAAACAAAGCATAGAAAAGTAAATGGTCTAAGGCCCTAAAGCCAGATAGAAGCAGAATTCAAACTCAAGAAGTCTGACTCCACAGCCTCTGGTCTTAAATCACTACATAAAAATGTCTCTGGGGAGAAATCAGGCTGACATTAGAAAATTTTTTAAATTCAAATTCTACAGTAAATCTTGTGATCTGTACTTCTTCAGTTAACAGTCTCTATCCAGGTAATACAACATAAAAACTGCAGCTGGGAGTAGTTCAAATAGCTCTACATTAAAAGAATACAGCATGTTCTGAACCATTTTAGTCCACTTTTAGCTCTATAATCATGCAAAGAACATTTACCTTCTCAGCCTCCTTTTCTTACTTTAAGAATGAAAATAACATTACCTGCCCTGACTACCTCGTAGTTTCTTCGAAGGATCATACCTTAGTCCATTCAGGTTACTATAATAAAATATCAAACTAGGAAGCTTGTAATAATAAAACAAAAATTTGTTTCTTACAGTTCTGGAGGCTGGGGAGTCCAAGATGACGCCAGTAGATTCTGGCCTCTGGTGTCTGGTGAAGGCCCACCTTCTAGTTCATAGATGACGCCTTCTTATGTGTACTTACATGGTAGAATTGGTGAACAAGCTCTCTGGGGCCTCTTTTACAAGGGCCTGCCCTCCTGACCTTATCACTTGCCAAAGGCTCCACCTTTGAAGATCATCACCTTCAGGGTTAGGATTTCAACATATGAATTTGTGGGGGACGTAAACATTCAGATAATAACAAATAAAAAACCAAATTCCATTACCTGTTTATATACCATAATACACTTAGCAATGTTATAGTAATGTTAATAAAGTTAGTAATAAAGTTAATAAGCTTTATCTTAAGTGTATTGTAAAGCATTCAAATTATCCAAATTACAAACATATCTCAATAATTTATACCATAACCTAAAGAAAATCTTTGTAAATAAATTATGATTATTTCTCAAACAATTCATAAGAATAGTAATATGTATAATGGCCATAAATATTAACAACATTTTATAAAGTTGTAAACTGTCTTATTTAGGCTGATAATAATTATAGAATGGTGTCCTAATATTTTTTAACAACTTGATGGTCTCTAAAATTATACTGGTTTTACCAGTGTTTACATCATGCCCAAACTTTGCTAGGCTGCTACTTTAAACATTTACCTAATGTGATTCTTGTGTCAAATTCAATTAAATTTTATAAATGAGCACCTATGTGCAAAGGTTTGTACTAGGTACTATGCAGAGTTCCAGCCCTACTTTCAAAAGCTTACAAACGCTACACTCACACCCAACACATACATATGGGCTATATGCTAATTAGTACTTTAAACATAACTAATTTTTAAACTTTTACACCTTGCTTTAGATTATCTGTCCTTAGCTGGTATGTAACATGTATATCATAAGGCAAAAAACTCTATGGCATTAAAATGTAAGGATACTGCGATTCTTCAATTAACCTAGTTTGAAAGTCCAGTTAAAAGTCTTCTTTCTTGGCCGGGCGCGGTGGCTCAAGCCTGTAATCCCAGCACTTTGGGAGGCCGAGGCGGGTGGATCACGAGGTCGAGAGATCGAGACCATCCTGGTCAACATGGTGAAACCCCGACTCTACTAAAACTACAAAAAATTAGCTGGGCATGGTGGCGCATGCCTGTAGTCCCAGCTACTCAGGAGGCTGAGGCAGGAGAATTGCCTGAACCCAGGAGGCGGAGGTTGCGGTGAGCCGAGATCGCGCCATTGCACTCCAGCCTGGGTAACAAGAGCGAAACTCCGTCTCAAAAAAAAAAAAAAAAAAAAAAGTCTTCTTTCTTTCAACATAAATACTAAAAATACATATCCTGCAACTAAATAACTTTATGTTTGTGAATTGGCACAATAACATTAAAAAGTTTTATAAACAAAGGATCTCACCATCTAACTTCCTCTATATAAAGATAATTATTCATATGCTAATGAAGCAGCTTTGGCTTGTGGTTACAAAAACTCAAGAAAATATAAAAATAAAGTTACATTTATAGGTCACTGAAGAATGCATCTAAATTTAACATTTAAAATGACTCATAAAACAAAATGCTGATCCTTACAAACATAACTCATTGTTTATATTTTTATTTTCAGAAAAACACAGAGTTCACTTGAATACAATTCTCACTAGTTAAATCACAGTATCATTTTCTTAAAAAGCAAAACACTTTTAGTAGAAAAAAATTATATATGAAAGTCAGAAACAATTCTTTCAGCAAAAATGGAAATCAACCACCATATCTTTTCTTGAGTTCTTCAACAGAATTATCCTTCAATCCTGATTTGTCTATGTGATTAAATAATACATGTGCAACTGAAAAAGAAAAAGAAATCTCCATTTTAATCTCATTTTTAAAAAACTAAGCAAAATGTAAATTAAAAGGAGCAGTCTGATTTGTCAAAAACATTTTACATTTTAAATCAATAAGTAGGTTTATAAATTCTAATTCAGGTATTTAAAAAGTCAATCTGAGAACACAAAATTACACAGCAATCCAACAATGTTTCTTTCCAGAATATTTTGCTTTAGCAATATAAAATTTCCCCTGCATTCTCAATATTAATCTTATAGATTAAACTTAATTCATTCTTCACTACCTTAAAAATGTTTGCCCTATCTGTGTAACAAGTGTACTTTTATTCTTTTAATATTTTTATTTCAATTAAACTGTTTTTCAAACCTAAATCATTTTATTTTAAAAGAAAACTTTATATCACTACTGTAAACGAAAAACAGCAATGACATCGATGAAATCACACTTGATGGAACAGTTAAATATTTTTATATTACAAAATTAAAACTACTAAATGTTAAAAATAAGATTATGAATCACAAAATATCATCTTTACTACCACTGATCAATCAACACTCAACATTAGGAAATCACTGTTATAGTTCATGCTTGTCAACATTAAAACTGGAAAACTAGCTAACAGTTATTAATGATAATGGCAATAATAAAAGATAATAACAGCTAAGTATTTACTGAATGCTTAGTTACATACCAGAACCATTTTAAGTGTTTTCCATGTTTAACTTCAACCCCATCAAAACAGTACTATTGGTCAGCCAGTCTGAAGAGCCCACTTGCATTCTCAGACATCTTGAACTTATCACATTAGAGTAACAAAAAATTCATTCATTCAACACATTGACACTGAGGGGTTATTATGTACTAGCACTGAGGCCCAGTGAGCCAGGTGGACAAAGTTTCTGCTGTCACGGAGCTTTCATTCTACTAGATAGATATAATAAACATACACATGAACCACTGTCAGCTAGTAATGTATTATGAAGAAAAACAGAGTTAGAAGACAGAGGTCACATGATGGCGGGTTGGTGAAGAAAGATGTCTTTGAAGTGGTGATAGGTGAAAACTAAATGAAGCAGCACAAAAGTGAAGATAGGCAGGAAGATATTCTGGGTTGAGAGAAGAACCAAACACAAAGTCCTTGAGGCCAAAATAAGTTTGGCAGTTTGGTGGGTGGGTGGGTGGGGGTGTGTGTGTGTGTATGTGTTTATTTTTTGAGATGAAGTTTGGGTGGGGGCGTGTGTGTTTATTTGTCTTTTGAGATGGAGTTTCACTCTTGTTGCTCAGGCTGGAGTACAATGGCACAATCTCAGCTCACTGCAACCTTTGTCTCCCAGGTTCAAGCAATTCTGCCTCAGCCTCTCAAGTAGCTAGGATTACAGACACACGCCACTACACCCAGCTAATTTTTTTTTTTTTTTTTTGTATTTTTAGTAGAGATGGGGTTTCACCATGTTGGCCAGGCTGGTCTTGAACTCCTGACCTCAGATGATTCACCCACTTTGGCCTCCCAAAGTACTGGGATTACAGGCGTGAGCCACCACACTCAACTGGCAGTTTGGTACCTTAAAAGCTATATAAAACCACTACAATAGGGCACAGTGGTTGAAAAAAGAGTGGTAAGATGAGGTCAGAACAGTAGTAAAAAACAGTAACATTTTTCAGGGATTTCAAGGAACATTTCTGGTTAACTAAAGCTAAAACCAAAACTTTTGGTTTAAACCCTCACTATTAAAAAATGTATATCTATTTTATTTTTTTTTAACTATTTATTTGAGACAGGGTCTCACTCTGTTGCCTAGGCTGGAATGCAGTGGCACAATCATGTCTCACTGCAGCCTCGACCTCCTGCACTGAAACGATTCTCCCATCTCAGCCCCCTGCATAGCTGGGACTATAGATGCACAACACCACAACCAGCTAATTTCTGGAATTTTTATAAAGACAGGGTTTCGCCATGTTGGCCAGGCTGGTCTCAAGTGATCCTCCTGCCTTAATCTCCTAAAGTACTGGGATTACAGGTATAAGCCGCCATGCCTGGCCTAAAGAAAAATACATCTAAATTACATGTCCATTTCCCTAAGTATAATTTCAAAAGTATCTTTCTTTTTGATTTAAAATCATTCAACATCACTGCCAAAAAGATAAAGAAGAAATAAAAGAAGTCCATGTATGCTTAGTACAGGAAGTATCTGAAAATGATACACTGAGTTTTTTTTGCTAATTTTTAAAAATAAAAAAAAGACACTCTTGTATTTGAGTGATATTTTTTTCTTTTTTTTCCTGAAACGACTATAGCCCAAAACTCTGTGTAACTGCAGTTTCTACATAGCGCAATTTTGCTTTAATTAGGATTTCTCAAAATGGACTCTTTATCTGATGTGGAAATAAAAAAGAAATACAATTCTTAAGGCTCATCACCTGCCACTCATTACTCCTTATTCTATAATCCAGCCATACTACTTCAAATTCTCCAGACTCATTTGCTCTTTCCTGCCTCAGAAGCACTGCACATATCATTCCTTCAGTCTAAAACTCTCTTCCCCAGCTTTCCCTTTGACTCTTGAACTTCTTTGGGAATTCAGCTAAGATCAAACTCAAGGACTGAGTTACCTCTCTCAGATTAGATCAGGTCTTTCCTGTACCTCACTCAGTTACATGTCCTGTGGCTTTGATCCTTTACATACTCAGTGACAGTAGGAACTCAACCATTATACCATTTACCGCATTTTCAAATAGAAGAGCTCAGACTATGGAGTTGGACTGCCTGGGTTCAAATCCTGGGTCTGACTTCTAGCTATATGACCTTAGTCAAGTTTCTTAGCCTCTCTGTACTTCAGTTTCCTCCTCTGTAAAAGGAGGAAACAGTACCCACACTTCATAACATTGTCAGGACTAACAATACAATTTTAACTGTTCTTGTTATCCAATCTAATTAACTTACTAAATATAATTTAATATAATTAATTTAATTTATTTGACAATATAATTTAATTATAAATATTTGATTAAATATAACCTTATACACAGTAAATAGTAAATGTCAGCTGTTATTTGTTGAATGAATAAAGGAATGTACAAGAATAAACAAACATAGGAAAACTTTCATAGAACTTACTCTTTTTCTCTGTTTCTGACATAAACATCACTGCCATATCAAACCTTTTTAGTTCAGAAAGTCTTTGTAAGATTTCAAAGATGAGTGATGGCTTTTCTTTCCTGAAATAATCCAAATATAAAATAAGTTAAAAGTAGCTCATTTATTAACAATTCTGTTTACTAACACAATGCTTCTAATTATACATAAATATAATTTTCCCCCTGGATACTACCTTTATTTAAGTGCCCAAATGAAGAAATGTATTAAGTCAATTGAAGAAATTATAATATTCTTAAATGAGAGCTTGGCATAGAAACTATTATTCTGTTAAAACATTGGTCACTTCCATACCCTATTTTTATCTACAAAAAAAATTAGAGTCCTTTTTCCTCCCTTTTAAACTTTTCCCTTTTATTGTCTGTACTTGTCATTTCCTTGCAACTTCTGTAACAAAGAAACTTACAAAAAAGCTAATTTTGCTATATGATATTAATTTGCTACATATATTCAAAGAGAATGAACTTCCCAAATCATTGCAAATAGCCTAGCATTATAATATGAAAGTACAGTAAATTCTCACTTAACATCAACAAAAGGCTCTTGAAAGGCTCCTTATTCTATAATCCAGCCACACTACTTTTAATTCTCTGGACTCATTTACTCTTTCCTGCCTCAGAAGCACTGCACAAGTATCATTCCTTCAGTCTAAAGCTCTCTTCCCCAGCTTTCCTTTGACTCTTGCACTTTACAGCATACTGTATAAACAAACCAATTTTACCATAGGCCAGCTGATATAAACAAGACTTAAGCTCCTATGGTTTAATCATTTAAATTAAAGGTACAGTTTCCAAGAACCTATCAATGACATTAAGTGAAGACTGGGTAACTGGATAACCAAAAAAACCTTGACTTACTCAATGTAAAAGTCATGCAGAATTTTAATGATCTGGTTGAATATATCCGGATCCAGATTTTTCTGAAACAACTTAGGATACAAAGATGGTTCAATTTGCTTGGAAAAAAAAATTAAAAGTTAGACAATTACTTGATGGCAACACTTACATACCACAAATTATATAACAATTGCTTGGGTAAAAATAGTAAAGAATAACTACTATGCATTAGCACTTATGAATAATAATGAAGTCACATTAAAATGCAATTATGATAGAAGAATGAGTTACAGGAACTGCATGATAATCACTCTGCTCTAGCCACAGAAAAATCTTATGAGCAGAAGAGATATACACCATCCTAAGAGAGACAGGAAACTTAAGAGGGCTCTCAAAGAACAATAAATGTAACTAGAGATTTTAAAAAGGAGAATTACATGAGAAAATGTATTTGGAAGTAATTTCATATTGCATAATTATAAGGAAATGTTACTATGATTACACTTGAAAAAGACCATGCTTATTTATTATTTGCTAAATTTCATAGGATTTGAGTCTTTTTCTTAGAGCAAATATAAGCTTATTTTTAGGAGAATGATTGCCTAAATATTGCAAGTACTACTTGGCACACAGAAGATACTCAATGTATTTTAGAATTTTTATGAAGGATTAAGCTTAAGCTAATATATATGAAATTAGATTAAGTTGAGACAATAAAATTTGACACAGAATCTATTTCCAAAGGAGAACATCAAGGTTCCCTAGTTGTAAATATTTTTAAATGGTCTGACCAGGGTGATGTATTCTACAATAATTTCTCCAATAATATCCTACAAAAAGCAAATATGGCACCATTATTATAAAGTGACAAAAGAAGTTCTTTGACCTTTTACTTGCAACAGAACTACTAGCTTCCTCTCTCTTACCTTTAAATACTGATACAACATATCTGGAGAACTTTTCAATTGTCTGAAATCAGATTCAAGCTGGAACGAGTTTGCGGGAATTGGAGGAAGAACAGTTGTGACAAACTGAGCAGGTTTTTGTCCTATCTGTATAGGCATTTTCCCACTGTAAGATTGACATACATCCTGTTTCAAATTGGCTTGAGGTCTGAAATATTTCAGAGGTATCAAACAGAAGAGAACCGTAAATAACCACAGCTCAATCAAGGAGCCATCAATAAAATTTTTAAATTTTTGACCCTATTAATACTGTATAAACAATCTATTTGTATTCTACAAGTATTCAATTATTTCAGCTAATAATATATAAATATTTTTTGGCAAAATAGATTATGCTCTTGCAAATTTTCACATGCTGGCTATATAATGACTATTCTTATCTGCTAGGCAACTAGCCTATCCACCTCTTGAGTACACCATTTCTGTATATTTCAGTCATCATGTCACATACACTAATGACTTGGCCTTTCAAAGATCTGAATGATCATTTTCAAAATATTCCAAAAATGGAAGAAATGCTTCTTCCAAAAAAAAAAAAAACCTGCCTATTTACTATTGTCCCGCAATCTATCATTCTATTTAATTCATTTCTATCACTTTAAATAAAAACACTACTGAAGTTCGAAGTTTAAAAAACAACTCTTAGCAGGTTTGTTGAGTGGCAATGTAAAAATATATGAGTAAGGTTTCCATACCTCAGAATGAACCTAATTAGTCTATATCTTCTATATTAAGAAAAAGCACATAAACTATTTTTTCAACACCAAACAAAAGTTAGAGTCCACAAATAAATACTAATGGATGAAATGATGGCAATGCATAAATTCTACAATTTTATGAAGCTTTCTTTTAAAAAAACTAAAATTTTGCTGAACTAAATAATAAAACATATACACTGAAATCCTAGAACTGAAAATTTTTAAACAAAATCAATTTTCAAGACACCTTATCTCTAAATTTCACACTGTGGTGAAAAAAAAATCGCTCTTAAAGTAAGTACAAATAAAAAAGAAAAACTAGAACCTTAAGTTAGGCAGTTCAAAAAATTAGCATGATTAGTACAAATCAGAAGTCTCAGTAATATCAATTCTCCAGTGGAATTATCACCATTCCAGATGATCATCAAATAACAGTATTTCTACTCACTGTAAGGATGACGTATCACTGATTTCTTCTATTTTCAATACTTTTGCTCTTGGAGTATCACTTGTGGGAAAAAGGTCATCTTGGCTTGAATTCTTCTTATTTGTGGTGCCTGTGGCTGCTATCACATTTGCTAGATTAATAGGATTACTTTCTGGAGCAGCAGCAGTAGTGATGTCTGGCACATCAATAGTCTGTATCAAATTACCAGTTTCTTCAATAATAACCTTCTTGAGTGGTTTCTAAAACAATTAAACAATTCCTTAAATCAATATATTAAAGGTTTCCTATTTTAGGGTCACAAGTTAAAAGGCTGCAATGTTCTTACAGCTAATATCCCAGTGATGAGTAAATTCAATTTGGTGGCTAGACAGACTTAGGAGTCTGATAATACAAATAAAAAACTATACATAGCACTTATCCCAGGTAGGTCAAAACAGGGGAGAAAGACATGTATATGTAAATAATAATAAGGCCACGGGTCTGTTTAAGAGATGAAAGCACAAAATTCTAAGAGAATACAGGAAGGAAGATAAACACTGGGATGAGGGAAGCCTTCACAGAAAAAGCACACAGGAATGTCAAAGTTGAAGGGTGCAGCATGGTCAGTGGAAGGGTGAGAAGTCCAACAGGCTGGTGTAAGGCAAGGCATGGTCAAGGCAAAGTCTGAAAGGCGGCTTGAAGACAGTTTATAAAGGGACTTGGATGCCATGAAAGGAGTTTGGACTCTATTCTAGGGGCAATACAGTGAAGAAATTACCAAACCAACGTCAGTATTGTGGACTGACTGAAGGCAAGTGGAATAAGGGCAGACAATAACCAGCATTGTGTATGGGGTAGACTATCATTAAAACCTAAGCATACTGTCTAAATATGTAGCAGCTGGATAAAAGTAGCCCAGGATTAAAAATCTGTCAAGTAATATTCACAAAGTTGGTAAAAGTAAACTCTTTTTTCCAATTTAATAAAATAAATGGCTTTCACTGTTTATCTTGATCACTACACATGTCATTTTCAACTTATGTTGACATACAGTACTGTTATATTTAATTACATATTTATATAATTATATCTAGTAAAATATAACAATACTCTTCACTATATAATCATACCAAACACACAGAAATACACTGAGGAGCTGCTGTTCCACCAAGAGTATTGAAAAATGAAACAAGAAAAGCTTCTTCTAAATTTTGTAAATATTGATTAACAGTTGTAGCTATTATTACTTTTGTATATGTTTGAAAATTGATTATCTTTAAAAAAGAGAAAAATAATTGAAGGTACAAAAAACGAAAAAGCTGTAAGAAAATTTGTAACAGAATCCTTCAAGCAGTTCTATTTTAAAGAATAATCATAAGAACTGTATCAGCAATAATTTTTATCAAGATATTGATCAAGAATGGATATGGGTTAGTATTAAACCTTTTTCCTTGATAACAGATATGTAAATAATGATTTGAATTTATGAATTTCCTAATCAATCGTCTCTGTTAAGTGTAGACCCGGGGTACCGAAAGCCACTGAGGGTCACTGATGACAATTGGAAGGACTGCAGGGAACAACAGTATGCTGGTAACAGGAGTAAACCATAAAAGAAACCACTATAGAAAGAAAGAACTTAAGAAAATATGAAAGGTTCAATTCATTCCTTTTTTAAAATCATGACTCAGAAGCCTAACATTTTATTTAGTTGTATATTATGACCATTTCAAAAAAAAAAAAAAGAGAGAGAAAAAAGAACAAAGAAATAAGAAGAAAAAAGGACCAAACAGAAGGTGAAGTTTTGACATCAGGAAACAGAAAAATGGAAAAAAAAAAAAAAAAAAAAAAGGAAATAAAGCAAAATAAGACATTTTAGCAGAAAATTAGTGGGGAAACCCAAGGCCCAAGTTCCCCTACATCTCTGCTCTTCTACACTGTCTAGAGGTTTGCTAAAAATACTTCCCAGCTGCCAGCCCTTCAAGCACAGACTACCCCAGCCTAGCCTCTCATTGCAATAATCCTGGGACTCTCTCTATATATATACTTTTTGTAGTCTTCCTTTCTTCTCTGATCATTTTCCCTGGTGTCCAAGTGTTGTCACAAATAGGTGACTACAAAGGAAATTAAAATTTGTTTCACCTGAAATTGCCTTAGCATTTATGCATATTATTTCCTTTGATATAAACTAATCCGTGAGTTATTATATCAACTTAAGGAGAAAAAGTAAGGATAACACAGGGATTAACTAACGTGTTCAAGATTGCTAAGTTTATCAAGTGGGGCTCAAATCCAGTCTCAGAGGCATTATACCAAACTGCTATCCTCTACTTTTTAAAAATAATGCCCACATTATTTTTATCATGAAGATCCATTATAAAAATAAACAGCAATTTTTTTCCCTTCCCACTAGAATACTAATTTAGTTTGTTTTGGATCATTTACAGAATGGTTTACTCTGAGATTTCTCATTTCCTAGAGGTGTTCTGTTTTGTCATACTGCCATAAGAGATTTAAATTCATGTTGCATTTTCACGACTATTAACATAAATTCATTTTTAACAAGAAGGACCCAACAAATGTGTAAAAAGCTACTTATGGTATATTAGTCATGGAATATTACACACATCATATGGCAATGTTTTTATAATCATGGACAGTGATATCTAACAAAGGCCTTTTGTAAACTTGTGAATTAATTTTTGTAAAGAAGTATTACAAAGATACAGAAGTTTAAACTACATTTAATTAAATATTTAATCACTTTTACTAAAAAGAATAGTAAATGAACATATGAAAATGACCATAATATGTGAAAATACCTAGATTTATTCCCGGAACACACAACACACAAAACCAGTATTATCAAGAATACAGTCATAATAGGCCAGGCACAGTGGCTCACACCTGTACTTCTAGCACTTTAGGAGGCCAAAATCCCAAAGATCGCAAGGTGGGAAGATCACTTAAGGTCAGGGGTTCAAGACCAGTCTGGCCAACATGGTAAACTCTGTCTCTACTAAAAATACAAAAATTAGCCGGGCATGGTGGTATGCCTGTAATCCCAGCTACTCCAGAGGCTAAAAAGTAGGAGAACCACTTGAACCCAGAAGGTGGAGGTTGCAGTGAGCTGAGATCACACGATTGCACTCCATCCTAGGGGACAAGTGCAAAACTCTGTCTCAAAAAAAAACAAACAAAAACAAAAAACAGTCATATTAAGTGCACTGGAAAAGAATTAAACTAAGAAATCTATTTGCTACTAACTACTAATACAAATGTAGCAAAACAAACTTTCTTTCCTTTTCTGTCTTTGTAAAAAAAAAAGGATAAAAGTACCTGCTCTGACTTCCTTACGAAATTGTTATTTCTAATAAAGAAAACTGTTATGCAAAGGATCATCTATGCATAACAGTTTAAGAGGGCAGGAAGAGGATATCGATCAGTAAGGGGCACATAGGTTTTTGGAGGGTGATATCTTTCTATTTTCTGACTCGGTTTCATGGGTGTTCACTTTGCAATTGTTCTCTAAATCATAATTTGTCTTGTGTACTTTTCTGTATATTTCATAATTTACTTGATGCAAATGTGTTTATCCCAACTTCAGAATAGTAATAAAAGTACAAAGACATTTAATTTCTATAAGATGTAAAACTGCTTGAAATTCCTTTAATATAAGATAAATAGGTAGAAATATTTATAGTGTTAAATTCAAATAGTCACTTAAAAAGTTACCCCAAAAATCTAAACACAGCTAAATTTCCCTTATTATGTCAGTAATGCTAGGAAGTATTTTTTCCTTTTTTTTCTTTTTACTTTGACCTAGATAGAATTTTTTTTTATTTTTGTTTTTAATTTTTACTAGTATTTCTTAAAGACTCTTAAAAAAAAAAAAAAAAACTCCCCAGGAAGACATTTCAACATTTCCTTTAAGAGTTTATTAATACAACAGCTGGTTTCCAATTCTCTTAATACAACATATTTAAATGGCAAGGAGAAAATGAAAGTGCTTTACTTACAGTTGATCCAGAATGTGGTGAATTATTAATGGGTTTTACCACATTTTGTCTTTGTGTGGAATCAAGAAAGACATCATCCCAGTGTCCTTTCTCAATTAATTCCTTGAAAATAAATTTATAATCATAACTACCAAAATATTTATCATACAACAAATAAATAGATTTATGTTTCAGAAAATATGACCAAGTTTTGGTGAAAAGAACATATTACCTTCTTAATTTTGGAGAGTTCAGTTACTGCTTGCTTATTTCCAGGTTCCAGAAGTAAAACAGTTTCAAAATCTAAAGTGAATTTTTAAAAAATATTAGAATGTAGTGAAAATGTGGAGTTTTCATATTGACACGTATATTCATGATATACTACTCAGTTCGTAATCAAATTTTTTTTCTTTTTTTATTAGGATAGAAGGTAGTGAGGTCTCACTCCAAGTAATCACTCAAGATGTTTTTTAGCTCAAGATGTTTTACTCAGATTGCTAGGAAACACGTGAGCTATAGTAAGAACATTTACTGAATGCTATTGTAGTTGTTTTATATGAATTTTCACGTAACCCTCACTACAACCCCACTTTAAAGGTGATAAAACTAAGGCCTAGAGGTCATCTAACTTAGCAAAGTTCACCATGTAAGCAAATGACAGAGTAACTCGCTAAATGTAACATGTTACTAAGAGAATGACATACAACAAAGTATTAGCCTTAAAAAGGAACGAAATTCTGATACATGCTCCAACATAAACATTATGCTAAGTTAAATAAGCCAGAGGCAAAAGGACAAATACTGCTTGATTCCACTTACATAGGATATCTAGAATACTCAAATTCAGTGACAGAAAGTAGAATGGAGATTACTAGGGCTTGGGGGAGAGGAAAAGGTGAGGTATTGTTTAATGTGTATAGAGTTTTAGAATGGGATGATGACAAAGTTCTGGAGACGGACAGTGGTGATGACTGCACAACAATGTAAATGTACTTAATGCCACTGAGCTATATATTGAAAAATGGTTAAAACAATAAATTTAATGTTACATGTATTTTTTTATAACACACACAAAAAAACACAGGCTATAGCTAACAGTCTTATAGAGAAACTACCAGATTTTAAATGCACATATCAGAAAAGAACAGAGGCTGAAAATCAATTATCTAAGTACTGATCTCAGAAGCTAGAAAAACAGCAAATTAAACTGAAAGTTGAAGGAATAAAATAAAAAGCAGAAGGAAATTAAATAGAAAACACACACAGGAGAACCAAGTTGGTTCTTTGAAAAGACTAATTAAATGAATATCTAAAAAACAAGACCATAAAAAATCAAGGAAAAAAACTAGTATCAAGAATTAAAATGGCATCACTACAGATCTCCATTATCCTCCATTCCCTACCTGCTGATGAAACCACAGTGCAGAGTTTAAAAAAAAAAAAAATCAGTCACTAACAGAAATTCTTGAGTTTGCAGGATGACAGACAGGAAAAGATACAACTTGCTGAAACAATGAAACTTCCTCTGCTTATTGGGATTTTAAAAAAAAAAAAAAAAAAAAAAAAAAAAAAAAAAAAAACGGCTGAAATCATTGGAACCAAAATGGCCAAGTGGAGTTTGCACAAAACAAGCTTGCTGATTTCACAGCCTGAATTTCTACCAAGTTTCATACTGACTACCCTGAACTTGCACATGCAATCCATGAGTTAGCATGAAGAGACAGCTACACATGCCCAAGAACTTTCCCCTTTCCTTCCACTAATCACCTAATTCTAGTATCCACCCACCTACACCTTTTCTAATAAAATTACTGCCTTAAAGCTAAGACAAGGAGACAGATTTGAGCTTGTTTCCTGTCTCTTTGGGAGTCAACTTTCAACATAAAGCCTTTTCTCAAAAATCTGATTTCTCAAAAAAAAAGGGACACAGGCACTGTGTCCCTTTTGCATACAGTATTGGCTTCTAGCACATCAGGCACTGAGTCCCTTTTGCTCAGCAACACTGATTCCCTTCCTTTTCTTTTTATTCTTGTCTTTTTATCACTTTTTCCACTCTCATCTATAATTAAAATTTTTCATTAATGTTGACTGGCAATTAGCCACAATGTACTGTATGCTACTAAACAAAAAGATAATCAGGTACACTGTAGAAGCTGCATGCCTCCAAATCTATTCATGATCTAAACTGTGGAAAGAAAACATAATTCCCTAAGTTCGGTATCTTTGAACCATGGGTAAGCTACATGAATCTCTACTTCTATAACTTGGGCATCTCATCAGGATGACTGAGTGCCAGCTATTATAAAGTCTTACCTTGTTTTGCCTCATTTAGCTTTCCCAGAAATGTTCTTGCAGTTCCTCTTCTGGCAAAAGCTTTAGAATATGAGCCATCTAATAAAATGGCTTGTGTGCAGTCTTTTTCAGCTTCTTCATATCTATTGAACATGATAAAATTACTGACTGGAAAAAAGGCAGGTTATGGAAAATTTTCATATAAACCAAGTTTCTAATTTTAAAAACTTGTATATAATTTCAATCACTAACTCCTTAATCTGTGTTTGAAGTGGAGAACTATTTCATAAATTTTTTTATTCTCACCAAATCTTGGAATAATTTGGTGAGGAGGTGGAAGGTACCAGATTAAGGGAAAGTTAGGAGAGTCTGCTGGAGGAATGGAATAATAATGCAAAAGTATGACTAAGGGCAGACAAAAGAATACCACTGCTGGCAGCCTACCTCCTCTCCAAGCCTCAATATGCACAGGTACTACATTAGAATTTTAACTGGCATTAGTTTTCTAATAAAACTTTATGAACATTTACCCACAGTATATCTCCCATACTCATAGAAAAACAAAAAAATCAGAATTTGCTATGTATGTGATAGCACATCATCTAATACTTTGTATAAATTCCACTCAGCCATGCAACCAGCAATCAATTCAGCCTTACAGACTTACTCGTTCTGCTGCTTAAGAGCTCAAAAAAAAAAAAAAAAAGAAACCCAACAACAGAAAAACCTGAGACATTCCCATATATTAATATGACATTAATGAATTATTATTAATTTGTTAGGATAATATGTATAAAATATCCTTTCTTTAGTGATAAAATGTCATGTTTACGATTTACAATAATTCAGGAGGAAAAAGCTGAAACAAATATGACCAAAGAAAATATGGCTTGTTAAAACTAGATGGATACATGGGGCTTATTATACTACTTTTGTATAAGTTTGAAAAGTTTCATGAAAATATTTAAAAAAAAAAAAAAAAAAAAAGTTCCTGTAATTGCATTCTCCCCAAGGCTTAAATGGATGTCATCTTCCCCTCAAAACAAGATCTCTTATGAACAAAATCAGAATTTAGAATTAACTTAAACATCTCTGATTTCTTTAACTCACTTTTCAGCAAGAGATAAAGAACACATCTGTGTTCATGCCCTTATCAATGTATTTTCTACTTGCCTAATTATATCATTCAAGATATCTGCATGGCCCCCACACTTTTCAGGATAAAGTCAAACTCCTTTGGAGGGCAAAGTCAGGGACTTGCCTGACTATCTGGCCTTCTCTCTGCCACTGTCCCCTGCAATAACACCCATAATATGGACCACTTACCCTTTCCAGGAGGTACCATGAATCTTCCTACTCCCATGTCTCTGCACCTGCACTAGAACCCTAGATCTGTTTTTCACCTCACTAACTCATACTACTCTGTTAGATTTCAGTTTGGTTTGAACTATTTCAAGAAGCTTTCCCATGAATTCCCCTGCCTGGACTCCATCTATCCCAGTATTCTTCCCACCCTGAACACCCATGGCATGTATCCTTCATCACATTTTCTTAGTGTATTTTCACAAATATTGGTCTCCTTTTCTGTCACTCCCTGCAAACTTCAACAAAAACAACCACACATTTAATATTTGTACACTTAATACCTTCCACAGTGCCTAACAGAACACCTGATACATTTTAGTGCAATAAATGTTTGCTGAATAAGTAAATCAAAAAATTTCCAAACATCCAAATTCAAAGAAAATTTAGAAGATAAATGTTTAGGAAACCATTTTAATTGCATATTTAATTGCATGTTCTATTGTACAGCTGAATAACACTCAACAATTAATCTAAAAATCTGAAGTTCCCACACTAGAAAAGATACAAGAGTCATATAGTTCTTTTAATTTAAAATATGCTCTGCTAACTTGGTATAGTATATTCCACTAATGTGATTATACACTAAAGCAATAAAACTAATACGATAAATTAGAGATCTTATAAATGTAAATTTAATTTCACACCTATAAGAAGGTATTACTCTTAGCATTAGTCACACCAATAGCAAAAATCAATATCTTCATAAGCTAGCAAGAGATACAATGACCTTTACTCTGAATAGTCAACAAAAGAATCTATCTCTAGTGGTATCTATTACTTTAAGTAAGGTTAAATACATAATCAAAATTTACTTCTATGACAGGAGCTCCTAACCTGAGATCCTCTGTGGGATGTGAAAACTTGGTTAGGAAAAAAACTGTATTATTATTGTCCCTGACCTTTAAATAAAATTTAGCTCTCTTACAAATACAAACGCAGACAACAGTACCTATCACTCTGCCACCAATAAAAATCAGATATTTTGGTCAGGCGCGGTGGTTCAAGCCTCTAATCCCAGCAGTTTGGGAGGCAGAGACAGGTGGATCACCTGAGGTCACGAATTAAAGACCAGCCTAGCCACTGTCTCTAGTGAAAATACAAAAATTAGCCAGTGGTCATGGCGCACGCCTGTAATCCTAGCTACTTGGGAGGCTGAGGCAGGAGAATCACTTGAACCTAGAAGGTGGGGGTTGCAGTGAGCCAAAATCGAACCACTGCACTCTAGCCCAGGTGACAGAGCAGGACTCTGTCTCAAAAAAAAGAATGAGATATTTCCATGTCACATTACAACTGTTACTGGTATCTCAAAATATTGCTTATGCTCACCACTATTCAGAATTACAGTAAAAATTTAACCTGCTGCTTATTTGCAATCACATGCAAATAACAAACACCCAATTTATGGTAAATTTTATCCTGAAAAGCACTAAAATGTAACCAATACTTACTTCTGAATCTTCAGATAGGCCATAGCTCTGTTAGCTGGAAGAAGGGCATTAGCACCATCTGCTGCTATCCCTCGAGTATAGCATTCAATTGCTCTTTCATATTTCCCCTCTTTGAAAAATCCATTCCCCTGTTATTTTGTAGAGAAATATGAAGAAGAATTTTAAAAATGCAAAAAATTAAATGAATTCAAATCTTATGAAAAACTGTGAGGACGTTCATCAACAGTATTTCAGGAAAGAATATTAATTGTTAAAAATCTAGCCCATGAGACGTTTTAGAATCTGTTGGTTTGAGTTCTTTTTTAATGGCATTATTCTCTTTTCAGTACTAAAAGGGAAAAACATGTATACTACTATATTACTTTGCAGCATTCACTGTTATTCCATTAATAAAATATTACACAAAGCTTAAATTTAAAAACCTATTTTAACAAAGGTCCAAATATTATAGTGTCTTTAGCTACATTAGAAGCTATACAAAAGAATTTCATAACTCAAATAACTTTTGTGAAAGAACACAGTACCAGAATTATAAAGCCCACTCTTCAATATAAGATAAATTCAACAATATGGGAATTTGTATACCTGATTTCACTATAACATTTATTTATAACCAGAGTCAATTATCACAATCAATAATCATTTCATAAATATTTATTAGGAATCCTCTGTGGGTCCAGGAAAGGCTATAAATAAGTTAAACCTCCTCAACTCATGATTAGTAGAGGAATTTCAATCAGAAACAGTCCAGTGTGAATTAATGAAAAAAGTATGGATGAGAATGGACTGTAATTAACTTCTGTTAAATTTATAACTATGTATATGTAATTATATAATAAAACACTCAAAAGTAGTTTCCTAAACTTAAGTGTTTCTATAGTTATGTTTTTTTAATTTATGTATAAAGTCATCAATTACTCAAATTTTGAATTAGTAAGTCCCAGAGGCTTTAGTGTATTTAATTTCCAATTCCTACTCAAGCAAAACTTTCATATTAGAGAAGCAAGAAATTTAACTAATATACAATAAATAAATCAACACTCAGCAAAACATATACATTATATGTTGGAATAGCTTCGGATTACCAGATCTTTCTCTGAAATGGCCTGCTGCTTATTCCATTGTGCTTCAATTTGTTTTCGCTCGCTCTCTGTTGACTTAATCACTGTTTCAGCTTCCTTTGGATGTGAGTTTTCTTTGGATGCTAAAGCCTAGGAGACATAGCAGTCAGCTAAAATAAAACAAGTAATGCAAGATGCACATATATTTGACCTTAAAACATAAATACCTCAAATATATTACAATTTCTGTAACATTTTACATAATCAAAATAACATTTTCTACTCTAATTCAAAACCTTCCTACTTATTAAAGTAAAAAGTAACATAAGTATATAATAAATTTAATGTGCTTCTCATTTCAATTAAAATTAGTATCAAACACCGAAGACTGTGTGTTCTGACTTATAAGTGGGAGGTAAACATTGGGTACACATGGACATAAATGGAAACAAGACACTACAGACTACCTGTTAGGGAGAGAGACACTGGGGGTGGGGAGGGAATGAAAAACTACCTATTGGGTACTATGCTCACTACCTAGGTGACGGAATCATTCATACTCCAAACCTCAGTATCATAAAATATGCCCATGTAAAAAGCCTGCACATGTACCCTTTGAACCTAAAATAAAAGTTGAAATTATTTAGGTTCCAGAGGCTTTAGTGTATTTAATTTCCAATTCCTACTCAAGCAAAACTTTCATATTAGAGAAGCAAGAAATTTAACTAATATACAAGAAATAAATCAACACCCAGCAAAACAAATACATTATATGTTCAAATAGATAAATAACTAGCATCCATTAAAAGTAATTGCTCATTTATTCAACAAATATTTATTGAATTTCTATACAGGCCAGACACTGTTTTAGGCGCTGTTTTCAAACATAACAGTTCATTACAGCTACATCATCAAATTTCTCAAATTCAATACTCACATTCACTTTTTGATGTAAGACAAAATTTTAAAAATATGTAATACAGTTCACAACTATAATCAAGTTGACGTATTTACCAGCAGATCTTACGTGCAATAGTAATGGCAATATTTAAAAGCACACTTCCCCCAATCATTGTCATTTTTCTCTCAATGTTTCAATCAGTGCATAAGCCAAAAAGGAAGAAAATCAGTGAGATAAAAAATAATAATTCTGTCATCTGGGAAAGAGTTAAGCAGCAGTAGTTCTAAAGATCTCAGGCAACTTTTAGAACAATCAAGGATCTTTAAATACCATTACACTACCTTTAGCTTGCAAATTCATTTAGCAAAACTCTACAAAGAATTAAAATTAGAAAATCTCAATATAAAGAAATCATGTAAAATCTATGCAAAAAGCTTTACTTCTTCAAATAAAGGTCATAAGTAATGCACTTAACTTAAATAACTATAGTTTACCTGATTGATTTTCCTGAGTTCATTTGTTGCTTCAAAGTTATTTGGTTCCAGTTCTAATACTCTTTCATAATCTAAGTAAAAAAGAAGATAAAAAATATTTTTAAATAGGTAATATTTAAAAACCTGTATGAAACAATCTTTTGTTACCTGTGACAATTAGGCAACTGTCCTACAGCAAAATAAAGGAGAAACAAAGAAATACCATCATTAGGCCACTGAACTTTCTTTTTTTGAGACAAAGTCTCACTCTGTTACCCAGGCTGAGTACAGTGGCCCAATCTTGGCTCACTGCAACCTCCATCTCCCAGGTTCCAGAGATTCTGCACCTCAGCCTCCTGAGTAGCTGGGACTACAGACACACACAACCAAGCTCAGCTATTTTTTCTATTTTTAGTAGAGACAGGGTTTCTCCACGTTGGCCAGGCTAGTCTCAAACTCCTAACTTCAAGCAATCCTCCCACCTTGGCCACTGAGAGTGCCGGTAGTACAGGCATAAGCCACTGTGCCCAGCCAAGCCACTGAACTTTCTTTTTCTCCCCCAAGGCAGACAAAATCCTATGACAAACCATCTTCCACTAGCCCTAGTAAGAATACCTGCTGTCATAAGTTGTACATCATAAAACGAAGAAGCAGGCCAGGCGCCATGACTCACACCTGTAACCCCAGCACTTTGGGAGGCCGAGGCAGGCAGATCATCTGAGGTCAGGAGTTCAAGACCACCCTGGCAAACATGGTGAAACCCTGTCTCTACTAAAAATATAAAAATTAGCTGGACATGGTGGCAGGCATCTTTCCGGAGGCGGGGAGAATTGCTTAAACCCAGGAGGCAGAGGTTGCAGTGAGCTGAGAGCATGCCATCACACTCCAGCCTGGGTGACAGAGTAGCAAGAAAAAAAAAACCCCAAGAGGCAGCAAAATCCAATTAAATATCAGCTTTATTCAGATTTTAATTTATAATATACAAACTTATTTCGTGGAATAACAGAAGGCTTAGAATTCATAAATAAACAAAAATGTGTTAGGAGCTTTAAACACACTACCTCTTGCCTCACTAAAGCCAACAAGACATTTTGATGCCTATTTTACAGATGAGAAACTGAAAAATCAGAGAAGATATTGGTCACATAGCTAGTACTTAGTAACATGAGAATTTGAACCAAATTCTGATTGGTAGCAAATAATGCATTCTTTCTCAAAACATCAAGATATCATCTCAGTTGCAAAAATGAGCTTTGTTCAAATATAGAAAGCTCTCTGAAGGTAGTAACTGTGATTACTTAGTAATCTCTATATAGCATCTGTTAGATTACACTGTTAAATAATTTTTTAGATAATTACTAGAAATACCTTTTTTGGCCTCTTCTAATTTTTGCAAAGCAAATCGGGCAGCACCTCGTCTGGAATAAGCTTTTGTATAACTTCTATTCAAGGCAATTGCTAAATTACAATCAGACTCAGCAACAGCAAATCTGCATTTTTAAAACATGAAAATAAATGAAGTTAATAAAACTCATTTACTAAATCAAAACTTCAAAGTTTTGTTTCTGAAATCCTTGCAAAGTGAATTTACTTGCCCACTGAAGGCATGTTTCCCAATTCCTTTTAATTAAGCATAATAAAAGCAATACTGGCATTCCTCAACAATATTGTGGATTTGATTTTAGACCACCTCAACAAAGTAAATGTCACAATAAAGCTAGTCATACAAATTTTCTGGTTTTCCAGTGCATACAAAAGTTATATTTACATTATACTGTAATCTAGTAAGTGTGCAAAAGCTTTATGGATAAATAAAAATGTATATACCTTAATTTAAAAATACTTTATTATTAAAAAAATGCTAATGATTATCTGAGCCTTCAGTGAATATTTATGTTTTTGCTGGTGAAGTATGTTGCCTTGATGTTGATGGCTGCTGATTGATCAGGGTGGTGGTCGTACGATGTGATGCTGTTTGATAGCATTTTACTCATAATAGAACTTCTTTCAATATTGGAGTCAATTCTCTCAAACTCTGCCACTGCTTTTTCAAGTAAGTCTGTATAATGTTCTAAATCTTCTGTTGTCATTTCAAAAATGTTCACAGCACCTTCACCAGTAGATTCTATCTCAAGAAACCACTTTCCTTGCTCATCCATAGGAAGCAACTGATCATCCATTCAAGTTTGAACACAAGATTGCAGCAATTCAGTCACATCTTCCTCCACTAAAATCTTGAATCCCTCAGTCATCCATAAGAGTAGAAGTCAATTTCTTCCAAACTCCTGTTAACACTGATATTTTGACCTCCTCCCATGAATTACAGATGTTCTTAAGGGCATCTAAAATTAGTTAACCCTTTCCAGGTTTCAATCTACTTTGTCCAGATCCACTAGAGGAATCACGATCTATGACAGCTATAGCCTATGAAATGTATTTCTTTCTTTTTATTTTTATTTTTAATTTTTTTGGGGGGTGGGGGAATTTGTTCCATCCAAACACTGTTGAAGCAAGAGATAGATCTGAGGGACCACTAAACTGCTGAAACCTATTTCTTAAATAACGAGACTTGAAAGTTGAAATGACTCTTTGATCATGGGCTGCAGATGGATGTTGTGTTAGGAAGCATGAAAACAACATTCATTTCCTTGTACATCTCCAGCAGATATCTTGGGTGAGTAGGTACATTGTCAATAAGCCATACTATTTTGAAATAAATCTTTTTCCCAAGCAGTAAGTCTCAACAGTAGGCCTAAAATATTCAGTAAACCAGTTGATAATAGAGGTACTGTCATCCAGACTTTGTTATTTTTATATAGAGAGCACAGGCAGAGTAGATTTAGCATAATTCCTAAGGGCCCTAGGACTTTTGGAATGGTAAATGAGCACAGTCTTCAACTTAAAGCCACCAGCTACATTAGCCCCTAACAAGAGAATCAGACTGTCCTTTGAAGCCAGGCATTGATTTCTCTCTAGTTGTGAAAGTCCTAGATGGCACTGTCTTCTAACAGAAAGCTGTTTAGTCAACACTGAAAATGTGTTGTTTAACATAGTCAACTTCATCAATTACCTTAGCTAGATCTTCTGAATAACTTTCTACAGGTTCTCCATCAGCACTTGCTGCTTCACCTTCCACTTTTATGTTACGGAGACAGCTTCTTTCCTTAAACCTCATGAACCAACTCCTGCTAGCTTTCAACTTTTTTTCAGCAGCTTTCTCACTTCTCTCAACCTTCACTAAATTGAAGAATGTTAGGGCCATGTGCTAGATTAGACTTTGGCTCAAGAGAATGTTATGGCTGGTTTAATCTATACAGACCAATAAAACTTTCTCCCTAACATTAGGCTTCTTTCACTTTTTAATTACTTGTGTTCAATGGAGTAGCCCTTTTAATTTCCTTCAAGAACTTTTCCTTTGTATTCACAACTTGGCTAACTGGCAAAAGAAGCCTAACTTTGAGTCAGTCTTGGCTTTCCATGTGCCTTCCTCACCAAGTTTAATCATTTCTAGCCTCCGATTTAAAGTGAGAGATCTGCGAGCCTTTCACTTGAACACTTAAATGCCACTGTAGGCATTTTTTGTTTGTTTGTTTTGAGATGGAGTTTCACTCTGTCACCAGGCTGGAGTGCAGTGGCATGATCTCGGCTCACTGCAACCTCTGCCTCCTGGGCTCAGGCAATTCTCATGCCTCAGCCTCCAGAGTATCTGAGATTATAGGCATGCACCACCACGCTCGGCTAATTCTTTGTATTTTTAGTAGAGACAGGATTTCACCATGTTGGCCAGGCTGGTCTCAAACTCCTGGCCCCAAGTGAACCACCCATCTCGACATCCCAAAGTGCTGGGATTACAGATATGAGCCACCATGCCTGGCCTCACTGTAGGTTATTAACTGGCCTAATTTCAACACTGTTGTATCTCAGGGAATAGGGAGGCCCAAGGAGAGGGACAGAGATGGGGGGGCAGTTGGTCAGTGAAGCAGACTGAAGGCACATTTATTCATTAAGCTTGCCATAATATATAGGCATGCTTGATGGCTCCCCAAAACAATTACATTAGAAATGTCAAAGATCCCTGATCAGAGATCACCATAACAGATAGAATAACAAAAAAAAGTCTGAAATACTGTAACAATTACTAAAATGTGATACAGAGATACAAAGTAAACACATGCTGTTGGAAAAATGGCACCAACAGAGTTGCTTGACTTGCCTGATACAGGGTTGCCACAAACCTTCATTTTGTAAAAACAGTATCTGTGGATGCAATAAAGCGACAAACAATAAAACAAGGTATGCCTATAATTCCTAATGGTGGAACATTAGTAGCACTCCCTTTAATGCAAGAAACAAGAATGCCCATTATCACTGCTTTTTCTTGGTATTACATAGAGGTCTCCACCAATGTATTTCTGTAAGAAAGAAATACAAGGACTAGAAACAAAGGAAAAAACCTGATATTATTCTCAGATGATATGATGGTCTAAAAAGAAAACTCAAAATAATCTAAAGACACTGCTAGAAATATTAAAATATAAAAGTTTAGTAAGGTGACTATGATAGACCAACAAAAAACAAACAAAACTAACAAAGATGTACAAGACACAGATGCAAAAAATTGTAAGACTATTTTCAAAGACATTAATGATAATGTAAGTGGAAATATTTCACATTCATCTATAACAAAGCACAAAAATGTACCAATATGATTCTCTCCAGGCTGATTTATAAATATAATGCAATTCTAATCAAAATCCCAACAGGATGTTTTAAGGAATTTGGGAAGATGATTCTAAAATTTATACTGATGAGTAAGTCCACAAATACCCAAGACATTGCTGAATAATAAAATATAGGAGAATATGCCCTATATCAAATATCAAGACTTACAGTTATAATGCTTGGATGGATTGTGGAATGGATATAAGGACAGGCAAGAGACCAGTGTAAAGAACAAAAGATGAGAAAGTGATCTAGGCAAACATGACATATGACAACATGCATAGCATGGCAGATCCATGGGGGAAAGTAGGGCTATTCCAAAAATAAGAGCTGGAAAAACCTTTGGCATATGTGAAAAGGCCTAAATGTGAAAATTAAATCTTAAAAATGTTTAGAAGAAATCAGAGGAGACTATTATGAACTCAAGCAGCAAACTATTTTTTTAATAAATCATTTTATAAAGTTCTAATCTTTTTAAAAAATAAACTGAAATATGTTAAAAGTAAATATTTACATTAATTAAAATTCCATAAAGAAAGAAAAAAGATAAGCTACAAATTGAGAGAAAATAGTTATTATGAAAAAGACCGAAGGATTAGTATCCAGGATAAAGAACTCTTCATCGTTGCCATTTTACACCTACTAGATTGAAAACAATTAAGAAGCCCAATTATATCAGTGTTGGTAAGGATAGGAAATACGCATTATTATACACTGCAAATGTGAATGTAATTCATCCATCTACCTTTGTAACAACTGTGTAACAACAAACTACCTTTATCATCATTCTGTGAAGCCGAACATCTATATATTTTATAACTCAACACCAAGAAACATGTACAAAAATGTTCCTAGCATCACTGAAATAAGGAAGGAAAGGATAGAAAGTGGGCAGTAGAAAGAGGGACAGAAGGAGGGAAAAAAGAGTGGGAGGGAGAGAGAGAAGAAAAAGAAAGGAAGATGGGAACCAACCAACAATCGAGCAACACAAGAATAGATAGATAATGGCCGGGCTCAGTGGTTCACATCTGTAATCTCAGCACTTTGGGAGGTTGAGGCGGGTGGATCACAAGGTCAAGAGATGGAGACCATCCTGGCCAACATAGTGAAACCCTGTCTCTACTAAAAATACAAAAACTGAGTGTGGTGGTGAGCGCCTGTAGACCCAGTTACTTGGGAGGCTGAAGCAGGAGAATCACTCGAACCTGGGAGGCAGAGGTTGCAGTGAGCCGAGACTGCGCTACTGCACTCTAGCCTGGTGAGACAGTGAGACTGTCTCCAAAAAAATAAAAAATAAAAAAATAATGGTATATTTCTAAAAAGAAATTATCTTATATAACAGTTACAATGAGAGCTCTAGAGCTATACACATCAAAACCAGAATGAATCATAAAAATATAATATTCAGAGAAATCGGTGAGCCACAGACAACTACATATGTTTAAAGCACAAAAATAAGCAAGGTTATACAATATATTATTTAGGGACATATACATATATAATAAACTTTTTTTAAATCAAGAGAATGATAAATATGTAATTCAAGATAGTGGTTAACTGGGAGGGAGGCAAGGAACAGGATACAGAAGGGAGCATCAAGGTAATTTCAAAAATAATGGTAATGTTCTGGTTTTTAAGTTGAGAGGGGCCCTAATATAGGCTTATTTTAAATTATTCTCTATAACTTATATATGAGATACAAATACTGCAGATATCAAATATTATAAAATGTAAAGATTCCCTAATTTTTTAGAATATTAATGAGTTTCAAAGACATAAAAATATGCTATTTAAATAGTAAAAACTCAGATAACAATAAAATTTGTATTTCCAAATAATTAAAACAGTAAGAATGTCTTCCTTGATGTTATTCACCTTTTCAAAAAACCCCTATGATAGGCTGGTTACCTGCATATGATAAGACAGTACCTTTTATATTCTTCCACATTAAGTATTTATTTTAAAAGTCAGTATGACTTAAAGACAAATGTTGAAACATATTTTAAGTTTACTATCATAAATGTTCTCTAGATTAAAAAGTGGATAAATGGTTTTTCAAAATAATGAAGGATATTAATTTCTAAAAACATCCAACAAACTTTTTTAGCTTTGTGAATTAGACAAGAACACTACTACTGAATTTTTAGAGGAACACCTCAGTAAAGTGAGCTATGGAAACACAGTTTTTAGCACCAGATGTTTAAAATGACTAGGAAAGTAACTCAATAAAAAGGAGTGGGCTATAAAAATTTACAGCTGAAAAGAAATGCAATACATTTTCAATCTGTCCTTCACACTTTATTACAAACGTTTTTTAAAATTAGTCTCAATATATATATAAGACATTCACATTCACACACATCACAGAAGTCCTTACTTTTTCAATCTAAAATACGCTGACGCTCTATTTGTTGGCAACACGGGATTATATGGATCGGCATCCATGCCTTTTGTGTAGCAGTCAATTGCTTCATCATATTTTCCTTGTTTGAAGTATTTATTGCCCTGAAGAACAGAAAATCAAATAAGATGATCTTTTTTACAAATGTTAAATTCACTACAGTTGACCCTTGAGTAACCCAGGTATGAAGACCACAGGTCCACTTAAATGTGGATTTTTTCAATAAGTCTACACCAAGTGTGCCTGCCTCCCTTTCCGCCTTCTCCACCTTTTCTGCCTCTGCCACCCCTGAAAGAGGAAGACCAATTCTTCCTCTTCCTCCTCCTCAGCCTACTCAATGTGAAGATGACAAGGATGAAGACTTCTATGATCCCCTTCTACTTAGTAAAATATGTTTATATAAATACACATTCTCTTCCTTAAAATGTTCTTAATAACATTTTCTTTTTTCTAGCTTACTTTTTTGTAAGAATACAGTAAATAATACATATAACACATAAAATTTGTGCTAATCAATTACTTGTGTTATCCATACTGCTTCCAGTCAACATTAAGCTATTAGTAGTTAAGTTTTGGGGGAGTCAAGAATTATATGCAGATTTTTTTACTGCATGAGGCATTGACCCCACACTGCTCAAGGGTCAACTGTATATGATCATTGTATGGGCACAATCCAAGAGCCCAATCAGAAAAATGAGTAAAATACCTAGCATTATACTCCTTATTGACAATACCAACCTACAGAAATGTAACCAAAAAAAAAAAGCATCAAGAGTTTAATCTGAATAGAGTTCCATCTTTGTGAAAGTAATATAGCTGGTTTTATAATAATGAACCATCCCTCAGGGAGATACTGAACATTCCAAAAAGTAGCCAAAGATGGCCTTTGATATGCAGGAGTGGAATATAATACTTATGCCAAGAATCACACACTAATTTCAAGTTACTTCAATCTACTACTAAAAACACTGGACAACTCCAAATACAGTCCAAGCATTTACATAAAACAGTTCATTTACTACGCACAAGAACCTGTTGAAGTTGGTAATATTAATGTCATTTTACAGATGAGGAAACTGAAATTCAGAAGTTTAAAAAGAGATTTGAACCCAGGTAATCTGGCTCGAAAGCATGTACTCCTAACCACTATGTTCCACTGCCTCCAGAGAGGGATGTAGCCAACAACCACAAAGTTTAAACACCTACTAAAGTATGTTCAAGAAACTTTAGGATCCATATGATTTTCCACAGCTCCTGCTTACGTGAAAAAAACAAAACCTCACTAATTAATACCTTTTCTTTTAAAACAAGAGCCTTTTGAGAATCTACATGAATCCCATCTTCTTCCGACTCTGATTCTTGAGACAGAGAATCATGGGTACTATCATCTTTGTCAAGCTCATCAAGGATACTGTCCTAAAATCAAAAGAAGAAAAAGAGTGCTCATAATTATATGACCATTAGGGGGGAAAAAAAGACATACTAAAAAAAATACACTCAAAAGAACGTAAATTGTTACAATCTAAAGACCTACAGGCTTACAAATTATTACAATCTAAGGACCTACAGGCTTACAAAGCAACCCAAATCTCTCATTCAGATTATATCCAGAGAAAAAGATGCCTTTGTTCAGAAAACCAAGATCCAAACCAAGAATCTAACTTTAAACTCATAAAGCTAAGTCAATAGACTATACTAATCACCCCTAAATCACAAACTATTAGCAGTTAGGTATTACGGCTTACAGGAAGTTTGCAAATAGCCCTAAACTAATATAATTAGCACCCCAGTAGCAGACAAAGTTTTCTTTAAAAAACATTATTCTTCCCTATTTTGAAACAAAAAAACTGCTGCTTTAAAACTGCTATTTAAAAACCAAAAAAAAAAAAAAAAAAAAAAAATAGAGCACATTAGCTCCTAAACTTCACAATAACCTACGAGGGAGTATAACTACCCTCACTTGATTTTCCTTCAATTTTTCTCTTGAGGGAACTGAAATGCAGAAGTTAGTTAACTCATTCAAGGTCACTCAACTAGTAAGTGGCCAAGTCTACTTCCTCCAAGAGTTCTCAATCGTTATGTTACACCATCTCTCAGTATATTCCAAAATATAGCTGCCTCTACCAAAGGAAAAATACAATATGCTAGTCCCACGATTCTCAATCTCTTTTGATGCACACTACTTTCGTGGTAATAAATAATCTCACAGACCTCTCACCAGAATTTTTCTCTCATTTTTCATGTGATAAAACAATGATTTTTAGTAAGATTTTATTTTTATTTAATTTTATTTAATTTTATTTTTGAGACAGCATCTGGCTCTGCTGCCTAGGCTGGAGTGCAGTAGTGTGATCTTAGCTCACTGCAACCTCCATCTCCCAGGCTCAAGCCATCCTCCCACCTCGGTCTCCCAAGTAGCTGGGACTATAGGCACGCATCACATGCCCGGTTAATTTTATTTATTTATTTATTTATTTAGAGACAGAGTCTCGCTTCGTCACCAGGTGCCAGGCTGGAGTGCAGTGTCGCAATCTTGGCTCACTGCCTCCCAGGTTCAAGCAATTCTCCTGCCTCAGCCTCCGAGTATACTTTTTTATTTTTTGTAGAGAAGGGCTTTTGCCATGTTGCCCAGGCTAGTCTGGATACTGAGCCCAAGCAATCTGCCCACCTGAGTCTCCCAAAGTGCTGGGATTACAGGCATGAGCCACCGCGATCAGCATTAGAGTTCATTAAAGCACATTTAAACTCAAACTTTAATCATTACATAAACAAAATCCTTTTTGCATTCAAAAACTATTTTAAAGCTATTTACGTTAAAAAAAATGCTTATAAAAACAAAAAAATTATTCAGCTTCATTAAATGAACATTGAAAGATGAACTGAAATTTAGCTATGTGTTTTAGCATGAAGATTCTAGAAATACCACCAGCCTACCAACATTGTAGTCAGGATTATCCAATCCTGCTATGCTGACATGTATAGAAAACTAATAGCAGCAAGGCACTAAGGCAGCTGCTCAGATCTGAACTAGAATGAAATAGAAACTAAACAACTATATCTTGTATAGAGACACTAAAACGACAATTGCAAGCTACGCAGTATAATCATTATGGCATTGTTTACACACAGCAGGAGCTCAATCAATATCTGTGTAGAAAACATCTCTGTAAGAAATCATCTGAGATGATGCCTTTCAGGAAAGGGCATTATAAGAAGACACCAACTGATGAAAAGGAACAGGCTGTATAACAAGAAGTCACACAAAAAAATGAAGACAGGCTACATGACACTTGGGAATAAATTCTATTTTCAGAAAGTATCATTTCCAACAGTGATAAATTCAAGACCCAAAATTTTACTTCTCTTATACTGGGACAATCCTGAAGCAGATGGCAAACCAAACAAAAGTCCCAGTTCTCTCTTAATTAGCCTCAGTTTTATTAAGAAAAATACCACACAGGTCGGGCGCAGTGGCTCACGCCTATAAACCCAACACTTTGGGAGGCCGAGGTGGATCACGAGGTCAAGAGATCGAGACCATCCTGGTCAACATGGTGAAACCCCATCTCTACTAAAAATACAAAAATTAGCTGGACATGGTGGCGCACGCCTGTAGTCCCAGCTACTTGGGAGGCTGAGGCAGGAGAACTGCTTGAACACAGGAGGCGGAAGTTGTGGTGAGTCGAGATCGCACCATTGCACTCCAGCCTGGGTAACAAGAGTGAAACTCCATCTCAAAACAAAAAAAGAAAGAAAAGAAAAATACCACACAAATAATCTGGAAAAATGTTTGGCAGTATTTTCTAAAACTAAATGTATTTATAAACTATGACCCAGTAAATCCCCTCTAGGGTGCTTATGTCCATCAAAAGACAAGTACAAGAATGTTCACAGCAGGTTTATTCATCATAGCCCCAAACTGCCAACACCACAAAGGTATATCAATAAGAGAATGGACACACAAATTGAGATATCCACACAATGGAATTCTGGTCAGCAATGAAAAAGAACTGCTGCTACTCACAATATGGATCTCAGATAATGATAGCAAAAGAAGCCAAACTTAATGAATGCATACTGCATAATACATTTATGTGAAATTCCAAACTGACCTACAGTATGAGAGGTCAGAAGAGTGGCTACTTTTGAGAAGTTATCTACTGAAAGGAAGGCCTCTGTGAGGCTGGAAATGTTTTTGTTGTTTTTTTTTTCAAGAGTCTCCCTCTGTCTCCCAGGCTGGAGTGCAATGGTGTGATCTCCACTCACTGTAACCTCCGCCACCCGGGTTCAAGTCATTCTCGCGCCTCAGCCTCCCAGAATGTTCTATATCTTGATCCAAACAGTGGCTTCACAGGTGTACGCTTGAGTAAAAATTCAGGAAGATGCACACTTAAGGTTTTTGTAGGTTATGCACATTATAGCTCAGTAAAAATGTTAAACAGAAAAATACAAAGAACATAATAAACAAAGAAATTAGACAGTGGTTACTTCTGGAGTAGAGGGGAGAAAAGAACATGGGATCAGAAAGGAACATACCAGTAAGCTTCAATGGTACTGGAAAAATTCTCTTTAAGTTAGATGGTAGGTAGGCTCAAGTATTCATTGTATTACTATGCTTTGGAACACATATCTCCACATATTCTTTGGTATGAATCAAATATTACATAATAAACATTTTTTAAAAACTAAAAAGGAATATATATTCCAAATTTGGTTATCACATCTCCCAACACACATACCCCTAACAAAATCAATCCTCGAAGTAGATCAGAGTGCAGAATAAGGCTGGCCAACAGGTTCTCTTTCACAGGCTGACATGACAGTGGCTGCTTAAAACATTGGTAGAGGTTTCTAAGGCAGAGCACTGGTGGTGATTCTCCAAGTATGTTGTGTATCACATGTGGGAGATGGGAGGACACACATCTGCTATCCCAGTCTAGAAGGGTGAAGAAGCCCAACTCCCTGGGATCAAGATAGGCCTACGTTTATTGTCACACAGCCCCAGTCCCAAGACTAGACACAAAGGCATTCTCTTTTAGCAGAATTCTACAGGTCCTTCAGGCTGCAACAAAGACTTCTGACCTGTACATTCTGTTCTGGGAGTATCTTAGAATTATGGCTGTTTAGGGGTTAGAGAAGAAGGGGGATTGGGGAACAGTATGACTATAAAGGAATGGCACAAAGGGAATCTTTGTGGTGGTGCCATATATCTGTACTTTAATTGTAGCTGGGTTATCCAAACCTACACATGGGATAAAATAACATAGAACCATACGCACACTGTACTAATGTCAATTTCCTAGTTTTGATACTATGTACTACAGCTAAGAAAGATGTAACCACCAGAGGAAACTGGATGAAGAGTACACTGGATAAATAAATAATAATAAATAAATAAATAATGTTTGCAAAAAGAAAGAAAAAAGAACAAAATTCTGGCTGTTTTAGCTACCACTCCCTGAAAGAAGATTGCAGAAAAAAAAAAAAATTATCTCATTAACCAAAGAGCTATGTAATTAAATGTTTATTCCACATAAAATAGTGTCTAAGAGAAAGACACAGGCCATAACTCTACATTATTTTTCAATTAGCCCATGACTATCAGCTAACTCCCAGAAAATTTTACTCAAATATTAAGAAGCAAACGACTAGATTAACTTACCACATCAAGTTTTGCCCATGCCTCATAATCATAAGATTTTATTCTATTTTTTGTGTTTTCCTCTTTGGTTTTTTTGGAAGACTCTTTAGCTTTGCCTTTCTTCTTTTTCCTAAAATTGCCATTTCGAATAGGAGGTAAATTCTAAGGCAGGAAAAAAAAAACACAAAGTTGTGAGTATTCTGCTCTATTACTCTTTGTATAACTAGATATGTTTAAAATTCTCACTATATTTTCTTGTAAGAATTTTGCAATTTAATTTTAAAGTGTTTTACCATCTTCACTCATAATAATTATGCTTGAAAAGTTTAATTCATACTTTGATGAATGTTGGACACTGTTCAATCACAAGAAAAAAGTGTTACCTAGAAATTCTAATTATACCCTTAATTTGCAATCATAAATTCAAACTTCGAAAACAACCTATCTTCATCCTTAGTACGATAAACTAGCAGTAATGCAAAGGCAAACTAAACTGCCTCCATATTATGTACAGTATGAAAATCCAGCCACACTTAAATGCACTGTCTTAGGAAAAACTTTCGGTTGAACCTAGGTACTAACTGCATTTTTATGCCAATATGGTAGGTTAACATATCACTAAATATATAACTACACATATTATTTTTATACACACACACCTCTATATATTTTATGATGCTAGTCATTTACCTCTAAGTATTATCACATGGTCATCCTTTTGGTAACTATTCACTAAGCCTTAAAGTATGGTAACATATTTAATTATTACAAAGACTTTCTGAAAAGCAGAATTTCTAAAAACATTGAGAGTGAAGCAAACCACTTCAATTTCAGTATTTTCACAAAATATTTTAAGAAGTTATGTCTTATTTTTAAAAAACTCATCTCGGTGGATGTTTAATTAGGAATTCTTAATTTACCTCTTCAGGAACACCATTCTGTCTTCTTAGTTCCATATCCTTTTGTTTAATGTCTTTTTCCCAGTTTTCCAAATCCCTCATAAAGTCTTGTAATTCTTCTGCATTTTGTTTCACTTGTAGTTGTAATTCAACTGCTTTATTTGCTGAAGTCATTATGGCCTGCAGAGTTTTGAACAACCAACCTCTGATAAGAATAAGCCTATTTAGTTTATTTTTCTGAAAGCTAACTATTTTTTTTTACCCTTTCATAAGTGGCCAAGAGACATGGACAGAAGAGAGCCAAGTGATGCTAAATAAAGAAAAATCAATATAATATTTTAAAAATAAATCAGCTGCTGAATAAACAAATGAAAAATAGACAAGTTTGAGCACCCTTGAAAGGCAACAATAAAGAATGGGAATATGGAGACAAATCACTGAAATTATCAAGTACCCTATGGTAGCACACAGGCTGCTTATCTCTGGAGTTGAGTGATTACCTCCTTTATTTCTTTTCCTTCCAACATTTAACTTCTACTATGTGAAAGACCCTAAATCAAGATTTAGGGATGCAAAAACAAGACAAGGTCCCCTGTCTAGTGGAGAAAAAATATATATATAAAGTACTAGTAACAAAATAAATATGTTGGGCAGGGTTTCTGACATTTTGAGCCAAAAAAATTAAGAGTGCTGTCCTGCGCATTGTAGGATGATTGCCAACATCTCTGTCCTCTACCAACTAGGTGCCAGGATTATCTCTTCCCCTCATGGCTTGTGACAAGGAAGAAATTCCCAGACACTGCCAAATGTTCCCTAAGAGGTAAAATAACCCCTGGCTGAGAACCCTGTGTGAGGTACATACAGACACTACGGAACTGACCACAAAGGAGAGGCAACAGTCAGATGGTAGGGTGGTAGAATCAAGGAAGGCGTCCCCAGAGGTGTTGGAACTTTAGCTGGGTTTCAAAGGGGCCTGCCAAGTGACTAACAGAGAGGAGTGGGTGGGCAGAGTGAGGGACTATGAGGGAGAATGAAGGAAGAGAAGATTGAAGAGATGGACATGGGACAGCCTTGAAATGGCAGGCCATGAGGTATAACCTATATTCGGAAAGTTATATGAAAATATCAAGGTAGTAAAATAAAATGAACTTGATTACTGCGGTGTTTGAGAACAGAGAAAAATTCAAACAGTGGCCTAGATTTCTGGCTTGGGAGCCTGGTAAGACTACTGACGGCATTTTGAGTCAAGAAATACGTTAAAAGGAAAAGAGGTGTCAAAGTTGGAGGGCAAATGGAAAGTCAAATTATTTGTTTGGGATATGCTGAATTTGAGTGCTAATGGGGCGAGGAGATAATTCAGTAGGTAGCTATATAGAACTATAGATAAATTCAGGTGTTACCAGCATAAAGGTGGAAGCTAGAATCAAGGATATGGTCATGTTTCACCATTGTGACAACTGGGGGATGGAGTAAGCCTGGAGAATACTAAACGGAGGAAGAGATACCAAGGAAGGAAAAAGTAGGCAGTAGCCCTAGACAGCTAGGAGGAAAACCTAGAGTGTACTGTTACAGATGACAAAAAAAATGAGTTCAAGAAAGTGAAAGCGGTTAGGTTTCATCCTCCAAATGCCATGGAGGATACATAGAGGTAAAGAAAGTGTATTATATGAAGACTATTCAGAGTTTTCTTCTTTTATTTTTTTTTCTTTTTTTTAGACAGTCTCACTCAGCCTCCCAAGTGGCTGGGGTTACAAGTGCGGGCCACCACACCTGACTAATTTTTTTTTTTTTTTTCAGTAGAGAGGGGGATTTCACCATGTTGGCTAGGCTGATCTCGAACTCCTGACCTCAAGTGGTTTGCCCACCTCCGCCTCCCAAAGTGCTGGGATTACAGGTGTGAGCCACCGGGCCTGGCCTCGATTCAGAGTTTCAACGGGATTTTTTTTTAAGGGTGGGAGGCCAAGGGTAGTGGCTCATGCCCGTAATCCCAGCATTTTGAGAGGCAGGGGTTGGCAGGCAAGGGGAAGAGCTTGGGCTCAGGAGTTCAAGACCAGCCTGGCCAACACTCCAAGATCCCCGTCTCTACTAAAAATACGAAAATTAGCCAGGCGTGGTGGCAGGTGCCTGTAGTCCCAGCTACTCCGGAGGCTGAAGTGGGAGGATCCACACATAGAGGCTACAGTGGGCGATGATCGTACCACTGCACTCCAGTCTGGGACAAAAAAAAAAAAAAGGAGGAGGGGATGAAATGAGTTAAGTAAATGAGATTATATGGAGATTAGAGTAAATTTGCCTTTGATAATGTAAGACTTGTTCTTGAGCATAGTCTGTGGAAAGAGGAAGAAAGTGAAAGATACAGGAAAAAGGATGAGTAATGGGCCAAAATCTCCAAAAAGGTGGGAGAAGATTCAAAGCTTGAGGGCAGAGGGAGGGAATTAGAAAAAGCACTTGTTTAGGACAGTGAAAATTACCTCACTAAGAAGGGACAATTGCAGATGCAGATAGGTCTTCTGACCCGTAGCCTCAACAACTAAATTAGGTTTAAGCTTCTTTCAGGCAGTGTCCATGTTTGATCATATATGCACAACTCATTCAAAATCAAAACTACACAACGCTTTGTTGGGGACTCAAATATATGAACAAAAGCGCAACGAGTCAGTAAGATGCTGACGGGGATTAGGTGCTTTTCATGTCACCCATCACCGCTGCTGCTCGAGCAGGCCCAAAAACTCCCAGGGACCCTGCGATGGGATAAGGGTGCGAGCCAGCAACCAGAAACTTCCAGCGCTTGGGATACCACTTTCACACCCGCTGTCCCGAAGAACACCGCACCGCGGGCCCCACCGCGGATTTGCGGGAGTGCGGCTCTGCCATCTCGAGCACTGCAAATGGCCCAACACCCCGGGTAGCAGGGTGGAGGGTCCGCCCGCAAAACAGAGCCCAGGAAGCTGGGGCGAGCCCATCCCGGGAACGCGCGCCCCGGGATGCCGCTACCCTAGACACCGACGCGCCGCCCCAACGCGCGCCTGCGCCGCCTGCCCTAGCCCACTCCGCCTCACCAGTACCCATAACTGCTACCCCTCTTCCCACCGGCCACCCCAAGGATCTCCTCCGCTGCTCCTGCCGGCGAGAACCGCAACGCCAACTCACCTGACCAGATCGTCACCCTCCGCACTGACGCCCAGTCAGCCCAGCAGAGACTCACGCCGAGCCCCGCCTCCCGCGCTGGCCCACAAGCCCCCGCGGCCTCGCCCCGCCCCCTGGAGCGTGGGGTTGAGCGCGCGCCGGAAGTCAAATTCGTGACTTCCTTCTCAGAATGGAGCCGGAGTGGTGGCTTGAGGGTACGTAAAGGCAGTATCTGAGCCTTCCGCCTCCTTCCATTATGACTAAACTTAATAGGAGATAACTCAAAAACTGCAGGGTCATCCTGATTTTCTGATCTCCAAAACAATAAAATCTTTAATATGTCCTTGGACTCCCTTTAAACGGTTTAATCCCTAATATTTACCTTGCTAATGTCTAACGATTTGTCTGACCTTTGTGAATGTGATAAGCATGTGAGAAAAGTTACTGTTTTTCCACCATGAACAATCAACTGTCAACTGGTAATCCTGGTAATTTTAGGGGATTTTTTTTTTCCCCGTAAGTACAGGTATTTGGCAAACTAGTTCTTCAGTCCAACTCCCTTGCACTTTTTGCAAGTAAACTCCTTTTCTAAGTGAATCTATCTCTGAGTCTCTTTGACGTGTGCCAGTGTTACAGTCTGTCTTTAGATATGCTCTGGTTTACAGCGAGAAGAAAAATGAAACTTTTAACACTTTTTGCTTCTGCTTCCCGTGTGAGGGAGTCTTCATTCATTGCAATGACAACTCTAAAACGAAAGCAAAACAAAAATAATTCTAGAAGTCCACAAAAGCAAACACAAACAAGTGAAACTTTACATTTAAGACAGGACTGTGACCTCAAATATTATCCTCAAAGTGCAGATCAGTGGTTCTCAGGCTTGACTGAACTTTGGAATCACTTAGAGAGTATATACATATACGTGTGTGTGTATGCATGTATATATACATACTGATTTCTGTGTCCATCCCAGAGATTCTGATGTAACTAGTCTTGAGTGAAGCCTATCAGAATTTTTAAAAGCATAGGATACACCATGCATTTGAAACTTGAAGCCACTAACCAGGTGCTGATCAATGAAGAACTAGGCTGGGGTCATGTCATTAACATATCTTTTCTGTTGTTTAATATTGATATCTTTGTATTTTAAAACCATAGTAGTCAAATCATTACGTATACATCAAAATATTTACTAATGAAATGATTTTTTGGTTGTGTTAGGGAGATAGATTATTGACTTTTAAGAATATTTTTGTTTTTTAAAAATTAATTATTTAAAAACATATATTGATTTTTTTATGTTTTTAACAAAAGCAACCACATTTGTTTTATTAATTCTGGCAGAGTTGATTGAGATGAGAGATAAGGGGGCTAGCTGGCTGCTCTAGTAAAACCTCATAGACCCTTAGGTGAGCCCTCTCTCTCTCTTTGTCTCTCTCAAACCACATAATTATCAGAAGTAGCTTAGTGAATATAGAGTCAAACTGAGAAAAGTTAATCAAATGGTTTTGATGGTCATCATCACCTAATTCTGAGGCTCCTGCTGTCCCACAAAAACATATGCCTGCAATGGTAGCCTTCTCTTCTGTGAGCTCAGACCTAGGCCACCTTAAATTCTTTTCTAGATTCCATGCAGACCTCCCGACTTCTGTTGGCAGTTATCTTCAAATGGATTTCAACAAAATGTCTAAATCATGCCTTTCTTTTATGTCTCTTTTATTCATTTATTTACTCCAATCATCTCAATTGAACTTATTAATATCTGAATAGTTATTTTCAAAGAAACAAACCTCTTTATGTGTTTTATATGTTGAAATTGTAATGGTCAGTGGAAATAAACAGGAGTGTTTATTATTGCAATTAAAATGCTGCAATTAATGATTGTGAATGCTATTAATTTTAATATCCAAAACAAGTATTAAGATCTTTAAAACAGTTAAAGAATTTGACAGTTAATGTAAATCTTAAGAAAGGAAGTATTAGGGGCCGGGCGTGGTGGCTCAAGCCTGTAATCCCAGCACTTTGGGAGGCCGAGGCGGGTGGATCACGAGGTCAAGAGATCGAGACCATCCTGGTCAACATGGTGAAACCCCGTCTCTACTAAAAATACAAAAAATTAGCTGGGCATGGTGGTGCATGCCTGTAATCCCAGCTACTCAGGAGGCTGAGGCAGGAGAATTGCCTGAACCCAGGAGGCGGAGGTTGCGGTGAGCCGAGATCGCGCCATTGCACTCCAGCCTGGGTAACATGAGTGAAACTCCGTCTCAAAAAAAAAAAAAAAAAAAAGAAAGGAAGTATTAGCTAAGTAACTTTGGGAAGAAAAGTTATGACCCTTGGGACTTCCTGTTATGTAGATATTATGTTAAGTTTGGTTGCATGTGACAGAAAGCCCAAAATAAGAGTGGCTTAAACATGAAAAAAGATTATTTCTCTCTCATATAAGACTGAATATAAGCAATCCAGGACTAGTGTGATAGTTCCAGTATGAGAACCGGGCTCTTTCTTCCTGGCTGCTCTGTCATCTTCAGCACATGGCTTTCATTCGTGGTTCAAGCTGGCTGCTCAAGCTCCCATGATCTTGTCTGAAATCCAGTCAGCAGAAAGGGGCAAGAGTGGGAATAACAGTACCCCCTGCCCATTAAGAATACTTCCTTTTGCATGCCATTGGTGAGGGCTTAGACACACGTCGACTTCCAGTTGCGAGGGAGGTCAAGAGTCTATACTCTTGACAGTCATTTGTGTACCTAAAAACTGAGAGTTCAATGAATAAGGAAGAAGAGGAGAGCAGATACAGAGTGGTAACCAGCAGCATAACCTCTGTCAAGGGTCTTAACAAATATTCTTTAAAAAATAATGAATTAACAAGTGAGTAGATACTACTAGAAATCCAAGCTCACTACAACATGAGGAAAAGCGTTGAAATTTGCAATCCTGATTCTGCTACTGAGAATGTAGCTTAATCTGAGCCTCAGTTGTCTAGGTAAAATAAAAGTGGTGAAGTTCAAAATATCCACCAGAGTGAGAAAATGAATGTGAAAGGACTACTTAGCACAGCTTGGGACATGGTAACAGGTTAACAAATGTTAGTTCTTACCCTGCTCTCCTGCAAAGCTAAGGCCCAGACCCTGGCATATAGTACTCTCTCCTGCGTTTCTGTCTTTCTGCCTTCTACTGGACTACCTGGAAGACCTCTGAAGAGACCTATGAAGAGCACAAGTACTGGGGACCAATAGATGAAGGTTAAAGCTGATAGCAGGGATAGTAAATTGCCTCTCCTGGTATAAAATTAAATCTGTATGATAAATGAGACAAGAATTACTATAAGAAAGACCAGCATGCTATTTTACATTCCTTATCTCACAACAGTGGTAATATCATCCCCGTTTGCCTGGTGAGGAAATGATCTGAATAATTAAGAAATTTGCTCATATGGCCAGTAAGCAACAAAGCCTGGCTAGTTACCTGGGCGACATAACCTCAGAGCCTGTACCTGTTAGCCCTATGCTCTACTGACTCCCTGTCTTGCCTGTTGACCATGAACATCCCTGGGAAAGGACAAGACAAGGCCCTTTTCCATCTATCTAGAGTCTGTAACTTGCCCGAGGTATCCCTTCATACCTGACCTTTTTCTAGCATTGTGGCTTGAGTAATCTGTTTACAGATAAGAAATCTTTTTCTGTATCTCTTTAGCATCTCCTCTTCACCCAGTGTGGTCAACATCTGCAACCACAGAAGCTACATCCAGAAATGTCCTTATACTCCTGTGTATGTGGTCAAGGGGACTGGTTATTGAGGATGGGGACCACCAGTCTTCATTTACCCCCCTCCTCATTATCTATATGCAGTGCTCTTTCCACTCTTCATATTACAGAATTCTCTTCCCTTCTTGGCTAGAGACTTATTGAGTCAACGGGGACTTCACCCAGATACTGCATTCTCCAAGCCATTCTGAAAAGAAGCTAGAGCAGAAGTGTCACTCCTAGCCCCGCTCCAGGGAAAAGGCAAGGAGGGAGGCCATTTACAAAGAAGACACTCATTTTAAGTTTTCTTCAATGACTTTAATTGGAAATTTGACCCGTCTAAACCATAGTTCACAGCCAGCTCTGTGGTACAGCATTTGGTTCTCAATGAGGTTGGGGAAGAAATGCATAATTGAGGTTAAAATGGAGAGCCCCAGTCTCTCTGGTCTCCTAGAGTTATTCAAATCATAGCTGCTGGATAAGCCTTAAAATGATAATTATTATTGTTACTTTTTTTCGAGATGGAGTCTCACTCTGTCACGCAGGCTGGTGTGCAGTGGCACGATCTCCACTCACTGCAACCTCTGCCTCCCAGGTTCAAGTGATTCTTCTGCCTCAGTCCCCTGAGTAGCCGGGATTACAGGCACATGCCACCATGCCCAGCTAATTTTTGTATTTTTAGTAGAGACAGGGTTTCACCATATTGGCCAGGCTTGGTCTCAAACTCCTGACCACGTGATTCGCCCACCTCAGCCTCCCAAAGTGCTGGGATTACAGGCGTGAGCCACCGCACCTGGCCTAAAATAATTATGTCAATGACACCAACCTACAGGTTACTTCTTCTGATGGTGAATCTTCCTCCTATGAGGATAACTCTTTCAAAAAAAAAAAAACTATTTGGGATCAAAATACAAGTCTGTAGTTGCACTAAACATACACAAGTGGGAAACTTCTTGATGCAGATACTGAGCTGAACATAAAAACACTCAGGCCTAGAGAAGACCACACCACCCTCAGCCCACTCACTGTACCAACATATTACCCTTCTCCATCCAACATTGGAATTATCCCAGACTCTGTTCTGAGAGGATCTAACTCTGGAAAAAAACAAAGGTCCTTGCTTGATTACTGTGGCCTTACTTCTTTGAGGACCCCAACACAGGGCTGAGTTGTCGTTTATGGAGCTGTGTATAATAACAGCCATTATAGCTTGAATTTCTATCAGCTGTTCTTCCTAAGAACAATTGAAAACACCTTCACAGTAAAAATATCATCAGGGTTTGCCCTCTCACCAACCGCAAAAAGAGGAAAGTGGGCAGACCCCTTCCTGTTACATTAAAGGGAAGCATGAGGCCTAGTGAGGTTGAAGGACTTGTTCCTAGCTTCCCCACACATCAGGGCAAAGAGCTATGGAGGGTTCCTACCTTCTCTGCCTGGACTCTATTTCTTAGTCTACATAGCCAAAATTCTGGAGGACAAAGATTTGACTGTTTCTCCACATTTTTCTAATTTGTACATTTTCTCTCTTTCCCATGCGGGCACTTTGGGATTTAGGAATGCTTCTCATTGCTTTGAGATGAGGGGATCCCTCCCAGTCTTCTCCCTCTTCTCTCTAGTCCAAAGAAGATAGCACTTTAGTCTTGCAAGAGCCCTCATGCCCCTTTCTGGCTCAAAGTTCTATTAGGTGGAAGACACTATGTAGGCTGTGGCGATGTACTTCTTGCCATTCCCGTAGGTGGAATTGTCCCAGGTGTAGGTCCGGATGGCCAAGGGATATCCTCCCAGGCTTAGCTGGCACCTGTGGGGAAAGATCCTGAAATCAGAGGGGCTTACCACTTTACCGTGCCTCTCCCTGGGCTGGAAGGATCAAACCCAACCTAAGCAGAAGGGCTCCATCCTTAATGGATGGAGCTTAAACAGCCTTAAAGACAGCTGGCACTGCTTTCTCCAGCAGCTGCCTCCAGGTCCCCATGTGTAGGGAGCCATTTCAAAATCTTTGCCTTATTTCTTGTCTTAAAGAATGCTGTTCCTCATCTTTCCTAGAGCAATATTTCAAAATCTCAGATTCTAGAGGTGAAATCCTCAGAAATTAAATGTTTGCTTAGGGTTTCAGAAGTGGGAGAACTCAATGTGTTCAAATTTTAGAGACTATGAGGCCGAGTGGTTCCTAATGGTACTTTCTGGGCTCTAGGTTCCCCTAAGTAGCCCCAGGGGACAAAGAGGCTGAGAGCCCCAAGACAACTCCACTTCTATTTCATATGCTAAGGTCCTACGGAGGATTTCAGTTTGAGGAGATGAGGGGAGATAGTTTTGCTGCTAAGATGAAGTTTGGCAGCCACTGAACTATCCAAAAACTTCATTGTTCAAGCAAGAGAAGTGAGGCCCAAAGCACAGATTTGTCCAAGCCCTCCCAGCCTCTTTGTGGCAGAGTCCAGGTCTCCCAACCCTGGGCTATCTGACGACAGCCTGTGGCCCCAGACTGCTCCTTGGGCCTGGCTGGCCCCGTCCGTACACTTTGCCTGGCCTGGCGATGAAGCATAAGGAGTAGAGTGCAAACTCAAACTCAGGGCTGCTGCCGATGAAAGCGGAGCCCACTTCTTTATAGTAGCCGTCCCAAGTGAACTGCATTGCCAGCACGTCAGGGTAAGAATCCCACTGCGGAGGGAAGGGCAGAAAAGGGGGTCTGGTGAGTGCCACACAGTGAGGTAGGACAGGTGCCCAATGGCAACAGTCAGACAGTATTTGTTGAGGGTCCATTGGGGGCCTGTGTGAACCTCCCAGAAAGACTGGATTCTTTAAATAGAGGAGACAGTCTGCCTTGCTAAGGTGTCTGAGCCTGCCCGGACCCTCTGCCTGGAGCTGCCAGTGTACATCTACCAAGAAGGCCAAAGTCACTATCCGTAGGATCCATCTCTGGGTATCAACGATGTCACTGTTCCCTGTGGCCCTCACACATGGAAGAGAAAGATCGTTTACTGCCCCCAAATTATTTCCTGGTACTGGGCAGCAAAGGTTTCTGCCTTATAAAGTGTATGAAGTTTAGCTCAAACTCGCCAGGCTAAAGCTTTCAGCCACATTCTAAGGAAACTGAGGCAGTGGGTAATTGTATGTCTTTGGTTCTTCCCTTTGAGAATCCTCCCCAGGCCCCAGCCTGCCACCCAGATATGGTGTCTTCTGCCTCCTGTCCCCTGCAGTTCTAGAGCCTTCACTGTTTGGAAGGGAATTCCGGTGTCCTGGCTAAACTGGTTGTCCAGTAGGTGAGGACATCATAGTCACAATCCCCTGGGGCTGCCCCATGAGAGTCAGGCTGAGATACAAGTCTGACTCTTTGGAATGCAGAGTGAGAGCAGGACATCTGGGTGCTGTCAAGGCTTTTCCAGCCCATGTACTCACAGGCCCATCGAGGATGTGACTGTAATAGTCAACCAGGCCCTCCTTCTCCTGCAGATAGAAGCGGATCCAGTTATGGAAGCCAGTAACCTTGCCTTTTTTGACTTCACCTATAATAAAGAGTCCAAGGTGCATAATCGGGGCTCCTTCCCCACCCTGCCCTCTAAACCCCTTTCTCCACCCCATTCCAAGGCTTCCCTCTTCTCCAGTCTCTGACTTCTAGCTGCTCACCCCCTCACTCTGAGCCCCCATAGTCTCTCACAGTCCTATCTCTCACATCAGGAAGACCCCCCTTTTGGCTGAAGCCCTTAGGAGAATTCTTCCTTCTGGTGATCCTAATGACCTCTCTCAGCCATTACTCCAGCAGCAAGCCAAGCTTGGTGGGAGTTTTGTGGGCAGAACAGGAGAGAACAGACCATGGCCCTCTTGGGAAGCAGTTGGCCAGGCCCTGGAAGCAAAGGACTATTCAGAGGTAGGCACCCTTGCTCCCAGACATTTGTCTTGTCCTAGATGTAACCTCTTGGGAATCTCAGCATCTGGTCTTCTTTCTCAGTTAAGTACTCTAGAAATTTCTCAGAATGGCTCCTGAGACCCACCCTCTACCCCAGCCATTTGGGCAGGGGAGTGCACGGGTCCCTCCCTGCTAGCTGGCTCGACTGCTGATTAATCCACACCCAGGGCTACCCTGCTCCTGAGCAAAGCCATTCCTCTTCATCCTTCCAACTCTTTATTTTCAAGAAAAGTGCTCCCACCTGAGAAGACGTGTTCAAAGCCACTTGAGTCCCCCTCCTCTTTGCCTCTTGAATAGAGCCCAAACCACATGTTCTTCAAGTCATCGACAAATTCTTGTTCTGAGCTATAGCGGTCTGCAGAGAGGAACACAGGGCTTTGGAGAGGGGAGGCCTTTGGAGAGGGCTAGGTCCTGGGAGCACTAAACAGAGACCTGCTAAACAGGGCTACCTGCTCCCACATGCCAAGAGACATGTGGGTTCAATCAACAAATGTGTTCAGTTGTTTATTCAACACCTATCTATGAGATGCCTATTTTATGCCAGGTCCAGATCTGAAGACTAAGGATTCAGCTGGGAATAGCACCGTCACAGTCTCTATCTATCTTACATTCCAGTGGAGGAGTCAAAACATAAACAATAAACAATAAGAAATACGATTTCAGATCAGTGCTATGAAGCAGAGTAGCCCGCAATGACTGGACGGCTGGCATAGGGGTGGGGGGTTTCTTCTAGAAAGGAACATCAGAAAGGCCTCTTTCTGATCAGTGAGAAGGTAGCACTGATCAGAGAGCTGAAGGATAAGGAAGCAGCTACACAAAGATCTGGGGAGAAGATTCTTCTATGTAGAGGGACCTGCAAGAGCAAAGGCTCCAGGCAGACCTAGTTTGCTGTTCAAAGAACTGAAAGAAAGTCAATGAGGCAGGAGGGGAGAGTGATGGCTGAGTGACAGGAGAGGAGGTTTGAGAAGCAGCCAGGAGTCAGATCCTCCAAGCCATGGCAAGAAGGTCAGATCTGAGGCAAATAGAAATAAAACAAAAAATATTTTAGGTTTACTAATTGCTTTCTGTGTACCTAGTGCCATTTTAAATGTTTTCAATATAACACTGAATCCTCACATTGAATCTTCACATAAAGTTGGTACTAATTATCTCCAACTTTAAAATGAGGAAACTGAGACAGACAAAGAGTATCAAACTCATACAAGATCACACAGTTAATGAAAGGTAGAGAGAGCGCTTGAGTCCACTAAGTCTAACTCCAGAGACCAATCTCTTTAACAACTCAGCTTTAAAATCCTTCAGAGCTACTGAAGGATTTTAAGCAGGGGAATTATAGATAGACAATCACCCTGGCTATGGATGTAAAAAAGGCAATGGGGTGGTGTGAGTGGAAGCAGAGAGACCTGTTTTGAGGCTCATGCTTTGGCCACATAAGAAGTTGATGGGGCTTAGATGGCGGTGTTAACTCCAAAGGAGGAGGGAGCAGCAGTAGGTCCAGGACATTACATTGCTGATGGAGGCAATGGGGGTAGGGAACTTTGAGGCAAAGAGAACAATTAAATCCAACTCCTAGGCTTTTGATCTGAGCAACTGGATGGGTTATGCTGTCATTTGTCTTGTCTTAAAGAATGCTGTTCCTCATCTTTCCTAGAGCAATATTTCAAAATCTCAGATTCTAGAGGTGAAATCCTCAGAAATTAAACGCTTGCTTAGGGTTTCAGAAGTGGGAGAACTCAATGTGTTCAAATGTTAGAGACTATGAGGCCGAGTGGTTCCTAATGGTACTTTCTGGGCTCTAGGTTCCCCTAAGTAGCCCCAGGGGACAAAGAGAAGGGGAGACAGGGAAGACCCAGGGAGGAGCAGGTATGGAGAAAGAGATGGGAACCAAATATTCTTTCTACTTTAAGCTCTGTGTGAATATCGGTTAGATAGCCAAGTGGAGATGTTGAAAAAGCCCTTGAGAAATTTTAGGGCTGGAGATTTCAATGAGGGAACCATCCAACATTGCCTGTTTACTGCCTAGAATTTTGTATGGTGAATACAAAAGAGATACCAGACATATTCCTTCCTTTCAAGAACTTAAAACACATTTGGAAAACAAGACTAAATATACATGAAATAACAGAGAATGGTTTCACACACTGAATAGCTACCCTTACTGAGCACTGACTCAGTGCCAGGCTTTCTACTGGGTGCTTTATAAGCGGTCATCCTCAAAAACCACATTTCAAAGGGAAGCCCCAGAGAGGTCAAATAAATTCCCCAGGGTCGAGTCACTAGCAAGTGGCAGAGCCAAGATTAAAACCAAGTCTCTCTAGCCCAAGGCTGTTGTGGACCACACTTCAAATTCTGCAGAGGTGCCAAAAGCCAGAGTTAGTTGGGGCAGGTGCAGCCTTCACAAATGTGGTGGGATATGGGCTATTATAGAACTTAAAGGATAAGTGGGATTTGGACAAGGAGAGAGGTGAGAAGAGAGTGAATAATGGGACAGCCTGGCCTTGGCGTCAGAACCCTGAGTTCCAGCCCCAGCTCTGCTTCCAACTCCTTTGTGGCCTCAGGTAAGTCTAGCCTGTCTGACCTCCATTTCTCTCATTTGAAAAGCCCTTGCTCAGTCTAGACCTCCAAGATTCTCTTGTGTATTTACTACAAAGAAAACACCAGGGGGCAGCACAGGATTGCAACGTCTTCATGGAGTCAGTCCTGTGTCACTGTCACTTTCCTTAAAAACAGTGTCACCAACTCTTAAGGGAGGCACCCCCTCAGAGCCAAGCACTCTCAGGGGCAAAGAGGGAAGACCCGGGCAGAGCCACCCCTGAGACAAAGTCCAGCTGCCTGGAGTTTGGAAAGAAATCTGCAGGATGCTAACAAACACAACCCCATGCCAAGAAGTCCTGCGACCAAAATCTTTTTTGGTCTGACTCAAATCTATCTCCATCTGGAGGCTTTCCAACCAGAACTCTTCCTGGTAGGACTTCCCTCTTTGAACCTTTGTTGATTTTCTGATGCTATTTCCCCAGCCAAAAGGTGGACTCAGCCAGCCCAATTCCTGGACTTCAGTGCAGGAGAAGGGAGTAAGTAGAATCAGCGACTGTACCTATCTGAAATGTGGTGCTGACTTTGGGTAGCTGAGATGTGCCCTGGGTGGGGGTGGGATCTGAGGGGAGGCTCACGCCAGGCAGAGAACCCTAAGACTGTAGCAGAGGGTGAGGCATGCATGAGGCAGCTAACATGAAGTCAAAGGTGGGGTGATTTCCAGGCCAGCCAGCCAGCCAGAGGATGTGTCATCTCCTGGTTGGGTTCCTAATCTTTCTTGGCTTCCCCCTGGCCTCATCCCTGATTCCTCTCAGATGTATACCAACTTCCACAGAGTCCCCACCGCCTCCTCACCTGCCCTCCTAACCTTTCCCTCCCCCACCCACCTGGCTTCCCTTAGACAGACTCATGAGTCCTGGGGGTTGGGGATGCTCACTCACTTTGGTAATGGAGGAAGCTGTAGAGCTCCTTCATGACTGCCGTCTTCATGATCTCTCTGAGGAAGGCGTCCTGCTCGGCCAGCTGCTGGGCGCTGAAGTGCTCCCCATGGCCTGTCGCCCGCTGGTAGTTGTTGAGGAGGTTGATGAAGGCTGCATAGGTGGGCTTGGAGAACAGCTTCTCATTGACGTAAGTGAAGAGTCTAGGGGAGGCGGAGGGGAACCACTGAGAGCCCCAAACTTGGGGCAGAGACCCCTCCAGAGACTTCTAGACAGGCCAGGGGCAGGCAAGTGAGGGCTGGGTTCAGGAGCTGAGGGGGAACTTCAGGTACTCTTGAAGGCCACACATCAGGTCACTTTTCTTCCACCTCATATTTTGGAAAAGCTGTTCTATCCTCAGCCTGGCCAATCACAGAAACCCTCCCAACTGGATACCCACAGTCCCTCAAGATGTCTTTGTCTCTGGAGACCTGATTTTTTTCTTTTCTCTCTTTGATCTTGCCTGACTTGAGGATAAAAGAGCTGAGGCATCACAAGAAGCAAGGATGGGGGCGAAATTTCGGGGGCAGGAAGAGGAATTGGAGGAACTCACGGCTTTGGGCAGTGATCCACTTGGTCTCTGGTCTCTGATGGGGAGATGCAGTTTTGTCTGTTGAGAATGATATCTTCCTTCTGGGCTTTGTTGGTGTCTGCCCTGTAGATCTTCTCAGAGATGCTCTGAATCTCCTCTTTGGTTATGGCATCACTGCTGTAGGAGAAGCCCTCTGGGAGGAATTGGGAGAGGGGTGGTCTCAGAGCCAGAAAGTGGGAGGTGGGCAGGAAATTGTCTGTGTTCATCCCCTCCTGGACCTTCAGGAAGTCAGCATGGAGGGAGGGGAGCCACAATTGGACACCCTAGTGGTTGAAGGACAGGGGCACAGAGCCTGAAGGACCTGTAAAATCAGCACATGGCATTGCCTACAAAATGTCCTTCCACCCCTTCCCCCCAGGAGAGGTCTCATGCTTCCGCATGCATCAGAATCACCTGGAGGCCGTGGTAAAACAGGGCAGTGAGTCCCACCCTGAGAGTTTCTGATTCAACAGGCTTGGAGCAAAGCCCCAGAGTCTGCGTTATCTAACGAGTTCTCAGACATTGCTGATGATGGTGGTCTGGGGACTACACACTGAGAACCTCTACTCTAGAGTCCTTCTGTCTCTGCAGGTTAGCTAAGGGAGCAGAAGACTAACCACGGTCACTACACAGGCTCTCGAAATCCTTGCAGCAGTTTCCAAACTCTTGGCAGTGGGCATTGCAGTGACATTGCTGGTGCTTGTCGAAGGCTTCGTAGCAGCGGCCCTGGCAGGAGGTGGGTGCCGAGTACAAGTCTGAGAAGAGAGGGGAGGTGTGTCCGAGACCAACCTCTAGAGGTTGCTGTGAACACCCCACAGGCCATCCCTCCCTCCTGGCTCTCCTGACTCTGCCCAGTAAAGATCTCCAGGGAAGGAAAACAAACAAGCCTAATTCGTACACACGCTTCACAGTCAGGAAGTCCTTTCCGATGCCGAACTTTACTTTCTGGCACGCTGTTTTTCTAATCTTCCCAATCTAAAAATAAAATCTCTTCCACTTCCCTCTCTGGGCCTCAGGCTCTCTTTCTAGCTACCCTTCTCCCGTAGCCCCCCAGGCTGGCTGAGGCACCCAGACTTCTTCCTGCTCAGGCTGCCAGAATCCAGCGAGCCCCTCTCATCTGGCTGAGGCCCGGGCTTGGTGCCACAGCCATGGCCGCCTCTCCTTGTCACCCTCACGTCCCTCCTGCTTTATGTTGAGGGCCCTTTGGGGAGGCAGGCTCATTGCTGGCAAGGGCCTCTTCTGTCTTTTCCTCTGGCTGTGGGAACGGCTCTGACTCTTTGTGGTCCTCTGCAGGTAGACAGAAAAATAAAGTCACCAACCACCTGAGAATTCCCCTCCTGCTTGGTTTCTGGTTCTCAGCTCCCCCAGCCTCAGAGACAAGCAAGGGCACTAGAAGCAAATCCTGAACAGGGGCTGGGGTCCAATGGACAGTCACCAAATAACAGGGATGAAAACAGAAAATGGAAGATGTTTCCAATGGAAAACACATTATAGAAAATTTATAAAAAAGGAAAATAATGTCCCCAGGTGACACATCTGGATTGAAAACTCTGATTTCGGTGATGAAGTTTTTTTAACAAAAGTTGACAGATGGATAGTCTTGATGCTTTCCTAATGATAAGGCTCTCATTTAGGAAGTTCCTGTACCTAGAATAACTTCTAATCAGAGTCTAGGGTAAATTCTCAGGGTCTCAAGGAGAAAGAGCCGTTTCCTGAGATTCCAACTTCCCTTCTTTCTTTGCCCCACTTGGAAATGGCCACAAAGACTGTGTCTAGGGAAAGGGCATGTTCAGAAGAGCACATTCCTATTGCTGTCCCATCCCCTTCACCTGCAAGCCGAATGACTTTAGCTCCTCTCTAGGCGGAGAAGGGTGGATTTAAGGTGGGGAGGGGGCTGGGGGAGAAATGTTCCTGGGGACTCTGAGTTCCTCTCTCATCACATAATTCCCACCACCCCACACACACCCAACAAACAATACTGTTACAAAGTGATTCAGAATCTACTAGTGAGTTTGCTGGTAAGTATCGTGTTATTACCATCAGAACCAGAAGAATAACCAGTCAGGTTATTCTCCAGTCAACAAACATCTGATCACTTACTATAATCAGGCTGTGTTCTAAGTGCTGGCAATCGTTAGGCTTGTGAATTCAGCCACAATTTATGCTAAATAGAATTTTGTATGCTGAGCTGGAGTCCTAACCATCATTTCCAATATATTTTTCTATTGGAAAGGGGTTCTGAGTTGCAAATCAGAAACTTGGAGATGAAATGACTGTTATGCTGGGTATTGCCTTTATCTTGAATGCCAGCCTGATGGGCCAAGGTGAACAGGCCTTCCTGTGTTTGCTGAATGGTAAGAAAAAGTGGGGACACAAGGGCAGCGGAAAAGGCATAGGCTCTGATTCGGGCTGAGCTCTGGGCCTGGGTCTCCCTGCCTGGGCAAGGAAGTGTGTGTGTGTGCGTGTGTGTATGTGCACTGGCATGCCCACATATACATATGGTGCTAATATATAATACATACGCTAATATATACAGTAATAGGGTTGGCTGTGTCCCCCCTGAATCTCATCTTGAATGGTAACTTCCATAATCTCTGCCTGTCATGGGAGGGACCCAGTGGGAGGTAATTGAATCATGGGGGCAGGTTTTTCCCAAGCTGTTCTTGTGATAGTGAATAAGTCTCACGATATCTGATAGGTTTTTTTTTTTTCTTTTTCTTTTTCCTTTTTTTTTTTTTTTTTTTTTTGAGACAGAGTCTTGCTCTGTTATCAGGCTGGAGTGCAATGGCATGATCTCAGCTCACTGCAACCTCTGACTCCCTGGTTCAAGTGATTCTCCTGCCTTAGCCTCCTGCGTAACTGGGATTACAGGGACGCACCACCATGCCCAGCTAATTTTTTTGTGTTTTTAGTAGAGATGGGGTTTTCGACATGTTGGCCACAATGCTCTCAATCTCCCGACCTCATCATCAGTCTGCCTCGGCCTCCCAAAGTGCTGGGATTACAGAAGTGAGCCACCGGCGCCTGGCAGATATCTGACAGTTTTATAAAGGGAAGTTCCCCTGCACTTTGCCACCATGTAAGATGTGTCTTTGCTCCTCCTTTGCCTTCCACCATCCTTGTGAGGCCTCCCCAGCCGTATGGAACTGTGAGTCTATTAGACCTTTTTCTTTATAAATTACGCAGTCTCGGGTATTTCTTCATAGCAGTATGAAAATGGACTAATACATATGGTGTTTTTGTGTAAATTGAAAAAACGTTCCATATGAGTGGAAGCAGCTCTGTGGGCACTTGGCTGGCTACCACCTTAGAGCAAATTCAGAAAAGGCACTCCTTTTTCTCAGCAGACACAACTCTGCACCAGGGCACACAACCTGATGAGAAGGATACAGACTGGATTTGGGTCCAGCTTGCTGCTTAAATAGGTTCCCTTGTACAATGCACAACCTGTGCAATGATTATGCAGTGGGCTTGCTGGCTATTACCTAACTTGACTTCAGTGACCTGTCCTCGAAACTGGGAGTCAGAGTGCATGGCTCGACAGCAAGGCTTTGTGTCACAAAGCGGATCATTAATCTTCTGGAAGAGATTAATGGAATCTAATCTAAATTTGGAAGCACCTAAACAAGTAGATTATTCATACAAGATTGTTTTCAAGTATTCATTTAAAACTGTGCAGTTGGAGTAGTGGAGGAGCAGCAGCCTTTGAAGGTGGTGCATGTCCTGTTTTCATCAGTGAGCTGGAAATGACACGATGGAGATGTCATGCCACGTGGTCCCTTCACTAGAGGAAGAGTGGTATGAATTGTGTGAGTCACTGTGACACCATGCAGCCTTCCTGGCGGTATACAAGTTGTGAGAGTTTGCTACCATTTTTACATTTTTGTGATTTTAAAGTGTTGAATAACAATTAGTAATGTCAGACATACTAAAATATAATTTTTATCATTTTATCCTTTTTTAGAATTTGGTACTTAAACTTTCAAGATATTGTTAATACTGATAGTTCAGACAGATATTCTTTGTAAATGACATCTACTATATTTTAAGTTGGGGGCATCCTAGAAAACCTGAGACAAGTGTTGGCCAAATCCCTGACCCTGCCTCTGTCCCTCAGTGCTCTCTGTCCAGACCCTTAAAGCCCCTCTGAGTCCTGAACACTGCTCTGGCCTGCTGGACACCCAGGCCAATGACCCCTCAAGCAGGCTGGAGGTGCCTTCGTCTCACAAGGAGGCTCACCAGTACACAGGTGTTTATAGTCTTCACAACAGTCCCCATGCCAGGGACACCAGCAGTCACACTGGCAGGCAGCATCCCGGTTAAATTTCTCATTACATCGAGATGCATAGGATTCCATTTTTCCTATGGGCAGTAAAGGTGGGAAACTCAGCTCTATGGAGACTCTATTCTCCTCCCTAAGGTGCCTCCTGCAGGAGGGTTCACAGACCAAGGCAGGAGTATACCTGGCAGAGAATGGTATTACCCTCTGCAAGGGAGAAGTACATCCACAGCCTCCCAAGTACAACATAAGCCTCCTCCCCACCGCCCAACACCCACCGAATATTTCAAGGCTCATTAAGGAGACCAGGATCACAAACCCAAATGCCTATTTGGGTCAGGCCCATAACATAAACAAGTAAAGAAGCAGGGTATGAGGCAGTAGGAAGAAATGGAGACTGTGACAAACTTAAGAGCAATGCTCCATCTGAAGTTTGCAGCTGATGCTCAGCTCCAGCCAATTGTTGCCATGTTGGGACGTGGGCTCAGTGTTGCCAGAGCCTCCTGTTTTTCTTCAAGACAAATATTCATTTTTATGTGAAATGTTCCAAGCTTATAAAGCTTTAAACATGCCAAAGAAAGAGGTCTGTGAACTGGGTGTAGCCCACAGGCCCCCTTCACCTGTCATGTAGATGCTGTCCCAGGGATGCCCCCTGCCCTCTCACTCCCCCCTGGCTCTTATCCCATCCCTGTTCTTTGCTTCTTTGCTTTTCTCTCACCTTCCTCCACTCTGCACCCTCTTTCCCCATGTCATATCTTTTGGTTCTTTCCAGTCTTTGGAGTGCATTCAGATTAGTTTATGCTCAGGGTAGGGAATGAGGCGAGTGTGGGTGAGAATTGGGCTCTGGCATAGCATTCTATTATATAACCACAGACCACATCCCCCACTCCAGCCAAATGGTTTGCAGAAGCAAGCTTTTTGTCGCAAGGGATGTAAGACAAGTTGAAAGAGCTGTGGAAACTCACTATCCACTCTGGGTTTTAAGGGTGATAACGGAGTGTTTGTTCGATTTGAGGTTCCTGAGGTTTGGACTTCATGAACGCTGGGTTAAGTGATCATACTGTGGGCTACAAAGAATTCCAAGATCAGAGTCAGGGTTACCATCAGCATCAGAATTTCTATCAGGGTGGAAACTGAAACCTAATCAGGTTGGACCAGGGTTGGGATTAGGTTAAGAACTTCAGTTAGGATTTGTGCTTGAGTTAAATTTATTGATAAATTAACAATTTTGTATTGATATTTGGGTAAGGAATAGGAATAGACTTAAGATGACATTGGGGTTGAGGAATGTGTCAGGATGAGAAAAGGACAAATAATCCCTGTTTTATTTGGGGGCTTGGTTCTGGTTACGATTCAACACAAAATAGTATCTTCATTTAAGCCAGGAGTGGGTTAGAGCTTAAATATTAGAGGTTGGGTTTAGTTACCAATCCCTAATACTGGATTCTGGGATTGAGGTTGATACTGTGTCTAATGAGGGATGGCATAGCAGAGAGGTTAAGAGTCTAGACTCTGGGCCAGGCAAGGTAACTCATGGCTGTGATCCCAGCACTTTGGGTGCCTGAGGCAGGCAGATCACCTGAGGTCAGGGGTTTGAGACCAGCCTACACACCAACATGGTGAAATCCCATCTCTACTAAAAATATAAAAATTAGCCAAGCATGGTGGTGGGCATCTGTAATCCTAGCTACTCAGGAGGCTGAGGCAGGAGAATTGCTTGAACCTGAGAGACGGAGGTTGCAGTGAGCTGACACAGTGCCACTGCACTCTAGCCTGGGCGACAGAGTGAGACTCCATCCCAAAAATAAAAAAATAGAACCTAGACTCTGGCGCCAAACTACTTGAGACTGGAATTCTGGTTCTACTGCTTTCTAGCTATGTGATCTTGGGCAAGTTATTTAAACTTCTATGCCTCCGTTTTCTTATCTGTAAAAGCGGGATGATAATGGAGTCTATCTCATAGAATATTTATAAGAATTAAATGAGTTAATATGTGTAAAGCACTTAGGACAGGAAGTGACACATAGTAGTACCATAGAAGTACTTGTTAGGTAAATAAACGGTGGCAATATTTCATGCCCATCTTCCAAGTAACAAGTGTTCCGACTGGCTGGAGCAGCCTTCCCTGTGCGGTGGCCCTGCCGTCACACTTAATTTAGCTGAAACTCTTCCAGGGTTTCAGCAGGGTCATCCCTTGGGCTGGGTTGTCAGCACATCTGTGTTGCTGGTTTCCTGACCGACTTGATCACTACAGGTCTGTATTCTTTACATCAGAGAGGCATCAGGTCAAAGTTAACCCAGGTCCTCAGACAACTTTGCATTGTAAGTCATCCAAGGTGGTCAGGAAGGCAGATTTCCAGTCCCTAAAAGAGACCAGGCCCAAGGCCACTTGTTCCTTCAAGCCCACAGGAACTCCTCTTGAATGTTAAATGATGCTTCCTTGGAGCCTGAATGCAAAGATCTTAAGGAGAAATTTTCAGCCCATCAGCTGCCTGCTCAGTCAGCCTGGCAGTACACCCAGAATCCAAAGGGAGAGAATTCAGGCAAATCAGGGCAATATTTTTAATGGGCCAAATCAGCAGAGTCCAGGAAAATAATTCACCTCATTCCAGCAGCTGGCACCAGTTGAGGAGGGTTGCAAGCGAGCAGTCCGCTGAATGTGCAGGAGAGCACCCCCGCCGGCCAAGCTGAGTGGGCTTTTTCATCTCTGCCCAAGAACTTTGTCTCCAGCAAGAACCCCATGCCAGCACTTTCCCACATGTCTCTGTGCTCTTGGCCTGCTTCAGGGTGACCTTGGGATTTGACAGTGGAGGGCAGAGGGGGAGGAACTTTTCCTCATGGGCATCTTGCTGTTTCCTGGCTGACTTCATCACTTCATAAGTGATGTTCTGGGGATACTCTGATGAGTAACTAGTTACCCTAACAACTCACTCCAGCACCCCTACACTGTGCCATTGACACCAACACTGAGTAAGCCTTCTTCCCCAGGCAGGCACCTGAATCACTGCTCTAGTAACCTGTGCCTCTTATTCCTCTGCTTCACCTCTCTGACTCTCTGCCTTTCTTCATTTGGGCCTTTCCTCTCTCAAGCTCAGATTCTCCCTCCATTACCCCACAGAATGCTCAATTTCTCTGCACCTTCTCAGACTTCAATATGCCAGAATAGCCACTCCCTATCGATACTGGCCATCAAGAAAGCTTGGTCCCAAGCCTGAGTGGACACAGTGTCCCTGTACACTGGCACTCAGCCCCTCTGATGACTGGGACATCCACACCTGTGCCTCTCAGAAGGCCCTAGATGCTGTTTCCATGGAGATCTAGTCAACCAAGAAGCCTCACCCCTTGGACTAGCTTCCTGCCTCCATTCACAACCAAAAAACAATTAAGGTTCTCCACAGGCATCCAGCTCATAAAGGAGGACCTGAGGCTGGCAATGATCCATGTGATTCATATTCTTGCATCTCAGTTCTGAGATGTTCGGATAGTATCAACAAGTGCAGAGCCTCTTCCCTGCCACCTTAGGAGGCCTCACACACTTGACCTCACTTCCAGCTGATTCCACAGCCTATACAGATTGCTGCCGTCTAACCCAGTAGCAAGAGCTCTACCTGCATTTCTGAAGCCACTTCTACCTCTGCCCTCAGGGATGTCCCCCCAGGGACCAAATATCCGGAGTTGCTCTTCTTCCCTAAGCCTGGGATATGCCAAGCCCACTGGCCACCCCTCCATATTAAGCCCTCAGGTTCCACCATCCTCCCCACCAATAGGGCTGAAGCTGGTAGCTCTCAGGCCCACCCTCATGCTCTCCCCCTCCCTCTCCATCCACTAGGACCCAGGCAGAGCTGATTTCTGGGTAAGGTGCACCATCTCATCCCTAGTTGGGAGGCCTGGGAACAACTTCCTCTTTCAAGGGTTTTGCATTTAGAAATCCCATTAGGGGTGTCCTTTCCGCATCCCATTTGGAAATGACCCCAAGCAGAAGTTTATCCCAAGAATATTTATAGTCTTATAAGTTCCAGTTCACTGAGATGAGTTTGTGCCAGGTGCTTCTCATAATCTCATTTAATCCTTTCCACAGTCCCATACAGGAGTGACCCAGTGAGTGGAAGGATTCTTTCTCCTCTGGGCAGAGGATTCTCCCCATACTCCTCAGCTCAACCCCCTCCCTTGGCACTCCTTTCCACCTGCCCACTAGCTACCAATGAATACATCAGCGCCAGCATTTTGCACAGCTACTAAACAGGAACATGGTCCTGTTCCTATGCCAGTCCCATCCACTCCAACTCTCATAACTGTGGGCCAGGTCCCTTCTGTATTCTTTAATTCTGCTAACACTGCGGAATTAAATCTACCTGCAACAGAGATCCATTCCTCTGACCCTTGTACAACCCCACATAGGACCTGGCCCACCTCCTGGTCAAGGGTCCTTTTGGTTTCCTCCTAAGCATGCCCACCTCCTAAGGCTCTACCCAAAGTAAGGTCATACCCTAGACAACCTCACCTGTCACCAGACAGTGGAAGGAGTGACCAAGGGCAGCCAGGTCACTCAGACCCTGTGGGCCCCTGCCCTAGCTTTATACCATATGGTGGCCCCACACAACAAAATCTTAGGGACATCAAAAGTCAGGTTGGACTAAGAGATCTTTGGAGCTGATCCTCCAAGGTGTCAAGAAAGGACTTCCATGAAATCAGTCCATCAGCTCTGCAATTCACTCCACATAGTCCAGTTGATTCCAGGAACAATGCCTGCACCCTCAGACAAGGATAACCCAACAATGCTCTGCAGGTTTAGGACAGAGCTCATCCTCCGTTGTCCCACGGCCCTGCCCTCTACCAAGTTCCCCAACTCTCTGCTTCTTTAGGCAAGATCCCTCCCCACGCGCAATCCCATGCCCACCAGAGAGTGACTTACCCGCCCAGGCCAGGCCGCACAGCACGGCCAGTGCCAGGGGGATGCAGGCCCTCATGGTGCCCAGTTGGAAGTCAAAAAGGGAGTGGCTGTTGGACTTTCACTAGAGTCAGATAAATGTCACAGCTCTCAAATGAGCCTTATTCCTCGGGCTGATCCTTTTAAAGACATCAGGACTTGTGGATCTGGTGTCTCCAGATCCTTTCAGGATGAAAAAGGGGAGGGAGGGACCCTAGATGGGGAGGAGGTGGGGCCCTATAGCTGTTTGAAGCCTGAGGGAAGGTGACGAAGCAGGTAGGTAATGCCAGATGTTGAGAACAGGTAATGCTAGCTGTTTGCAGCTAGAAAATAGGTCATGTAGGCAGGTACAGCAAGATGGGTCCAATTTGGGGGGTACTTTGTCCAAACTGGGGACACCCATGGGCTTATCTTTGGGTGATCTCTACCAAAAAGATACCTCCTTACAAGCCTCAGACCTGACTTTTGAAGGGGCCACAGGTTGGCTTCACCTTCAAATTCCTGTGCTTAGCATGACACTGGCACACAGTAAGGTGATTGGTCCAAGTTCGACAAACAGTAAGTGCCCAAGCAAGGGTTGGGGTCCTTGAACAGAGAGATACAGGATGTGTTGGTTAGAACCAGGGCAATTCTTATTACTACCAAGCCCAGCATAGCTAAATCAGCCACCTGAAGCAACGCATGGCTAAATCACCCTAAAATATTATGCAAATGACTCTTATTGAGTCAGTCTCTGGGGTTTACATATTTCAGATTCCTTATGAGGCCGGGGAGGGGCAAGAGGCCTCTTAAATGCAACTGAAGGCCCACTCTTCCTCCCCTGGGAGCACAGGGTTTCACTGCCTTCACCCCCACTTATACGCCTCTCCTCAGGAACTCCTCCCCAGTGAAGTTCTGTTGTTCCCCCGTCCAAAAGAAGAGGAGCAGCTCCCCATGACTGTTGAGTTTTCCCCAATAACAAAAATAAAATCTGCTAAGTACAATGACCTTTCCAGAAGGAGCACTGCATAGGGATTCTCAACCCTCTCAGAAAAGAAGACTATCATATAAAAAGGCAAAATTGGTGCACAGTGGAGGGCACTCTATCCGTGATTTTTTTTCTGGAGGCTGGAGGTGGAGCACGGCCTCATCCAGTGTGCTTTACCAGGAGAAGTTTCTTCCTCTCACCGGTCTTCAGCTTTCTCATCTGAAATGATGGGGTTGGATCTGATAATTCCTTCCAAGTTCTCAGACTTTAATCTTGAGGTTTCCTGCCCATGCGCCAGGTTGAACAGTTGCTGGTGGGTTAAAGAGAACCCCCCCAACCTGTTGCTGTATAGAGATGAGTCCAAACATAGGGACTCAGATAGTGAGAAGGACAAGCTTAGAGCAAGCAACATTTGCAAGGGGCTCACACCAAAATCGAAAGCACAATTTTTTTTTTTGAAAGGGAGTCTCACTCTTTGCCAGGCTGGAGTGCAGTAGCATGATCTCAGCTCACTGCAACTCCCAGGTTCAGGAAATTCTCCTGTCTTAGCCTCCCAAGCAGTTGGGATTATAGGTGCACACCACCACGCCCAGCTAATTTTTACATTTTTAGTAGAGACGGGGTTTCACCATGTTGGCCAGGATGGTCTTGATCTCCTGACCTCTTGATTTACCTGCCTCAGCCTCACAAAGTGCTGGGATTACAGGCATGGACCACCACTCTCAGCCTTTTTTTTTTTTTGAGATGGAATCTTGCTCTGTTACCCAGGCTGGAATGCAGCAGTGCAATCTCAGCTTACTGCAACCTCCGTCTTCCTGGCCCAGGAAGCTGACTCTTATCCCTCAGCTCCCCAGTAGCTGGGAGTACAGACATGCGTTACCATGCCCAGCTAATTTTTGTATTTTTAATAGAGACCATGTTGGCCAGGCTGGTCTCAAACTTCTGACCTCAGGTGACCCACCTACCTCAGCCTCACAAAGCGCTGGGATTACAGGTGTGAACCACTGCATCTGGTCCGGAAGCACAACTGAAGAGTGAGCCTGGCCCTTCTCTCCCAGAAGGAAGCTGGTTAGAGGGAGTAAGAGCAGAAGTGGCTGCTTCATTTGCATAAGTTTCATGTGCACAGCCCAAAAGCAGGCTGCAGAGCCACTGCCCATCAGAATCCTCATCCTCCCTGGACGGCACCACATAAACATATCTCTGACTCCTGTTGTTTAGGGGATAAAAGAGGGTGTCACTTGCTGTCCTGGGAAGCAGTGATGCCTCAGAATTTGGGATTGAATGGTCTGTCCCTTCCAAGTGTCCAGCTGGGTGGACCCTGGCTGTAGCCAAAGCTGTCAGAGTGGAGTGCAGCCTGGCTAGGTTCTCTTGGTGTCCAGCTGAACTGGCTATGGGATGGCATTTTGAGGGAATGAGCTCTTCCCCTCATTAGTGGAATTTTAGGTCAGAAGCAAGGATGGGAGCTGGAGAAGGCAGTTAAGGCTGACTCCACAGAGCCAGGTGGTTCATCTGAGGATCCAGGTGTTTCAAACTGAATCCTCAGCAAAAATAACAGCCTAACAACCACCAGCAACAGTGACTGAGCTCTTACCACCTGTGTTATCTTATCATATTTGTTATCTCATTGATTCTCACCACAACCTTAATAGGTACTATTGCCATTCTCATTTTACAGGTGAAGAAACTGAGGCACAGAAAGGTTAGGAGACATGTCCAGAGCACACAATTATTAACTTATGCAGCTGTGCCTCAACCCAGGTGCATCTGACCAGAGGTCATTCTCATAAGCACTGAAGCTCCATGGCCCACGACATCACACTTTAGACCACCACTTAATCATGTCCTGGTTACTATACAAAGCAGTCTAGATTTAGATTCACTGGAATTAAAGGGACCTCAATGGCTATCTAGTTCCACTTCTCATAGGATGTCACAACTCCCTCAACAACCTTCAGTGTTTGTCCTGCCTCTCCGTCAATGCCTCTGGTGCTGAGGGTTGAGGGGTGTGGAATTGGGATACGCCCTCCCAGCGCTGCTCATACTCCCTCTTGCAGATTGGATTCCCAAACCCCAGATTTTGTAACCAAAGACATGCTGATGAAGGCAAAAGCATATTAGGACAGCAGAAAAAAATCCATTAAGCCAATAAATGAAAATATATCAATACATATTCATGCAAAGATGCCTCATAAACTTAGATGTCCATATATGTGTGTACACAGACACACACACACATACACATATACACATATACCCACAGATACATTAAGGTATATTTCAGACAGCTTTCTCTTCCCTGCTAGCCTGTTCTGGACCAAGAACTCTGCTGCTCGTCTTTCTAAGTTCTCCCTCCCTTTAGGCAGTCACATGGGCTTTCCATCCTTGCAAGCTTCCCAAGAAGTCACAGTAGGACCAGCCAGCAAGCTGGGCGTCAAGGTAGGCTGGGTCCTGGAGAGCTGGGGTGGGGAGAAGGTAGAGGGAGATGCATGGTGGATGGTGACCCAGTGATGAGAATAGCAACAGAGATGGTGCAGTTGTGGCCTCTGTGGAGGTTTGGAGAGCGGGGAAGAGGTTGAGGCTGCTTGGGCAAGGATTTGTCAGAGACGTACAGGGTGGGAATTTCATCAGCCAAATATTTGTAGTGCTCACTACATGCCAGGTGCTATGCTGTTATTGGACTGGCAGGGTTCAGGCAGGGCTGGAAAACTCTTCCTGGAACTGATTGGCTTCTGGTGGGACAGAGGCTAGATAAGCCTCAGCCATTGTTTGAAGTAGGACTCATTCGTCTCTGGGATACCACAGGTGGTCTGGGGTCTGTCAGCATCAACAGGCCGTGAGAGAGACTGACCCAGAGGACTACTGAAGGGGACACCTGCCCAGGGCAGCCTATTCTACCATCCTCGTCCTTCTGCAAAACCAAGAGTGAGTCATTTCAGCAGAGGACCTGAGTACGGAAGGACCCTGCAGCTGACCCAGCACAGGGGAGGCCCAGACTCACCTTCCAAGGCAACTCTGGCACCTGGAGATGCTGGATCTCCTGGGAGTGCTGCCCTGGCCCGCAGGATAGAAGTGCAGGACAGTCACCCACGTCTGATATTATTGAATGTGTCTTAGAAGTGCCTCTGTGTGTGATTTCTTTCCCCACATTGGTTAGTATGGTACATACCACATTTGTTCCTAGGCTTTTGTTTAAGTTTGTGGGCAGCCCTGACATCAGCATCACACTCACTGCCTGGCCTGAGCATATTCATCAGACCTCCCAACTAGGCCCACTCATCAGAGTCCCATGCTGTGCTTCTAGTTCTGTCAGCCACACCCCATGCTGGTCCTCAGCCTAGAATACCCTCCCCCCACCCTCCCTGCTCAGCTGTCCAGCTCCTACTCATCCTCCGGCCTCAGGGCAAATCCACCCTCCCACAAAGCCTGAGCTCACCTCTCCAGCCCACAGGATTGCTCCTGTTTATGAACTCAGTTGTGCATATTTGTCCTGTGTGCCTTTGACACAGCACAGTCATCTCTGACCATCTGTTGCTGCCAACATGGTGTCAGTTAACCTCTGCACTGCCGTTTAACTTTTCCTCTGAAATTCTTTGAGAAGGGAACCCTGCCTCATGGGTCTTTTGTATTCTCATCCAATGTGTGTCAAAATATAGCAGTTAGATAATTATCAACCTGTGCCTGGGACCTGCAGTGAATCAATACTAAATGAATCAGGGCACTGGTCAGCCTTCCAGCCCCACTTGTTATTAAAGAATCAGTGAAGAAGGTTAGCAAAGCAGAGGACAGCAAAAATGGGTCTCTGGCAGCTGTGAAGCTCCAGAGTTTATCCGAAGTGGGGGATGTGGGATCTAGAGACTCATCTTGAAGGTACGTTTTCATAACTAATACACTATTTTTTAGCTATATTGTATACTTGTTGGGACCTAATGGAAATTTAGGAGGATCTAAACCCCCAAGCCATCCTTGGCACCACCCCACAAGGGGCAGCCACCACAGGGACTGGACAGTTCCTGCAGTTTCTGAATCCACAATGTCACAGAGATCTCAGCTGTATTCTGCTTTTTTAGGATCCCAAAGTAACCACCTGCCTACACTGTTTGCCAGCTGTGCTCATGTTTGTTTTACACTGCCCAGTAATTATTATAAAATAGAATTACTATTCCACGTCCTCAAACTCCACTGGCTTTGATGAGTGTCTAGAGGCACAATGAGAAGTGGACAAGACAGGCAAACAGCGATAAGGAGGCTCAGAGAGACAGCAAGGGAGTGAGTAAGAGTGAGATCAAGACAGAGACAGGCCGGAGGCCAACCCACAGCTGGCCGCTGGCATGAGGAACCTGGGCTGTTTCTCACCCCAGGTATGTTGGCACAGCTGGGCTGTCTGGCTGGCCTCAAAGACAATGACGGGACAACAGGTCTGGCAGGAGCAGTTCTTTACCCATGATTTGAAATCTACAATCTGTCAAAATTACCATAATTATCGTGCCAAGGTAGTTGGGTTATGGGAAATCCCCCTTTCTCATTCATTCTTTCATTCACCTGACAAATCACACTTGAGTGCCACGCTGTGCCAGACACTGTGATATACAAAGTGAATAAAGGGTGAGCAGCTCAGCGGCTGGAGGGAGAGAAAGACATAAACAAACAGTGTTTACAGTCAGATCAGGGCAGCAGGACATGAAGCTCAGGCTGTTGATTCTAAAGCCAGGCTGCCTGGGTTCGAATCCCAGCTCTGCCACTCACCAGCTGTACAACTGTGGGCAAGTTCCCTGACCCCTCTGTGCCTCAATTTCCCCTATAGATCTAAAATAGAACAAGTAAGAGTACCTTAGCGGGCTGTAGTGAGAATTGACTAAGTTAACACTTGCAAAGTTTGGCTGGGTACAGTGGCTTACGCCTGTAATCCCAGTACTTTGGGAGGCTGAGGCAGGCAGATCACGAGGTCAGGAGTTCAAGATCAGCCTGGCCAATATGGTGAAACCCCATCTTTACTAAAAATACAGGCACGTGCCTGTAGTCCCAGCTACTCAGGAGGCTGAGGCAGAAGAATTGCTTGAACCTGGGAGGCAGAGGTTGTAGTGAGCTGAGATTGCGCCACTGCACTCCAGCCTGGGTAACAGAGTGAGACTCCATCTCAAAAAAGAAAAAAAAAAAAAAAACCTTGCAAAGGTTTTAGAACAGTGCCTAACACATAAGGCCAAATATTTGTTTAAAATACATATATATATGTAGGGCCACAAAGGGCCTAATTATAGGATGGTTAGGAAAGGCCTGAAAAATGAATGTTAAAAGTGTTCTGTGACTGGGCACAATGGTTCACACCTGTAATCCCAGTACTTTGGGAGGCTGAGGAGGGTGGATCATCTGAGGTTGGGAGTTCAAGACCCACCTGGCAAACATGGTGAAACCCCGTCTCTACTAAAAATACAAAAATTAGCCGGGTGTGGTGATGCACATCTATAATCCCAGCTACTCAGGAGGCTGAGACAGGAGAATTGCTGGAACCCGGGAGGCAGAGGTTGCAGGGAGCCCAGCCTGGGCAACAGAGCAAGACTCCATCTCAAAGAAATACAAATTAAAAAAATAAAAATAAAAATTTTCTGAAAAATGACAATAGTGAGAAGGTGGCAACTTATCTACACTCTCCATAGTGTAATATTTCTTTTATAATTCCAAAGATAAGTTTTCATTGAAAAAATGTGTACCCTTAGTATTTCAAGTCTTGGGGATGCCCCTTCGATGAGTCGCACTGTCTAACTCACCTGGTTCGGTGCCAAAAGGAACCAGCTATTTTCTGGGACTGTGGCCTGCAACCTGAGGAACAGTGCTTTGCTCTGGGGGAAGCTAAAAGCTGCAATGGGGCTAAGCTAAGAGCAGCAAATCCATGGCTCAGCCACCTGAGCCTTGAGGTGTATTTGATGAGATTATTCCTAGTTGCCTGGTGCAAAGTCAAGAACCGGAGAAGAGAAACAGAGATGGCTGACCTTCTCTGTGGGCCACCAGAGTCCATCCTGCATGTGCAGGCTCTCCCTCCAGCACACAGGTTGCTCCTACAGGGCTCAGCCCCAGCAATGCTGAGAGGGTGAAACTGGCCACCTACCTCTCCCTCTGATCCCCACCCTGGAGGCCCTGCTTCCCAGAGCCCCTGTAACACTCTCCCACCCTAAGTCATCATCTCTGGACCTTGCCACCTAAAATCCCCTAATGCCATTGCCTCAGGGCTCTTCTTTTTCTAACCTCATTTTAGAAGTGACCATTCTAAGTATTAATTAGAATCTACAATTGGGTCATCAGAATCTTCCCAACTTATATATCTACATAACAGGGGCCTTGTATTGACAACTAGAACTCAAAGAGTAGAAGGCAAGCAGTCATACACTCAGGCAGGCGGCAGGCAGCAAGCTCAGGGGTAGGAGCTGTGACAACCCTTCTAATAAAGTAGAGCTTGCAGCTCACTCTCCCTCCCATGAGCAGCCATGGCTGGAAGCCACCACTGGGAAGATGCTTTAAAGGGCCTGCACCCCCGCCCCTTTTGACACCCTGAGTTGTCGAGTTCATGGACACCGAGAACATAGATCCTCAAACACTTCTCATCCAAATCCCTGTTTCTAAATGGGAAAAGTGAGGCCCAGGGAGAGGAAGGCACTTGCCTTGCCCAGGGATGCTGAGAGACCGAGCCCCCCACCACTGCCTCAGCACATTGCCCACCTATGGGACCCCCCATGCCACCTTACACTCTGGTGGACAGGACACTTTTCTGGGTGGTCAAGTAAGCTTAAAATGTCCTGTTGTCACGAGCCCCTAAAAAGGCACCCTGTCTCTACCCCTCTGCAGGCTAAGGTCATCGCCTAAGTGCCAGGAAAGCCAGCAGTCCAGAGCAGCTCTAGCTGCCTACAACTCACTCCAGCGAGAAAACCAAGACCTGAGTGCTCTCCAAGGGCCAAGAGCATGGCAGGCAGAGTCAGGGTGAAGCCTGAAGCATACAGCTCTCTGGTCCAGGGTGCACACTGATCAGTCTATACACACGCACGCAACCAGAATCCCACACCTCCTAACACAAAAAGTGGGGCCAAGCTCTGAGCTTAACCTTTCTTCTTCTGGGAGTCACAGGCTCCTCCGTGTCCTACCGACTACCACCAGCAGCATCCTCCCCTGATCCCATCAAGGCACCTGCTCCAGGAAGGCCCTCCGGCATGGGAGAGACGACGCTTTCTAAGTGTAGCTGAGTCAGACCTGGCTTCTCAGGATGATCCAGTTTTATCATCACTGGGAGGGATGGTAGTCGCCTGCGCCCTAACCCACGAGCCCCTTCACCCTCAGATGCCAGCAGACTGTGCTGCAGGAAGGCTACAGCTCAGGTCTTGCAGAGTCCAGAATCTGAAAGGAGGGTGCCTGGATTGGCTGCAGCAACTGGACAGGCCTGGGTGGACAGTTACTTAGTACAGATCCATGGCCTGCAGATGTAGGAGGAGCTCAATACTGAGTGTGGGTTGGGGTATTAGGATACATTTTGGAAATACATCTACTTTCTGGCCTATTGGTCTGTGAAAAGGAGAAAGGGGTTGAGGACAACTGCCAGGTCAGAATTTGCTCTGCCCACTGGCCACCATACCTGTCTGCTACTCAGGTGGCTTGTGCCAGGGATGAGTGGAGAGCACCCCCATCTCAGGGGACAGAGCTATGCAGGGATCAGGGGAGCTGGGACTGTAAACCTGTCCTCCAACCAGGGAGCACTCTGGGCCTGAATGCTTGGGGTAAGCACTGACACGCTGTGGCCCTGGAATTCTGCTGCTCTGAACTTTATCCCTAGGCATCTTCTGTTACTGATGGACTTGGCTGCCTGGCTGGGTAATTGACCGCATGAGGGCCAGAACTACCAGTCTTGGTTTTTTTCTTTTGTGGAGACAGAGTCTTTATCCATCAAAGAAAGGATGAGTGCAGTTATAGCTTGCTGTAACCTCGGACTCCTGGGCTCAAGCGATTCCCCCACTTCAGCCTCCCATGTACCTGGGACTACAGGTGCACACCACCATGTCCAGGTAATTTTTATTTTTTGTAGAGACCGGGTCTTGCTTTGTTGCCCATGTTGGTCTCGAACGCCTAGCTGCCCAAAGCATTGGGATTACAGGTGTAAGCCACTGCACCTGGCCTCTGTCTTGTTCACAGATCCCCTCCAAGGCCTACAGTATGTGAAAATGAAAGGATGTGGGAATGGAGACAGGGAAAAAGGAATTTATATGCCTGGGTATAATCCTACAAAAGAAGAAAATGTTGGGATTCAGGGAGCTGTCCTGGGGAATGCCAGGGGCATGGAGAAAGGGCATGGCTGATACACATCCAGTTACTTCATCTGTCTACCCTGCTATTAAGCAGTTTTGTAACCTTGGGCAAACCTGCCTGTGCATCAGTTTCTTTGACTGTAAAACCAGGCTAAAAATATCTGTAGTACCTATTCTGTTATCAGGATAAAAATAAGCTAATGTGAGACAGTATGAAGATGAAAGAGGATGAAAACTCTATTCAGATCTTAACCTATTATTATCATGGTAAATCCTGTGCCTATTGGGAAGGAGAGCAGCCAGAGGCTGAGGGCTGCTGGGGACACAAAAGCCACCAGGCAGGTGTGCCCCCACCCAGCTCTAACTCAGCACTGAATGGAGGGGATGGGGTGCCGGATCTCAGGCTGTGCCTTCCTCTTGTTTGGATGGAGCCTGGGAGAGAGGGGACAGCTGGTTCCAGGCAGAGATGTTGAAGCAGCAGAGGGTGCTGTCTCCCCTAACCACTCCACCCCTTCTGCGGGGAGGGTGGCCCTCTCTGGTGTGCACCCACAGTCAGGGCCTGAGGCTGGCCACAGCCTGCCCCCGGGCCTTCACAGGGAAGTGGAGGGGAAGGGGGAAGAAGGGGGAGATGTGTGTGTAATAATCATCTCCCTTTGTCCTGCCCTGCCCTATAGGACACATATGCAGCCATCCCTCTCTACTTGACCTCCTTTCAGGTAACAGAGACTTCTTTTTTTGAGATGGCGTCTTGCTCCACCACCCAAGCTAGAGTGCAGTGGTGCAATCTTGGCTCACTGCAACCTCAACCTCCTGGGTTCAAGCGATTCTCCTGCCTCAGCCTCCTGAGTAGCTGGGACTACAGGCATGCACCACCATGCCCAGCTAATTTTTTGTATTTTTAGTAGAGATGGAGCTTCACCATGTTAGCCAGGCTGGTCTCGATCTCCTGACCTCGTGATCCACCCACCTCAGCCTCCCAAAGTACTGGGATTATAGGCATGAGCCATTGTGCCCAGCAAAACAAAGGCTTTTAAAAGGACTGATCTCGGGCCACTGCTCCCTTCCCTCATACCTTCCTCTCAGCAGTCCCATGAATGCCTCCTCCCCTCCTGGTCTTCTTGCAGCTGAGACACAAAATGGGAACCCCTGCACACAGCCTGAGCCACTAGAAAACACGAGAGGATGCCTCCCACCCCATGCCACCCCATGCCTAGGCAGTCAGGGAGACAGAAGGCAGCATAGCCTGCGAGCATGAGGCCACCGTAGTGGAAAGAACATGGAGCCTTTCCCCAGTTCTGAGCCTCCTGTCCTCTGCGAGTGGCCCAGACCCCTGGGCTGAAGCTCTTCCAGCTCCCAGAGTCTGTGTCCTCTTGCCTACCCTGGGCACCGTTCTCCTGGCAAGGCCTCTCCCAACAGGCTCAAAAGGTGTCCTGCCCAAGAGACTGGGGCAGCTGGGAGGCCAAAGGGTGGCTACAGGGCGGTCTGGACTGTAAAGCTGATGGTCCAAGGCAGAGGGAGAAGTCTCATCAGGACGTAGATGTGAGACCAGAGGAGACACGCTAGAGGACATGGGCCCACATGGTGCTTGGCTTCTGTTGTGTCGCTGGACTGGGCTCACCCTGGAGTCTAAGAGTGAAGGGCCACAGCTGGCTGGCTGGCTTTTGCCAAGACACCAGCAGACAATGACTTGGAGGAGAAGAAAGCCCCGACTCATCCAGGCTTGAGCCTCCTGTCCCAATTGCTCAGTTCCGGACGCTTCTGTGCCTCTTCTCTGTCCCCACCCACGGCAAGGGAACTGGTTTGGTTACCACTGCCATCTGCTCCACCTGTCTCTCCCTCAGCCTTCACCTGAGGCAACAATGTCCCCCTACCAGGCCCAGACAGCACAGGCCGGCCCGTGGCTGTCCCCTCTGCTGCAGAGGCAGGAGCTGCAGTTTTATGTGTTTGTCACTAAGTGCTGGATGGTGTTCGTCATACCCAGCTTACAGTGGAGAAATGAAGGCAGAGCACTGTTCAGTGACTTGCTCAGATTCACTTAGTGACCTGGGGTCTAAGCACAGCTGTGCTGCCTTCCTGCTGAGGGCTCCAGCCCTTTTGGAAGCAGCTGACCTGTGTATCCATGTCCATCGGGCTGAAGTGCAGAGGGGCCATACTAGCCGCCTCCAGACACCCAAGGCCCTACAGCCTCAATACCTCCTCAGGGTTCATGTCAGGGGCCAGCCGTGAGGTCTCTTTCTGGCCAGACAGGTGCCTCCTGCTGCTGGGACTTGGGGCAATGGTAAGGCAAGAGGGTGGAGTCCCTGGAGCTTCCTGGGTGACAGGAGGGGTCTGGCAGTAGCTGGTTTCTAAGGGAAGTGCTGAAGGGGCAGCGAGGAGAGGACTTCATATGACCAGAGCTTGTGGGGACCATTCTCAACATTGATGAGAAACCCTGATTTCCTGGGAGTCTGCTAGGCCTCAATAAGCGATGGGGTCTCCACGGAAGCTTCAGGATTATTTCTATCACGAGCCACCTCCAGAAGACCCCAGAAGCCTGAACACCACCCAAGAGGCCAGCAAGAGCTCAAGTGTGGAACAGCAGGGGCTGCAGTTGGGAGGAAGCTACTAGTTGTGTCTGGACTATAAAGTCCTATTGAACCACCACAGGGAGCTGATGGTCACCCTGGCTGGCTGCTGACAGAAGCTCCAAGCTCCAGCCTGCCCTGTGGCCCGACCCCCGGATGCACATCTGGGTGGCATCAGGATCTTGGACCCGGCCCTAGCCTGTGCCCAGCATGGGGCTGCTTCTCCTCCACAACTCCTTCCCAGAGGGCGGGGCCTCAGCCTCCCTGCCACGCCCCTTCCGGCTGGCCTGGAACACACTACTGTGTTAATTGCCAGTAACAATAAAGCTCCTTGGGGACCACCACGCAGGCCTGCAGCCCCACCACTTGCCCACTGCCTGCTGTTTATCTCAGATGCTGTGGAAAGAAAAGCAGCAGACCCTGCCCCAGGCCAAGGCCCTGGGCTTGCCACACACGGTACACACATGCCACCCCCACACAGAGCCTCTCTCTGTGTCCATGTCCACTGTGAAAACAAACCGCAGGCCTGGCTGGACCACAAAGCCAGAGGCACAGAATCTGGAAAACACCTGGTGTGGAGAGCTCTCTATTGCACACAACGTCCCAGCGCACTCCATTCTCCACCCACGGCTGGGGCCTTTCTGTCCCCCGTTCCTTGGCCTTGGGTCATTCCCCATTCCCAGCTCGGGTTCACTCCGAGGTCCTCCTTAGCTGCCAGTCATCACAGGGGACCGCTGCCTCCACGCTGCCTGCTCCAGGGCCTCGAGTCCACTCCACAGAGAGCCCTGCCCAGCTGTGGCCAGCCTGTGTGTATCTTGGCCCAGCACACCCCAGCTTTCCTGGCAGCAAGTGCCTGCTCCAGCTCCAGTCCCAGCCCCTCCTCACGGCTCCAGCTCCCGGGAGAGGCGGGAGAGTTCCCGCTGGTTGTCGATGACCTTCAGCTGCTGGACATAAGCCCACGTGCTGGCTGGACTCCGGGTGCTCAGGGACTGCTCCGAGCCTGGTGGGAGGAGAGCAGTCAGGGAGGCACCAACGCCCCTTTGTGGAGCCCAACCCTTCCCCTCCAAGGAACCACATCACCTCAGCCTTCCTGCCCTCTGCCACCCACCAACCATCTCCCATCATCAATTCCCCATGGGTGAGGGGACAGAGAGCCCTGTGGCTCAGAGCACAGAGTCTGAACATCATCGATATCATGGGCTAACGTTATCATTGTCATGTATGGACGGGCCGGGCTCAGTGCCTAGTACATGTCAAGTGCCCAGGATATGGGTAACTATAATGAGGACCCCCTCCGCCCACCTCCCATCACCCACACTTACAGGTGGAAATCCTTGCCACCTGGCTGTCCTCGTGGAGGTGAGAAACTCGGCTTCTGAGTGGTGAGAGAGGCACTGCGGGGCGGGGCGTGGGGTCAGGGAGTCAGAGTCACCCCGGAGCTTCACAGAGGATGTAGGGTGGGGGACCTCCTGCCCTGGGACCCGCCCTCTCACCAGGGTTGTGGCTTCGGCAGTGATGCAGCATCCGCGCGGCTCTGGCCATCATTCGCTGCGGACAACACCGGAGCATGAGCTTTTGCCTGAGAGATAGACCCTGTCCCGCTCTGTGCAGCAGCAGGGAGGCCAAGCTCCCTCTGAACCAAGGGTTAGGGGCTACAAGAGGTGGGGCATGTGTACTTCTCCCCAGCACACCCAGAGGCCCCGTGAGGACCAGACAGAGGACAGAAAGCAGAGGCCAGGAGAGAAGGGCTTAGAGAGAAGAGGGCTGGAAGGGCTCTCGTTGATGGTGAGCTGTCTGAGGCTGGTACCCTGGCAGAGCCTCCAGTTGCAGTGGAATAAGGCAGGACTATTACACATTAAATATTTATCTTCATATTATTTGTAACAAGTTTAAGCCGCCTCCAAGCCCTGCCCCTTCCCAGGCCACAGTCACGTCCCCAACCTGTGTCCATGGCAGATGCCCGCTCTCCCTGAACTCACCATCTTCTCAAAGTTGATGAGATTCTCCACTAGTGTGTGGTTTCCCTCATGAATGAAGGTCATGTCTGCAAAGAGATGGTTTTCATTCATAGGTCCCCAAACTCCTGCCCTCCTGTAGCCCAGAAAAGGTGAAGGAATAATGGCTCCCTTGGGCCTGCTTTACCCCACACTGCCCCTGCCTCGCCCCATACGGCCCCTGCCTCTGGCCCTGCCAAGCCCCAGCAGCATTTCCTTGTATCTCTCGGGCTCCTTACACAGGCCCTCAAAGGCAGCCCTTATTTGTCTGGTGTTTTAACTCTTTCTCCAGCCTGGGAACTCCTAATTCATCTCTGCACTCCTCGAGGAATCAGCACGTGAGCTGTAATCTCTCCAACAGTGTGGGTGCACACACAGATAGGCATGAGATGGGGGAGGGTGGCAGGAAGGGGGAAATGGGGGGAGAGAGGCAGGAAGGGGGGATGGAGGCAGGAAGGGGGAATGGGGGATGGAGGCAGGAAGGGGGAATGGGGGATGGAGGCAGGAAGGGGGATCGGGGATGGAGGTAGGAAGGGGGAATGGGGGGACAGAGGCAGGAAGGCCTGTTACCTTTAAGAAGAAGAGGCATGAAGGGGATGACAGGAGGGGAGAGCTTGGCGAGGGCCAGCCGGTACACCCGGTGATTCCATGAGGGGTCCTAGGGGAAGAAGCCACACTGAGGGTTTGTACACACCGTAAGTCACCACAGACCCCAGCCAACCAAGGAGGAGTCACAGCAGGTGCAGAGACCCCAGCTCAGCCTATCCTTAGCCCAGGTCTTACCCAGGCTCTGCCGCAGGCGAGCACAGGACTTCCAACCTCCCATTAGCGCTGAGAAAGTTCACAGTGGTTACTCACTGGAGCCCCAGTTTCTGGAAAAGTCTGTCTCTGCCATCCCTTTGTCCCTTTGTATTCCTCTCTCTGTGTCCCTCCCTCTCTCTGGAGAGTAAACTCCTTTGAATCCCTTGAGCCTCATGAGATGGATTTTCTCTCAAGAGTTCCCAGGCTATGCTGATGAAGCCCCTCTCCTCTGCTTCTTTCCAGAACAGTCAAAATACTCAAAAGTTCCTGGAGGTGGGAGGTACCGTCCCCAGCTCTTTCCTCACCTCTTCTAGAAGCCCTGAGGAGCTCCTGAGGGGCCAACAGGCCCTGGTGCACCAGAAGCACTCCATGCCAGGCCCTCAGGCTTTGCAGCCCCTGACGCTGCCCTGGCACCTCAGACCCCAGGACCAGACGCCCACATGCTCCAGCTTGGGCTTCACACAGGATCTCCTGCCCCCATTCAGACACACATTGAGGGCCAGAGGGCACCGTGCAGCCCCCACCCTAGCACTGAGCACCCCTTCCTCAGCCAGCTCCCCAAATTCACAGGCCAGAGGATCTAGAACCTGGGCCGAGGTTGGGAACCCTAAAAGTGACAAAGGACGGGCAGAGGAGCTTCGGGTAAGCCAAGAGTCAGGGTGTCTGGAAGACAGGGCTGAGCCCAGCTGATCCTAGCAGAGCCGGGCCTGGCAGGGCCGAGACTCACCAGCAGCCTCTCCAGGGCGGAGTACAGCTTCCGGACTTTGTGTGGCAGCCGCTGTGAAGGGGAGGCAGCTGAGCAGCTGCTCGGGGGAGGTCCAACCCCAGCCAGCACTCCCAGGATGGGGCCGTCCAGACCACACCTACCTCCCAGGTGTGGGCTAGGCGGCTGATGGCCGAATTGCTGAGGCCAAACATGATGGCAAAGAAGGAATTGAGATTCTTCTGCTCCTTGAGGCTGTGAGCAGAAGAGCCAGAGACCCTCAGGGGAAGGGAAGCAGCCACACCCTAGTGTTCCCAAACTACAGTGAGGCCAGACTGCACAGGGACCCCAGATGGATGGGGTGGGAAGGCAGAGACTCCAGGGGACCCAGGGAACAAATAGGGTGGCAGATTCAGCAACATACAAAGCAAAGAGGGGGCGCTTAGGACAAGGTAGCCCAGGGACTCTGGCCACGCCCCACCCGCTGGCCAGGGACTCACTGGGCAGCCAGCTTAATGAACTTCCTGAGGAGCTGGGCCCGGGGGCCGGGCACCGCGCAGAGACACAGCTCCGTGGCCACCCAGTACTGCAGCTCGTTGAAGCGACGCATGAAGCGCTCCAAGTTGGCCGTGGTGATGTCCCGCAGATGCTGGGGGCCCAGCACGTAGTGGATCAGCTCCACCTGGGCGGGGGCGGCAGGAGAGGTCAGCAAGTGCCAAGCAGAGCCAAGCTGGGTGCCTGCTGCCTGCTTTCCTCCCCCAGCCCTGCCTCCCGCACCTGGTGGATGCTGTTGAAGAGGCTCCAGTCGTGGTCCGTCAGCTGGCCTGCCAGGTCCTTGGCGCTCACCAGGTCCAGCCCCTCAGCAGAGCCCACAGTGGGCCCCAGCTGCTCAGGGTGTGGGGTCTGCGGGTGGGAGAGCGCTCAGGGAGCAGCCTGAGGCATCCAGGGAAAGGCACAGGGTAGGGGAAAGGTTGGGGCAAGGACTGTATACTCAAGGTAGGAGGAGGGTTAGGAGGGCAGGAGCAGGGAGTGGAGGGTCTCTAGGGGCTATAGCAGCTGGAGGATAGGGCTCCCCAGTGCTAAGATCCCTGCTTTTGGGCCCCTGTCTCCTGGGGAACCCTTAACTAGGGCGGGTCCTCTTTCTCCTTGGGAGTTCCCAACCAGTGCTACCAGCCCCTGCCCTCCATAATCTTGGGAATCTCCCATCAGCTGAGGCCCACTCCATCTGCATGCTGAGGCAGCAGAGCCAGGCCCCTCCTCCCTCTTCTCCCTGGGACTCTCCCCAGAGCTCACCCCTGCCACCTCAAAATAGAGCTCCTCCCTGGGCCCTGGCACCCTGCCTGGTCCCTACCAGCTCATGCACTTCCTGTGGGTTGACAACAAAGAGCCGCTCATTGAGCCCCAGAGATGTGGCCACACCACGGGCGTCTGGCTGCAGGCCAATGGCATCTGCAAAGACAGCAGAGGTGGCCTGGGTTGAGGAAGGGAGGGAGGCCAGGGACCAGCTGGAGACCAGGGTGGAGGTGCTGTTTGGGAGGCGGGGTTGAAGTCCTGGGTGGGTGCTCAGAATACACACGTGCATGTGCCCACACAGCTGCACTGCTCAGGGAAGCACATCCAAGAGGATGAGAAAAGAGTCTTAGTGAGTCAGGAAGAACCTGGGCAGGGTCTGAGCCTCCCTCAGCCTGGTAAAATGGAGACAATAAGACTTGCCCGGACTATTTCATAAGTCAAATAAAATAATGTATATAAATAGTGGCTGTAAGTATATGCTATGTATAAAAGCCCTCTGAAAATTGGGAAGTGTCTTGCATAAGCCTTGGTGTTGATTTTTATCAGCTCCTCATGGACTGGGGCTGTGTTTCAGTCCCCAGTGCCTAGAGCAGTGGCCTCCAAAGTAAGGTACATCAGATCATCCATGTGCCCGGGAAAAATGAGCTCTTCTACTTATGTTTCTTTTTCCTACCTGCTTTGCATTTCTACTTCGTCAATTTCTATTTTTGTCTATATTATACTAGTGTGGTAATATATGTGTATTACTTATAAACAAATATTCACACTGTGGAGTGGGGTTTTAATTAAATATTGGTTATTGACATGGGTGTTGATCCAAGTGCTTTGGAGATCAGTGCTCTAAACAGTGCCTGGCACATAGTAGGGTCTCAATAAACATGACCTTTGGGCAACTGCAACTCACCAGGTGGCCAGCAGAGGGCAGTGCTTCCCAGGGCAGGGTGCACAGGTGACCATCTTACCCCACTTCCTGAAGGGAGAGGGCTTTTCTTTTCTCATCCCCACCTCTTGAATGCCCCTAATTCTCGTCTGCCCTGGGCTCCAGCTCTCAGGCGCGTGCCCTCCACAGAGAACAGTGATTTTGAATGTTCCAGGTTCTCTGGAGGCCCCATCGTATCCTGAGTCCGCCACGTTCTTAGCACTGACTGTGGCAGGCCCCGTGCTAAGTGCTTTACACAGATTAGCTCACTTAGTAGCCACTACAACCCGGTGGGTAGATAAAGTTACAGCCCTCATCTGACAGGTGAGGTAATGCAGGCTCAGAGAGGTTAAGCAACTTGCCCAGCATCACACAGCTAGTAAATGGTGGACCTAAGATGCCTTCACGGGTCTGGGAGTCCACAGTCTCTGCTCTTAACCATCACGCTGACCTGTCTTACCTGCTGTGGTATATCCAGCTCCAAATATATATCACTGGTTTACAGCTGACCCTCAAAAATGTTTGCTGAGTGACTAAAAAAAGGTCAGCTACTCTCCTCTCTTTCTTTATTTTATTATTTTTTTATTTTTATTCTTTGAGACAGAGTCTTGTACTGTCACCCAAGCTGGAGTGCAATAGTGTGATCTTGGTTCACTGCAACCTCTGCCTCCCAGGTTCAAGCGATTCTCCTGCCTCGGGCTCTCAAGTAGCTGGGATTACAGGCTCCCACCACCACATCTGGCTAATTTTTTGTATTTTTTAGTAGAGATGGGGTTTCAACATGTTAGCCAGGCTGGCCTTGAACTCCTGACCTTGTGATCCGCCCGCCTCAGCCTCCCAAAGTACTAGGATTACAGGCGTGAGCCACCGTGTGCAGCCACCAGCTATTCTCACTGTGTGAGCTGAGAAATGGCTCACGCCCTTTTAGCCTCAGCGTTCTTGTCTGAAAATAGGATAAAAGTACCTGTATCTCATGAGATTGTTACCATTTCAGATTAAATAGCTAAACACAAATGATGATAATAAAATACCTATGTATCACTGTGTGCCAGGCACCATTCTAAATGCTTTCATGGATGTACTCATTTGATCCTCACAATCCCTCCAGCAGGCAAGTCCTCTTACTATTCCCACTTTATGGATGATAAAACTGAGCACAGAGAGATGAAGCACGCTGCTGGAGGACACACAGATGGTGAGCTAAAGGGCTGGTGCCATATGCAGGTAGCAGGCCCCAGAGCTCATGCTCTTACGCACTGCATGAAATGCACTTCAAATAGATGCAATCCACCTCCCTTCAACGCTCGCCATCATTCTCACTGAGGAAGACAATGATGACCATGACTTTGACTGGGAGACCTGGGCACAGATCCTAAGGGGCACCCTCTTTTGGGATCTATCCAGGAACATAACTCACCACCTGCGGAATTGACCTTCACCAGCACCTGCCCCTTGGTCCAGCCATCCTCCTGGGCCAACGCTGCCATCACCTCTCTCACGGAGGCTGTCACAGGCAGCTGCAGGGTCAACACTGAGTGGTCTGGCCGGCAGATGTCATAGGGGACTGAAGAGGAGACCAGACTGAGCTGTGGGAAGGGCTGCCTGATCTCTCCTCCCCAGAGAAAGAGGGCAGCCATTGCAATGATAGCAGGAATCCCCAAGAGGCTGAGCTGCAGGTGGGGAGGACCTGAGCAAAAAGTGGGGTGCAAGAGGCAGATATGGCCAGCGGCCTGGAACACAGACCCTGAAGAGTATAGCATGCCACCTTGGCCGAGGGACACTGAGGTCAAGAGTGATGACAGCAGGACAAGAAAGGCAGAGACAGCAGGGAGCAGATGTCGGGCTGTGCCTGGCTGGCTCAGACCACCAACCTTTGTCCCCAACTCGGATGGCACAGCTGCTGCCGGGAAGAGGCTCGTCCTGGTTGGGGAGCCAGATTGGCAGATTCCGGGCCTGGGAGGAAGAGGAAAGAGAAAATAAGGCTGGGAGGACAAGAGAGGAGAGTGTGCAGGGAGGGGACTGTGAGGGCCCTGTGTCCCCAGGAGCACGGACACCACACAGCCCTCATACCACCAGAGGGCTCTGCTTCCCACATTCACCTGAGCCCAGGAAGGCACCTGGGGCCAAGGCTCCAGGAGAAGACACATGTCTAAGGGTGGGGCAAATCCATGCCCCTCCGTGTGTGGGCTTCTCCCTCTGCCAAATAGGTCCAGAGCAGTTCTAAGATGAAAACTCTTCAGCTATGGACTCTGGTTTTCTCTTCCTTTCCCTCCAGCTACCATTTGCTACAAGTCAGGCATTATTCTAAGGATCTAAATATTCACAATGGCCCTTTGACAAAAGTATTATTATTATTTCCATTTTATGGGTGAAATAAATGAGGCTCAGAGAGGTTAAGTAACATGCCCAAAGCCACACAGCTGCTAAGTGGCAGAGTTGGAATCCCTCCTGCTCCTTTCCCGCTCCGTGCTCCTCTCCACCAACACTACTGTGCCTTGTCCCAGCCCACAGCAGGGATGCAGTGCGCGGAAACCACTGCCGAGCCTCTGCTGGCGCGGCGGTGCCTGCCGCGGCGCAAGGCTCCTGACGCAGGTTCCCTTTCCCACCCTGCTTTTTTCCAACACTGGTACTGACTCTGTCCCTCCTCCCAGCTCTGTAGGTGGCAGATCCTCCAGGTTCAGTCCTCAATCCATTGCTCTTCCCTATATTTCCATATCTCAGGGCCCTCTACAGAGTTCCTCACTGCCTCCTATGTCGCCTGCATATGGGTGATTCCCAGAACTGCTACCAAACTCTCTTCCAAAACCCTGAGCTCTCTTCCGAACCCTGGTCTCAAACGCCCCCTGGCTCCTTCCACATTAGTGATCCATCACCTCACACCCCATATACCCATCGGATCCTTGCATCCTGCCTCCCAGACCACTCTGTTCCCCAGCCATTCTCCCAGGCTCCAGGCTCCTCCCCGCGTCCCATAGCTTGTCATCTTGCTTTGAGGATTCTTCTTTGAAATGAGTCTCCTGGCCAGGCGCAGTGGCTCACACCTGTAATCCCAGCACTTTGGGAGGCCGAGGCAGGAGGATCACGAGGTCAAGAGATCGAGACCATCCTGGCCAACATGGTGAAACCCCGTCTCTACTAAAAAAAATACAAAAATTAGCTGGGCATGGTGGCACATGCCTGTAGTCCCAGCTAATTGGGAGGCTGAGGCAGGAGAATTGCTTGAACCTGGGAGGCGGAGGTTGCAGTGAGCTGAGATCGTGCCACTGCACTCCAGTCTGGCGCCTGGCGACAGAACAAGACTCTGTCTCAAAAAAAAAAAAAAAAGAAAAAAAGAAATGGGTCTCCTGTGTCCACTCCTCCCCTGCCCAGGTTAACTCCAGTTCCACCTGCCCACGAGACCTCACTCCTTATCTGCTCCAACTATGCTCCTCCTCCTCCCTCCCAGGTGCCTGCAGCCCTCCTCCTTCAATCTGTCTGACCAGAACCCCATTAAGCTCCCGCATTTGGTTTCAATGGCGGCCATTGTCTGCTGGAGAAAGCCCGGGCTCTTTAGCTGACCTATTCAAAACACAAATCAGACTTTGCCAACATTGGCTCCAACCCCTTCAATGGTTTGCACTGCTCTTAGGACAAAGATCAGATCCCTGGCCCTGGCCCAGGGCGCCCTGCCCACTTCCTGCCTCCTCTGGGGTCCTGCTCTCACTCTAGTTCCTCCAGGGATCCCTCCTCCTGGGCTCCCTTTCCTCCTGGGTTTGACCGCCAGGAATCCTCTTCTTCCTCCACCCTCGCCCCCTGAAGCTCTCAGCTCCAGGAGTTGCTTACACAGGACACTTTGCCTGCATCTGCACTGGAGTTGGCTCTTCCCCTCCCATTTTCAGACACCCCACCTTTGTTACTGCACATCACGGGTAGTTTAACAGCTCTGCCCCTGGCCTGACAGCAGCCCCACAGGCCAGGGCTGAAGTGCAGCATCAGCACCTAGCACAGTGCCCATGCCCGGCCCATGAGGGCAAGTCCACATGGGTTTCTGAGCGTCAGCCAAGAGCCAGGCAGCATGTGAGCATAGAAGCGGAGGTGGCGGCCCGAAGGAGGGAAGTCAATCCTCCAGTGGGTTGGGGAGATACCAAATGACAGTAAGCAAGTGGGCAAAGAAAACAACTCCACACAGCGCGTGCTTTGAAGAATACCACAGAGGACACCACAGCAGAGCGTGCTGGGGAGAAAGGGAAGGGTGCTTCGGATAAGGAGGAAGAAGGGGGCCTGTCTGGAACCCAGCATTTGGCTGAGATGAGAATGCGAAGGATCCTGTCAGGCAAACAGCCAGAGAAAGACCCTTCCGGGCTAAGGGACAAGAGCATAGGCCCTGAGGGGAGAATGGGCTTCGCCTGCCCTGCGGAGGAAGAGCCCGTGAGAGCCTCCAGCAGGCAGGGGCAGGGCGCTCAGCAGGTGGGACCACAGGGGCGGGTGAGGCCCCTGGATGTCATTACCAGCACAGCCCTCCCCACCACCAACTCAATCTACCTTTCCAGTTATTTCTCCCACCATTCCTCAACCAAATCCCGGCTGCAGTCACATCTTCTCGGCCCCTCTTTGCTTCCCCTTTAGCCCCAGCAGACAATGGCCTGGGGCCACCTTTGACTTTCCAGGGAGGGGCCTCGCCTTCCCCTGAGCTCCCACAGCACTGGCCGCCAGGAGCCCCATGGGCCTTAGACACCAAGTCCAGCCACCATTTCTCCTCTCCCAGGCTCTAACTATGGGCAAGAATTACCTCCCAAAAGGAATAAAGGCCCATGGAGTCAGGGAGTGGGGGAGGAGGGAGGCTGCCTTAGGCCTCTGCGTCTCCCGGCAGGGCCTGGCCAGGCCACCACACGCATCAAGGGCCCCCTGAACACCTATCACAGACCCCAGGGTGTGTCTGCAGGAGGGGAGCTTCCCATGTACACAGAGTCCCTGGGAGGGGGGTGGTGAAGGAGGGGCCTGCAGTCCAGGAGCAGAGGAAAGAAGCTGGGGCCAGGCAGACACCTTCATCTGAGGAGATGCATTCCCGCAGCCATTCTCCAACCTGCAGACAAGAGAGAGGGGAGGTGAGCAAGCCCAGGAATCCCTGGGACAGGAGCAGGGAGGACCTTGGGGCTCCAGATTCCTCCCGGCCCTCACCAGCAACTCAGAGGTAAGCATGGCCAGGTAAGTATCACATAGAGGGGAGCAAACACAGTCTTGAACTCAGGCCCCTGGACTTTGTGATTTTCCAAGGCCAGAAGGGGAAGGAAAAGTTAAAGGCAGATGCAGACCCCAGGTTTCAGGTTTCAGATGGAGTGCTGTTTCAGATGCACTTCCGACCCCCCCCCCAAATCTCAGCTGTTCCCGTGGGAATATCTGCAAACGTGAAGGTAAAGTCTTGGAAATGTACCAGGCGGGGCTGGCAGGAGCTGGCACTGAGGGTATTCGGTAATAAACACATGCCCAATGTAGGAAGTGAGAGCAGCAGGTGCACTCAGGATATGAGAATGAATAAATGAATGAGTACATGATGCATGAGAATGGATGGACATCTGGCATAAGGGTGAACAGCAGGGGACTGATACGAACAACGAATTGAAGGAAGTGGTGCAGCCTGGATCTGAAGCCAGGTGCTTGACTCCAGACCGTATGCTCTTGGTCCCCGTGGCACTGCCAGTTATGGAAATGACAAGTTAACAGAGTCAAAGCATCACCTGTAGTGCCGCCGCCTCTCTGGCCACTGCTCCCTCAGCAGGTTACTGAGTCGGGCATCCCTGCTCACCAGGTCTGAGAGTTTCTAAGAAGAGCCAAGATTCACTGAGATGGCTGTAGCTGTGTCCACCCCAGGCAGCCCAGCCTCCCTGCGCCTCACTTCCAGATACCTGGAGGAAGCTGGTGGCCACAGGATCAGTGTGGAGCATGAAGCCATACAGGGCCACCCACTGGCTGACCAGCCGCAGGATCTGCTGCCTCTTGTTGCAGACGTAGGTGCTGCACTCCTGCTCACTGCCACCCCCGGGCTCCGCATGGAAGGTGGGCACCAGTCAAGGGAACCACAACATTCAACTGCGGCCACCCACCATACCTGAGGCAAAGGAGGGGAAGAATGCCCAGGGCCCCCAGCAAGCTGGGCCTGGCAGCAGGCTGGCATTTAGATGGCTCAGCACAGCCATGCTGATGAGATTCTTTGTCTCAACCCCACACACCATCCTATCCTCTACGCATACACCCTCTAGGGCTGGAAGGATATTGGTGCAGAAGGGCGGCGCAGAGTTGGGTGCTGGGCATGAAGACCCTGTGAGTCAGGAGGAAGTCGCTGAGGAATGTCTCTGTAGGACAGGGTGGGGGGATGTGAGGAGGCTTCAGAGGCCAAATCTGCTGAGCACAGGTGTATGGACAGCTGGAGGGACCCTTCCCCACATTCTACCACCTGCAAGGTACCAGCAATGTCCAGTCCCCGTGATAGTGCTCCCCTCAAAACCAAGAGCACAGGTAAGAGGACTTCTTGTCAACCACTGTACAGACCAACTGAGCATCCAGTGAGGCCAGATGCAGGGTGCCTGGCTCTCTTCCAGGCTAATGGACCACCCAGCGAGTCAGAAAGCAGGCAGGGTGTCTCTTGCCCTTACCTGTTGGGTCATGAGCACTGGAATCTGGTCCCATGGCCTCCAAGAGAAGCTCTAGGATCTTCTCTGGGGTGCCAGACATCACCGTATACCTAGCAGAAATGGCCAGTCTATGGCACTGGAGCCACTAATCCCCACTCCCACACCCGGGCAGACATCAATAATCAATCACATCATTCTTCTCGATTAGCCAGCCCTGTCCCACCTTAGGGTGGGGAGGAGACTGCCTCAGCAGGCACATCCTAGTACCTCAATACCTGTCTACCCACAGGTGGCCAGAGGGCAGGGGTATGTCACAGGGGAAGGGAGCAAAGACTGGGAAGTGAAAGGAGAGACAGTGTGGAGAGGGAACATGGCAGGTGTGTTACCGGTTCCTGCCTGGGGTTGGGGGTCGGGAAGAGCCAGCGCCCTGAGAGGCTCTCTCCAGCACCAGCACCACTTTGCCATGTTCTTCTAGCCGCATGGTCTTGGCCTCCACATCCTGGAGAACAGGCCACACCCCGTGCTCAACACAGGATGGTTCCCGCTTTAGACCCTCTCATCTACCTCCTTCATTCCTGCTCCTGAACCCCATGAGGGTCCTACAGGGACCCACAGCCCTTCTCCCACCTCCGACTCTGGCTCCACCTCCACTGCCTTCCCTTCCTTCCATGCATCCTGCCTCCCCCACAGCCTAGTCCTCAACCTGCACACCCACCCCTCCCCTGGTCTCCCACACTGAGCCTGCAGTCACTGGTCTCACTGAACCCCTTCTGTGCTCTATGTGCTTCCCCTTCTCACACACGCCCAGGGCCATGGTCCCCGCTGCCAGCCACCATAGCCCAGCATCTCCTACCTGCCCTGCTCCTTATGGGCCCTCTGCTCTGGTCCCTACTCCTCCATCCACAGCACTTCTCTGGACCCACAGCCCCTGCCCTCCCCGACCCCAGCAGCAGCACCTTGATGATGCGGTTGAAGTCCTGCTTGTCCACGCGCAGGAAATGACAGTTGTCTTCTCGCAGGATGATGGTGGCTGCCCGGGGTGCGTCATTCACCAGAGCCAGCTGTCCAAAGTCATCTCCCTCATGCAGGGTGGTCACCAGTCCCTGCAGCCAGGCCTCAGTCTCAGCCCACCCCTGCCACCCCCAGCCCTTGCCAGGACAGACCCATGCCAGGAAAAGCAACCCAGACAGGAGACACAGGGGACCAACAAAGGCACTGCCCATGAGGACGCAGGCCAGGGAGCAGTTAGGACCCAGGGCACTGGGGCAGGAAGGAGGGGGGGGCCTCACCTTGCCATGTGTCACCACGTTGACAGATCCCTTCCAGATAATGTACCATGAAGTGCCCTTGTCCCCCTGGCTGAACACTGACAGAAGCATAGCTCAGACCAGGCCCTCTTGGCACCTACCACTCCTTCTCCATATCCTTTTGCCCATGTCCAGGCCCTGTGCTTGGCTTCTGGTCCCCTGCGAGACTTACACACAGTCCCGGCCTTGCTGTGTGGTTCAAAGAGCAGAACCGCCGCTAATTCTCGCTTCACCTGTTGGGTGGAGATAGGAGAGTCGGTGGGGCAAGTTCATGTGCAGGGCAGCCAGGCTCCTGCCAGGGCTATGATTAGGTCCAATGACACAAGTGCCGGGGGACAGAAATGTGGAACCAGGTCAGGCGTTCCCAGGATTCGGCAGGAGACAAAGCAAGTGGAGAAAATGGGCTGAGGGAGGCAGAAGGATTTTCAGATAGGGCAGCACCAGAGGCAAGAAATCAGACTGAAAATTTCCAGCCACAGATGGAAGTGGAGAAACCACCCTCTGGCCCTGCAGTTGGAGTTTCAGGGAAGTCATGGGAAGAGGAGATGCCTGGGACAGGGCAGGGCTGGGACAGTGGGACTGACCGAGTTGGAGAGGTGAGCCACGGCCTTGATGTGCAGCAGCTCCTCAAAGATGAGGTCCAGCTCTTCGTCGGTGCGCTGACCTGGGCTGCAAGCACAGGAGGGATGGGAGCATACGGTGAGCTGTGGGGCCAGACCAGGCGCCAGGAACCACCCCACCCACCCAGCCCAAGCCTGTGCCCGGCGCTGCCTCAGCAGCGATGGTCATCAGCAGCAGCTAACTTTTACTGAGCGTGCACATGTGGCAGCGCCTGTGATGAGCATTTTGCACGCACTGTTTCATAACAAGCCTATGGAGCAGTCCCATTATCCTCACTTGATGGAAGAGGAAGTAGCATGGGGAGGCTCAAGGTCACACAGCCAGTAGCCGGTCCAGCGGGAATTTGAATCTGGACCCGACTACAGTTTCCAAAGCCCACTTGCTTTCAGTCACAACTATGTCTCTGAGTGAGAAGGGTCCTCAGAGACCCCCCTGGCCCAACACACTCATTTACAGAGGAAGAAACTGACTTGGGGGGGATTGGGAGTGTGGGGGGATCCAGGTTACACAGCAAGTCCATGGCAGTCAGGACCAGGGGCTTCTGGGCCAGCCAGGTTCCCTTCCCTCTACAACAGGTAAGGGATACCCTCAGAGATCAATCTGAACAACGATGGGATCTGAGTGCTGTGTGCGGCCTGGGGTCACAGGGTGCAGGGATTCCAACTCACGGCTTTCGGAGTGCCACAGTGAGCAGGGCATCAGGCCCCCGCTGTGAGAGCAAGGCCACAGCTTCAGCCAACTCCTCGTCCATCTCATGAGCTCCCATGGGCTCGGGCTCTGGCCCGGGGAACCGGTAGAATTGGGCATCTCGGTCCTGGAAGGCCCAGTCGTGTTTCACTGGGGGGCAAAGGCCCAGGTGTGGAGGAGGAGAGGAAATTGAGGCCGTGTGGGCATGAAACCCCACTGCAATGCCACCCTCATTACTCCCCAAGTGGTGCCTGCTTCCCAGGACTCCCCTGTCCCGTCCCCATCACTGCCTAGCCCAGCCCAGGGCACCCCACCCTGGACTTGGGCTCACCATGGCAGAGGGCACCTTCATCCAACAACACCTGGCAGATTCCCACAGCTTGGCTCCGAGAATGTACCCCAAGTCCCAGGGCCAAGATCCCATCCACCAGCTCCCGGCCAGAGCAGCACTGCCTACAGGAGGTAGAAGGGGACAGGGAAGAATAGGGAGAAGCCAGTGGAAGGAGGGTTGCAGGGCAGGGAGGAACTCCGCATTAGAAAGGCACTCTCTGAGGCCCAAGCCTGGTCCATCTCTCTGCTAGAAGCAGGGTGAGGCCCAGGAGCCTGGAATAGAGTGGAAAGGAGAGAAAGCGGCAGGGCCTCCACTCACCGATACAGCCTAAGGTGGTACTTTCGGTCTCGGATGAGGTTCGGGCAGGTGGCCAGCAGATGCCGATGCAGCTGCTTCCCAGCCCTGAGCACTCGCTCTGTGGAGGCCTTGGAGGGATGAAAGGCACAGCAGTTCAGGCTCTGAAGCCCTAACGGTGCCGCCTGTCCCAGCTCCACGCCTCCCAGGCTTCTACCTGCTCTAGGCTCTCGCTGAAATCCAAGGACTCCTCGCTGTTGGTGAGTGGTGTCTGTGGGCAGCAGGGAAAGCATGCACGTCAGTGTGAGGCCTTCAAGCCCGGCTCCTGGATGACTCCCCTCCCCCATCACTCCCACCCTTGCCTAGGCCCCAATCCCAAATGCATACATGTGGCCAGTCACTCAGCAAAGAAACAAATATTCACTCAGCACCCTGTGCCCCAGGCATCGCCTCTTCCCACCCTGCCATCCCGATCACCAGACCCAATCCAGGGACTGGCTCCTTACAGATCAGAGCCCCTAGGCACACATTCTGCTTACTCAAGGCTCAGGGTGTGAGCAACTCAGGAGGCTTGGGAACGCCCGCTCCTGGGCTGGGGTCACAGGCCTGATCCCCAGCCAGGTTCTGTGCCCATCCACAGGCCCATGAGCAGGTCTCTTGCCCTCTCTGGGCCTTGGATCAGCCTGGTAGTTAAAAACACAAACCCTGAGGCCACACTCCTGGATTCAAATCCCTGCTCCCCCAGTGATTGCAGATGTGACCTGAAACAAATGATTTAACCTCTCACTCCCTGCCTGAGTTTCCCTATCTATAAAATCTATAAAGGGCCAGACATGATGGCTCATGCCTGTAATCCCAGCACATTGGGAGGTTGAGGCGGGCGGATCACGAGGTCAGGAGTTCGAGACCAGCCTGGCCAACATGGTGAAAACCCATCTCTACTAAAAACACAAAAATGGTGGTGGCAGGTGCCTGTAATCCCAGCTACTAGGAGGCTGAGGCAGAAGAATTGCTTGAACCCAGGAGGTGGAGGTTGCAGTGAGCAGAGACCACACCATTACACTCCAGCCTGGGCGACAGAGCAAGACTCCGCCTCAAAAAAAAAAAATCCGTAAAGCACTAATAATACCAACTCATAAGGTTTTGGGAGAATTAAATGAGTTGCTACATATCGAATGTTTAAAGCATTGCCTGGCATATAGTTGCATGCGCATGTTAGCTACTACTCATCTGTGAAGCATTAGGGTGAGGCTGCTTGCTGGAAGGCGTCTTTCTTCTCTGAGATGTTGCTAGCCCGTACCCTGCGAGAGTGAGTAAGTTCTTGGTGGCACACAGGACTGGCTCACGAAGATGCGCTTTGTCATGGCAACACTGCTTAGCAAGGATTTCTGCCTTTGTTAACAATCAAGCCATTTGGCACTCTGGGGCCCCTTATGCCCTGTAATAATGGCCATGAAAGCCCCTCATGACCCTTCTCTTCCTGCCACCTGAGAACGGGTTTGTGAACATCTCTGGACAGGATGCTCTACCCTCTATGAGCCCTCTCAAAGGGCTCACTTTACAGTTTACAAAGCACAACCTTGATTGCATTGGATCGCATGTAAAATAGGATCAGATGTGAAGTGGGCAGAGCAGGCATTGTCAGTCCTCTGTGACTTACGACGAAATCAAAGCCTGGAGGTGAGGTGCCTTGTGTAATTCAGTCACGCATACTTGGGACAGTCAGACAGCTATGGAGAAGTTCAAGTTCCCATCCAGAAGTGCTCCCATTCTTGGTCTCCCTACACCCACCACCCCCTACCCGTTTTCTCTCTTCTCACCAGCCACCTCTCTCCTACCTTCCCATCTCCCTGAAAAGGACCTGCTGGGGAGTTGCAGTATAACCAGGCCTGGTTGGCAACCAGGCCTGGGCACAGGCATCTTGGCACTGCATACCCAGGCAGAGGCCTGACGTCTGGCATGTGCAGACGCCTGGCCCAGGGCTGGGTGGAAGTCAGTAGGTGTCCCAAGGGTAACCCTGCCCGGGTCATGGGGCCCAGCCCAGTGCTAGACATAGAGCCCTGGAGACTTAACGACAGGAAATGAGGAGGAGGAGGAGCCAGGGAAGGGAGGAAGGGCAGGAATGCTACCCAGCCGGCCCCCTGTTTCGGAACAAACAGTGCCTGAGTGCTAATGACTTGTTGTTGTTCATGTCAAAATGCCCAGGTGGCCCCAGTCCCTGCCCCAACTCCCATTGGAGCCCACAACCCAGGCTCCAGCACCGGCCCCCTTCCTGGTATTATTCTGACCAGGGAGAGGGCACATTAGGAGGGGAGGTGCCGGGTCATGTGGCCAGGCTGGTCATTTCCTGTCCTCCCCCAGGGGATGAGCATGCAGGTCAGAGAACAGGGCCCTAGCTCATGAGCACTAAGGAAGGGACCTTAAGGAATCTCTCTCATTTTGCCAAGGAAAGCAAAAGCCCAGAGAGATCACACAACTATTTAGAAACGTAAGATTCTACTGAATAACTCTGCTACTGGTGCCGACCCAGAGGTAGGTATTTGTTTCCTATTTCACAGCTAGAGAAAAGGAAGCTCAGAGGTTCTACAGCCTGCCCTGTTGGTCAATAAGGGCACCAGGATTCATACCTGTGCCTGTCTGATTCCAAAGGCCATGCTCTTAGCATTACCCCTACCATCTCCCATGATGCCCATCCCCATGTTTCCTCCTCTGTGTGCTAAGGACACAGACAGCAGAGGTACTCTACCCTCAGGCAAGCTCCATGGGCAAGTAAGTTTGGAAACCACTGGGTTAGACAAAGGTAGATAGGTTTGTTATTCTAACCTCTCTGTGCCCCCAGGATGTTTGTGTGCATGGCAACCTTCTAGGATGAGGTGGAGTGAGGGCTGCTACTCAAGGGCAGTGGTCAAGTGTGTGGGTTCAGCAGCCAGAAGCTTGGGTTCAAATCCTAGCTTTTGCATTACTATCCGGTTGTGTGAGCTCATGCTGGTTTTTGAAGTTCTCAGTGCTCCAGTTTCCTCATCTGTAAACTGGGGTCGATGATAAAAATAGTACCTGGGTTGGGCGTGGTGGCTCATGCCTGTAATCCAAGCACTTTGGAGGCCAAGGCGGGTGGATCACCTAAGGTCGGGAGTTCAAGACCAGCCTGACCAACATGGTGAGACCCTGTCTTAAAAAAATAAAATAAATAAATAAATTTTTAAAAATAAATGAAAAAAGATAAAAATAGTACCTATCACATAGGGTTATAAGGATCAAAAAGTTAATGAAATGAAGTACTTGGAATGCTGCCTGGATCACAATAACTCCTTAGTAAACGTTAGTTGACTTGATCAGACGTTATTATTTCATGATGGGCCCTATTACTGGGACACAGTGCAAAAAAAAAAAAAAAAAAAAAAAGCTATACCCTGTTAGTTTCAGGGTTCTTAGCTGGGAAGAAGCAGCTGATATGGGTCGAGGTGAAGGTCCTCACCCACTCCCTCCTCTCATTGCTGAAAAGAAAGGGTTCAGGGTGGAAGAGGAGGCGCTAACTCCCCTGGCACCAGCACTGTGGCCTGCCCCACCCTCACTCTCTGTCACTGAATGTCAGAGCCGGGCTGGAGAGACAGGCACAGAGCCAGACAGCCTGGAGACCTGTCAGACCAGTTCCCTTGGGTCACAGCTAAGGTCTCAGGCCAGGGCTGCGTGTGATGGGACAGGGGAAGGGCGCATGGGGTTGGTGATGCCTTAAGGGTGTCAGTGTTACTATTTGTAGCAAGAGAGAAGCACAGCATGGTGGTTATATGGTTATGAGCTTGGACTCTGCAGCCAGATTGCCTGGGACCAAAGCCCAGCTTTGCCACTTATCTGCTGTGTAACTCTGAACCTGTCACTTAACCTCTCTGTGCCTTCGTTTTCACATCTATAAAATGGGGGTGATGACATTAGTACCTATCTCACAAGGCTATTGTGAGAATTATTATTATCATTATTTGAGGCAGAATTTTGCTCTTGTCACCCAGACTGGAGTGCAATGGCGCAATCTCAGCTCACTGCAACCTCAGCCTCTGCAGTAGCAGGCATTACAGGCACCAGCCACCATGCCCTGTTAATTTTTGTATTTTTAGTAGAGACGGGGGTTTCACTGTGGTGGCCAGGCTAGTCTTGAACTCTTGACCTCCGGTTATCCACCCACTTTGGCCTCCCAAAGTGTTGGGATTGCAGGCATAAGCCACCGCACCCAGCAAGAATTATTTGATATGATAAAGGCAAACCTCTTACAATAATGTCTGGCACATAAGCACTGTATTACTATTAGCTCCTACCACGGTTTTGACAGGTTGGATGAAAGTGTGTTCTTCGAGTTACAAAATTGGGCCACTTCCGCCAAAGCAGTCACATAAAGAGAATCATCTCAGACTTCCCTGAGCCCGTAGAACTACCAGAGGTCACCCTGATCTTGCCCCTGCCTCTGGACATCAGACAAGATCTCACCTCCCCCTCCTATTTTCCAAAGATGTTCTTCCATCCCATTCCAGTGTCACCTTTGCCGTAGCTGTTAAGTCCTTTTCTTATCTTAGTCTGTATCACCTGCAAGCGCTCCTGCTGTAACCTGTTTTCATTTTCTCTTGTCCTGGGCTAGGCAAGAACAGAAAGAGCTGTCTTCAGACCTCTTCTCTGGGAGGTTGATGGGTTTTCCCCTTGGCTTTCGAAGAGGGAGGCCTTGCTTCGATAACTGGCAGTGCTGTCTTCCGGGGACTCAGGCCCTACCCCTTCACCCTGGGTATGCATGCTCACAGCTGGCGCTCGCTCTCTCATGGAAGCCTTCCCTGGGCTAAAGGCAGCATCAAGAGGTAGGAAGTACAGCTTTACAGGTACCCAGAGCCTCTCAAACATAGGCATGATGGAATGAAACCTCCCCACCCCAGTCACCCAGTCATCAGAAGAGGGAGTGGCCGCCTGCCTCTAAGCACTACAAATCTAAGCTCCCTCTAGTCACCAACATCCACCTGGCAGGAAGGGGGCCTTTTTTCTGTGCCTTTGCCCCCATTTACACTTCAGCAACCTTCACCCCCACCTTTCTGGCCTTCCCACGCACACCAGCCCTTCATTTCTAGGGGCTGGGGAAAGTCAGGAGAGAGCCTGGTGGCCTCTTCCACTCCCTTCCCGACTTCAGGTCCCAGGGGATCCTCCAGTGACCTCACTGTCCAGGCACCTGACCTTCCCCCCACCCCCTACCTTGCCTTTACAAGCTGGGAAGGGGACAGGAAATGCACAAATAATTATAGCCTGAGAGGGAAGGGGGGAGGGAGAGTTCCAGCCCATTGGCTCCAGGCAGTAGCTGCAGCCAGTGACCCGGACGAGAGAGTCGGAGGGGTAGTGGGGGAGGACCCAGCCTCATGATAAGAAAGACCCTGGTAGAGAACAACTCTACCAGGACCAACACCTGGATTCTCTTCTCAATTCTGATTGCAAAGTGGATCCCCTTGTCTTGATGGGTCTCGGTTTTTTTCAACTCAGCCTCAATGTAAATGGCAGTTGAGCAAGGCAGGGGGAAGGAGGGAGAGGGTGGTGTTTATTCTACTCAAAAGGACTTGCCAATAAGAAATGAACTCCTGGCTGGGAGCGGTGGCTCACCCCTGTAATCCCAGCACTTTGGGAGGCCAAGGTAGGCAGATCACGAGGTCAAGAGATCAAGACCATTCTGGCCAACATGTTGAAGCCCTGTCTCTACTAAAAATGCAAAAATTAGCTAGGTGTGCTGGCACACGCCTATAGTCCCAGCTACTTGGGAAGCTGAAGAAGGAGAATCACTTAAACCTGGGAGGTAGAGGTTGCAATGAGCCGAGACCATGCCAGTGCACTCCAACCTGGAGACAGAGCGAGACTCCAGTAAAAAAACAGGAAAGAAAGGAAGAAAGTGAAAGAAAGAAAGAGAGGGAGGGAGGGAGGGAGGGAGAGAGAGAGAGAGAGAAAGGAAAGAAAGAAAGAAAGAAAAAGAAAAAGAGAAAGAAAGAAAGGAGAGAAAGAGAGAAAGAAAGAAAGGAAGGAAGAAGGAAAGAAAGAAAGAAAGGGAGAAAGAAGCTCTCCCAGGCAGGCACGGTGGGTCATGCCTATAATACCAGCACTTTGGGAGGCCAAGACAGGCAGATTGCTTGGTCCCAGGAATTCCAGACCAGCCTGGGCAACATAGTGAAACCCGGGTAGACACATGCAGTAGAGACATACCTGAATCTCAAGCTAAGTTATTTAGTCTGGATGGTTGGGGACAGTTTCTCTGCTGATTTGGATGGTACAGCCATTATCTTGCCTCCCAAACCCCACCATTCTTTCCCCTTCTTGCTCTCTCCTTCATTCTTTCAGGTCCAGAGATGTTTCTCACTGGCAAAGGGCACTTAGGTCATCTCAGATTCTCCAAATGTCTCAGAATCCTTCCCCAAGCCCCCCAAAGGCAGGTACCCAGCAGTGTCCACACGACCACCTCACCCCAAGACCAAAACGCAGAATTAGCACAGTTCAGTTGCTCACTAAAAAACAATGTTGCCACGGTGACGCACCCAGAACTGTAACCAAACTTACGTCACCCCAGCCCTTTGACTTGGCCCCCATACCTCCCACCCCCACCTGGAGAGTACCCAGAAGCACCTAACTCAATGCCTGGCTCACAGAGGTGACAGGTAAATAACAAATCCCTTTCCCCTTCCCCCCATACCCAGAGACATCTGGGCACAACAGACACACACGGTTGCAGCTGTGTGAGCCGCCCACGCACACTGCAGGCAAGCTTCCTGATCCACTGTCCACCCCAGCTGTACCACTCCACACCCCCAGAGCAAGCTGGGCCACCGGCAGCATGCCCAGCCACAATCCAGACCCCCGTCTAGCCCGGGTGCTGGCCCTGGCCTGGGCGGGTGAAAGGTACTCACCCAGCGCAGCCCCTGGATGCGGCTCGGACGCCGGTGCTCCAGCAGCAGCTGGTAGGAGCAGCTTCGGGGCCGGTGCATCCTCCTCAACACCATGTTGAGCAGTGTCCCCTCCGGCACCACGTCAGGGAGGGCTCCCAGCTGCGGTGCTCCCAGAGCTGGGCTATCCTCCACAGCCAGGCCCACCTGCCAGCAGCTCTCACCTGGCCAGCTCACCTATGACACAATGAGGAAAGTGGACAGCCATGAGACGCGACTGGGGCAGCTGGACCATACTACAATTGCCCCAGGCAGAACTACTTCCTTAGAGTCCTCTGGACTGGTCAGGCGGAGGTGCTGCAACCTTGCCAGGAGCTGGGGGAGGAACAGGAAGACCTTCACTGGGGCCTGCCGGTCTGGCGCACTTAGGGGTCCCCAGCTGGCTCTTGGAAAAGATCAGGCCCTTCTTACCCTCTTTGGAGTTCTGTCCCATCTCACTGTCCATGCCCCTGCAGAGATCTCCACCACCTCCCAGCATGAGGCTATAGATTCACCGGGTCCCCCAGAAATGCAGCTTCGGCTCAAACCCTTCTCCCCTCCTCCTCTGCCCTGACCAACCCTCTCTCTACTACCCGAACTCCCCACCGTGTCAGCTTCCTCTCCCGCCCTCTCCTGCTCCTCCTCAACCCTGACCCCACCTTACCCACCTTCATGTTTCTTTTCAAGCTCGCACAGCCCTGCAGGCTCTAGCAAAAGGCTGGGGGGTCCCCAGCGACCCCCATCCGCTTTGATAAGGGGATCCGGAGAGAGCTGGTGGGTAAGTCCAGGTACAGTGAACGGGGCCAGCGGCTAGCTGGACCGGCTGCCAGGGCAGCAGGATGCAGGGCTCGGTGGAGAGGCTCCTCTTGGGTGAGTAGAGGGGTGGGGGCGTGGTGGGGGGGACGACCCCCCCACCGACACCGGCTACAAGGAGCCCCGAGCCTCCGCCTTCGTCCCAGACGAAGGAGCCAGCTGGCACCGGGCGCTGAAGCAAGGCTGCAGCTGGCACCGGTCCGGGCGGGAGCTGTCACACCCCCTGCGCCGCCCGCCCCCTTCCCCTCCCCCGGACTGGCGGAGGGGGCGGGGAGGAGGCGCCCTGCCTTACTGCAGCGGAGATCTTAGGGGAAGGGGGCGGGCACCGGCCGGCGTTGGAGCCTGCACCTCGGAATACGGAGAGTGGACACCAGCCTGAGCCCTGAGCATCCTCAGTGGGCAGGAGCGGCCCCGAGGTGTGTGCGGGGGCCGCGGAGGCCGGCGTGTCGGGGATGTGGCGGTGAGTGGCTGCATTGGCCGCCACGTGGCCGGGAGGAGAAATGCAAACAAGGAAACCGGGGAAAGGGGGAGGGGTGAGTCACTGCGGCCCCACCCGGGAGGGAAATCCGGGCTGGGGCCGCTTCCCGGCCGGGGGCGCCTGCCTCCTGTTTCGATTCAGGGTCTCCGGCTGCCCGGGGGAGGGACTAGGTGGCCTTCCTGCGGGGAATCCCGCTGCCTTGCCTCCCGCAGTTGCGTTCCCAGACCCACGCCCCCCCTGCCCCCTGCCCCCTTCCCCAGCACACACACAACGGGAACAGTTGAGGAAACTGAGGCTGGAGAGGAAGGACCGCTCTCCGGAACGGATAGGGGCGGAGTTCGTGGCCGTAAGAGAAGATTGGGGTTGTGGCAGAGCTTCCAGGGGAGCAGAAGGTGTTCGAGGACCACACCCCCCACCGTGCGCTCCCTAGTGGCCGGGCAATTTGAGGCAGAGACCGGGATTCTAGCGCCCTGCTAAGCAGATTCGCTACCGAGGCTTCCCTGGGCCTCAGTTTCCACCACTGTGCAAATGGCCCTGCGCTGGCCTCTTCGCCCCACTCCTGAGAGGGTGGAGAGACAGTGGCCGGGAACAGAGGCTCGCTTGGCGCCCCGTGATTGTTCAGGACTAAAATGAGGATTTTGAAGGAAGCCCACGCCCCGTAGGACTTTTGTCCCTTCTCTTCCCTTTTCCCTTTGCTGTTAAGCCTGCCCATACTGGGAAGAATTATCTCTAAAAAGCCTATGCCGCCAATTTTGGGATGCCCAGCCCCCATCCTCCACCAAGGATTATGATTATTTTCTTGGAAGTGGGGAGAGGAATTTTAATTGTGATTAAAATCTCAATTTTAATGTATATGTGTATAAAAAATGTTTCCCAGAAACTTACTAAAATGCAGGCTCTGTCCCTACCAATTAATATTCAATCCTGTTGGCATGAAGTGGAAAATCTGTATTTTGAACAAACACCCCAGGTCATCCGCTGTGTCCACACGTTAAGAAACGCTGGTGGAGTTTGTTCATTATACAGATTTTCCACTTGAGACGGAGATTCTCTCTTGTTACCCGGGCGGGAGTGCACTGGCGCGATCTCGGCTCCCCGCAACCTCCGCCTCCTGGGTTCAGGCAATTCTCCTGCCTCAGCCTCCTGAGTAGCTGGGACTACAGGCACGCGCCACCATGCCCAGCTAATTTTTTGTAGTTTTAGTAGAGACGGGGTTTCACCATGTTGACCAGGATGGTCTTGATCTCTTGACCTTGTGATCCACCCGCCTCGGCCTCCCTAAGTGCTGGGATTACAGGCTTGAGCCACCGCGCCCGGCGCTGGTGGAGTTTTAAATGCCTTTCCAGGGAAGAAGGGAAGTCAGAGAATGAATCTGACCTCAGGCTCAAATCCATTCAACTAAGTTCTGGTAATCTGGAAGAAGGAAGAACAACCTGGAAACTGGCAGGAAAGGATAATGAATTGGGAGTCACAGGTATGCATGGGGAAGAGTTGCGGGGATGGAGCTGTGAGTTTCAGGTTGCTGTGGCCAGTGGCCTGGACTAGAAGTTCTTGCAGGAAGGTTTCCTGAGACTGACAGTAGGGTCAGAAAGGGGTCCTCTATTTCTTACTCTTGCTGCGGTTACTCTGGGCAGGTGGAAAAGTTGCTGAGAGGTGAGGCAGGACACTTATACACCTGTAGACATTTCAGCAGAGCCACAAAAGCTAATTATGTGTGGGCCCTGTTTCAAGTGCTTTCCATGGGTTTAAAATCTGCCACGATCCTGTGAGGTAGGTACTTCTGTTATCCTCATTTTACAGATGGGGAAACTGAGGCTCAGGGATATTAAGTAACTTGCCAAAGTCACACAGCTAGTAATTGGTAGAGCTGGGGCATGAATCCAGGTTGTCCAGCTCCACGTACTCCCCATGCTGTGCTGCATATCCTCTGATGCATTCTGTTTGTTCTTCTAAGATAGACTAGACTGCCTAGGAGAGGCTACTCAGAAAAGGGAAATCGAATATGTTTGTGTAGAGATGTGGGGGGGCCTCAGAGCCAAGGATCCAAAGAAAGTGGTTCAAATCAGTGAAAATGAGTGTCCCAAACCCACTCCCCCATCTATGTTCCCCTTCAACACTACCCTTGCCTTTCTTTTTTCCATCTCTTTCCCATTCCCCGTCTCTGGGGAGACTGAGAAGGGCGCCTGGGGTGATTACCTATTGGCTCCTAGGTAATCTCCGGAGAGATGTTAGGGATTAGATCTTCCACTTCCATTGCTAGCTCATCCTCTCTCTAAAAGGCAAGGCCCCCAGCCTGCCATCAAGGCAGATGACTGGGCAGGTTTTTCCCTTCTCAGGATCCTGGATTGGGACTGGCCAGTAGAATTACTGCTCAGCAGATATTTGATCAAGGCTGAGGCCTAGAAGGGGCAGCAGACTGGGAGCATGTCTGAGGAACGCATCCAAACGAGATGGTGAGTCATCTTAGAGACAATCATGCCATGTCCTGGTACCGCCTCCACCCTCTTCTAACTGTCATTAAATGCCTGGCAGGTGTGTTAGGACAGATAAATAATAATAACAATAGTCAACATGCACCAGGCCCTGTTCTTGATACTTTGTATATATGTTGACTGATTTAATTGTCACAATAACCCTGTGAGACAGGGCTGTTATTATCGTTATCCCATTTTACAGATGAGGGACTTGAGACACAAACAGGTTAAATGACTTGCCCAAGGTTCCACACTAGGAAGTGGTAGAGCCGTGAGTGACTCTGCCCAGGTGGTGTCTACCTGTGTGCTTTACCACTCTGCAGTCCTGCCTCTGAAACCTACTGACAGCTCCTATAAAGCAGGAAGAACTCACATCCGTAGTCATTTGCCCACACCTTGGTACAGATGGTGGAAACTGAACAGCAGGCCCCCTTGATACACTCTACTCAGACAATGAGCTCCTGCCAGAGCATGGACTTCCTTGAAACTTCCTCCATCCCCTTCAAGGAGGCGGCAGAGTCTCCCATGGATAGCTGAGGAGGGTGGGAGGGTGAAGGGCACGTCTTGGACCAGGCTTTGACTCTGGGCTTGATTTTCCTCACCTCGGCCTCTTTGCTGAGCTCTATACAATGTAAGCCCATGGTTTCTAGGATCTTCACAGGAACCTCATATTCTGTGTCCAAAACTCCCTTCCTGCCCCAGGGGGCCCTTCCTCCTGCCCTGCCCCTCAGCTCCCTGCTCCCAGAGCTCCACTACTGCCGAAGCAAGGAGCCTGATACCCCACATTCCTCCTTCTCCCACATCCAGCCAGCATAGTTGGATTGATTCCACCCATGAAGCATCTCTCCGTTATGCCCCATCCCCACTGCAACTGTTCTAGCCCAATAATGGTCTCTTCCAGTGTTTACTATATGCAGAATACTATGTGAGTCACTTTATCTTTGTATCCTCAGAACAATTCCTATTTGCGAGTGAGGAAACTGAGTCAAAGGGAGACAAAGTAACTTGCCCAGGGTCACACAGTTAAGTCGTACAGCCAGACTCAGGCAGTCTAACTGCAGAGCCCATATTCTTAAACACCACTGTGCTCCTGCCCCTGAGCACGACTCTCAACCTTGCCTCGCTCAGTCCTTGCTATGCAATGCCACAAGAATCTCCAAGGAATCTTTAATTCATTCAACAACATTTACTGTATGTGCTGGGAACTTTGCTGTAAACTGGAGAGCTAAAACTCAGCAGCAGACACTGTCCCAAAGCTTCAGGGCCTTGGGACAGTGTCTGTTTGAGGACCGCACCCCACACCACGTGCTCCCTGGTGGCCAGGTAGATTGAGGCAGAGACCGGAGATTCCAGCGCCCTACTAAGCAGGCTCACTACTGAGGCCCCACGCTTCCCTGGGCCTCAGTTTCCACCACTGTGCAAATGGCCCAGCATGGGCCTCTTCACCCCACTCCTGAGAGGGTGGAGAGGCAGTGGCCTTCCCAGAGTCTAGTGGAATTATCTTTTATCTCTCTAACACACCAATCTGATTGGCTGTCTCTCCCCAGCACAGTGTCTGGCATAAAGTTGATGCTTAATGATTACGGGAGGAAATGAAATGAACAAGACAGTGGGTAGTCAGCTGGTGCCTACTGTGGGCCTGCGGCCTCAGCAGGGTGCAAGGAGAGGAGCTGGTTTCCCAGTTCATTTTCAAGGCTGTTCATTCCATCTCTCTCCCTCCTTGCTGCTTTCTTGTCTCCTACTCATTTCTCCTCTATCCTGCGCTGCCAACTTTGTTCACAAGGCTCAGCCATGACTTTGGAGGGGGATTGGTGGGATGGAGAGAGGGCGGGTGGAGGAAATTTTCACTAATTGGCCTCCCATGGGACTGCAGGAAATGGCCAGCTTGGAAGCCAACTGGGAGATAAAGCAGTAGGGGATATAAGGGCTGTGCCAGGACCTTGGCCTGCGCCCGGCCCTCCCACAGCACCCCTAGGAGTCAACCTTGGCTATGGTTGGTCAACAGTGCGAAGAGATTGAACAGCGAGCCAGGTACCCTCCTCTGGACTCTACCTCCAGGCTCTGCATGGCTTAAGGCCCTCTGACTCTTGCCCAGGCTCCATCCCCCAAGGGCGGTTCCAGTTCAGTTCCTCCATCTCCTCCCTGCCCATTCCTGGGGTAGGGGGGCAGGCAGGGGCAGGGAGCTGGAACGTTGATGGGCGCCAAGCCAAACCTTCCTAGGACTAACAGGTCACAACCAGTCACTCATGAGCCGCTTATGAAAGTGATGGGAGGGTGAGGAGGGATGGGCTCCTGCCTCCTCTAGGAGGGCAATGTGGGCAAGCTGGGACTCACAGTCAGGACTGGGACCTGCATGAAGTTGCAGAGGCGAAAGCAGGAGCTCCACACTCTCCTGGAGGCACATTCCTCTGGCTGGTGCTCAAGCTACCCGTGCATGGCAGAGACAAGGAAATAGTCGTCGAACAGACCTGTGGTGGTGATGCTGGGGTGGAGGGCAGGGACAGGGTGGGAGAAGCCAGAAGAGCAGGAGAAGACAGGCAGGGCTGGAGATGCCCCTGGAGGGAAGGGCAGCGGCCTGCCTCCTGGCAAATTTACTGTTACATGAATGTACAGAAATGAGTAACTGCTTTCTCCCCCCCCAATTCTGCTTCTCAAGTGGTGTTTGTGTGCTTGTGTGTGGGGTGTGTGTGTGTGTCCTGTGTGGGTCCCAGGAGGCACTTCATCTGACCTTGAGTGATCAGTGTTCTACAATGCCTGCCCCATTCCAGTTGTGGCCACTTTCCCTAAGAGTCACTTTTCTCCCCACCCCTGTATTCTGTTCTGGGGCTGAACACCCACACGACCTACTGCCCCCCACCCCTCCCCTCTTTCCAACTTTCCCAGCCTTCCCAAAACCCTTGTCTTAAGTGCTCCCATCTTCCAACTCATCCTGGACCCACGGCCTCTGTTCAGGACTCAAACCCTGTGCCCACTTTGTCCTTTTCTTTCAGAGTCTTGGCAGGTGTGACTGCAGGAGCCTGAGAGGGGTCCTAGGAGGGCCCTGGCCCCTGCTCAGGAGATGCCCCCTTCTGTCTCCCAGGCCCAGTCAGTCAGGCTGGGTCCAGAGCACTGGCTGGGGGCAGGGGGAGGATGTGGGTAACCAGGAAAGCAGGCTAGGGCTAAGGTCCCCTTCCCAGCATCAGAGCAGAGCCATCCCACCCCCAAATCCCACTCTGGAAGTGTTGGGGTCAGAGAGGAAACCAAAGAGGCCGAAGTTTTCCTGGCATCAGATCCACTGCCTATTTCCTCCCTTCAGAGAGAACCTGGTAAGAAATTAGGGGAGGGCAAAAAGACGGGGCTTTGGAGAGAGAAAGAGAAAAATGGGGTCCAGAGAGGGAAACAGAAAAGTGGGAGTCTAGAGAAGGAAACAGAAGTAAGGGAAAGCCTGCAGTTGTGCCTGAGAGGGAGCACAGACCCCCCTCAGGCCTCTCAGGGATAGGGAGGCAGCCCCACTGTTCTGCCTTCCCACCCCTCAGTCTCAGCCCCTCCTGCTCTAGCTGCTTTGCCTGCTTTGCCTCTAGCGGAAGTGGGGAGCCTAGTCCACCTAACCACACTGCAGGGCTGGCCCAAATCCTGACTTAATCTCCCCAACTGCTTCAGTTCTCCCCAGGCCCAGCCTCCTTGAGTGTCAGCTGAGGGTGCCTGCTGGGCCCTGGGGGCCAGGCAAAGTGGCAGCTTCTGGCCTGTCACTGCCCCCGAGTCTGGCTCTGTGCCTGCCTCAGGGCCTAGCCTGTGTCAGGCTTCCCCATGCAGAGCCTCATTTCCGCACCACAGGCCTGGCACTCACCACACTGAAATCAAAGCATTGCTCCATCCTCAGGGAGAATGTAAGCTGCCAGAGGGTGAGAGCCTCTCTGTTGTGCTCAAGGATGCTTGCCTTGGGTGGTCAGTGCCTTGTACATAGAAGGCCCTCAGGAAACGTTTCCTGCATTAATAATAAACAGGTTTCCCCCGCTCCTGCTATGGCTCTTTCCTACCTCCCTCTTAGCTTCCCCAGATCTGTCTTTCCCTCCTGGGGCCTGTCCACCCAGTTCTTGACCAATTCCCATTCCTCATGCTGTCTCAGTCCATCTCTTGTCCATTTCTTCCTCCTCCAGGAAGTGTCATGATATGTGGCCACTCCAGTCTCTCTAGGGTGCCATTCATGGACCCCCTGGTCTGGACTAAGCACAGGTGACAACCTTTATTTTATTTTATTTTATTTTTTTGAGACAGAGTCTTGCTATGTCACCAGACTGGAGTGCAGTGGCGAGATGTTAGCTCACGGCAACCTCTGCCTCCTGGGTTCAAGCAGTTCCCCTGCCTCAGCCTCCCAAGTAGCTGGGACTATAGGCATGTGCCACTATACCCAGCTAATTTTTTGTATTTTATAGAGATGGGATTTCACCGTGTTGGCCAGGATGGTCTCCATCTACTGACCTTGTGATCCGCCCACCTCAGCCTCCCAACATGCTGGGATTACAAGTGTGAACCACTGGGCCCGGCAGACAACCTTATTTCTAGTCTTTTACTTCACCCAGTGCCCATGCAGCTGGACTAGAGGGGGACCCACATGCACTGATGAAAGCTCCATGGTGACTTTCTCATTCATTAAAGCCAGTTCTCAAACTCAAATCTAAAGGGCAAATATTGATGAACGCCTCTGCCAGGCTTTTCCCTCGGGGAGGAGCTAATGCCCTCCCCTCCTGCCCTCAAGCCTTATTCTTCTCTCACTCCTCACAGTGCTGCAACCTGCCTTTCTCCAGCCTCTGGCAGCTTCCAAGAAGTCAAGGAAGTCAATCAGCCCCATTTGCCTCCATGCCCGAGTCTCTGTGGAGGTGAACTGCAGCCTTTCTCCACCCCACCCTCCCATCCAGCAACGGCTCCCTCGGAAAAAAGGGAAAGAGAACCAGAGCAGGTTCCTGTGATGGAGGTTGCTGGAGAACACCAGGAGACAGTGGCAGGCCTGGGCCCAGCTCCCTCACGCTGCTCTCCCCAGGCAGCTGTGACTGTGATCCCCCTCCCCTTCCCCGACCCCCCAGGCCACCTGCCTCTGATGCTTTTTTAGCTCCTGAGCTCAAAGACCTGCTGTTTCATCCTGTCCTCCGCACAGACCTCTAGGCTGTCAGTGGGCAGGCAGAGGAAGTGAGGTCTCAGCGAGAAGCCAGACTGAGCGGTTTCACTCTAGCCCTGAGAATTCAGGAGAACCCCTTCTAAAGGGGCAGAAGGTAGCCCTAGCCCTGGGGAGCAGCATTTGGGGGTCGAAGGTGACCCCTGAATTTGAGTCCTTCCTGCAACCTCAAAGCTAGAATGTATGGTGATGGGGCCAGCTCCTCCCTGGAGCCAGCCACCTGCTGCTGCTGTCTAGGACAGCCCTTTCTGCTCTGTGGTCTATAAGCCTGACCTCAGGAGGAAGGCAAAGCTGCAGGAGGTGGGCCTGGGTGGGTAGGATGGGGAGAGGAAAGGAATCTACCTCTGTGTCAGGCACAGCCTCCGGTTGCCACAGCCAGAGCCCTCAGCTGTGAACTCCACAAGGGCTGGGGGTGGGCAAGGGGACCACATAAGTCCTGGGGGGAATCTTGTGGAACTCACTGCCTATGTACACAAGCTACTAGCCCAACCTGCAAAGCTGTCTGAAGGCACAAGGTTGGGGAAGGCTGCCCCCTAGAGCCAGGTTCAAAGAATTCTTTATGGACATTCGGCCGTGCTTTTCTTTGTGTATTGAATGAATATTTATCGAGTTCCTACCTAGGCACCTGGTATTATACTAAGCACTGGGAATACAGAAGTGATCAAGGCAGGCATAAAGTGAGTAACTATTAGTTTGCCCTATGTTGAGGGGCTTTCTGGAATGTGGAACTTTTTGTGGTAAAACTGGAAAAGTTCCTGGTAAATCAGGACGAGTAAATCACCCTGAGATAAGCCCCTGCCTTCCTGGAGATTATATTCCAATAGAGACAGCAGGAGTAGGGGTGGAAAGGATAAATACAAGTTCTTGTCATGGTAAGTGCTGTGGAGGAAACAAAACAGAGCAAAGAGCCCTCTGAGGAGGTAATTTTTTTTTTTTAAGGGAGTCTTGCTTTGTCACCAAGGCTGGAGTGCAGTGGCGACAAAGCAAGACTCCTGCCCTCTGCACAGACCTCTAGGCTGTCAGTGGGCAGGCAGAGGAAGTGAGATCTCAGCAAGAAGCCAGACTCCTCTCTGAGATTGCAGTGAGCTATCTCAGCTCACTGCAGCCTCCGCCTCCCAGGTTCAAGCGATTCTCCTGCCTCAGCCTCTGGAGTAGCTGGGATTACAGACACACGCCACCACGCCCAGCTAATTTTTGTATTTTTAGTAGAGATGGGGTTTTACCATGTTGGCCCGGCTGGTCTTGAACTCCTGACCTCAGGTGATCCTCCCACCTTGGCCTCCCAAAGTGCTGGGATTATAGGGGTGAGCCACGGCACCCAGCCGAGGAGGTAACATTTGAGCTGAGATTTGAATGATGAGAGATCAATCTTATAAACACTCAGAGAAGAGTTTTCCGGGCACAAAGCATAAAAAACCTGGAACACGAACATGTGTGGCACGTTTGAGAAAAAGAAAGAAGGCCAATGTGTCTGAAGTGAAATGAGCAAGGGTGAGTAAGGCTGGTTGGAATTGACAAAACCCTTATCAAAGATTTGGAGGCTATTGGAGTGATTGAAGCAGGGGAGTACCGTATTCTGGTTGTTATTTTTATCTATTTATTTAAAAATTTTTTTTCTTCTTGAGACGGAGTCTCATTCTGTCACCCAGGCTAGAGTGCAGTGGTGTGATCTCGGCTCACTGCAACCTCCACTTCCCAGGTTCAAGTGATTCTCCTGTCTCAGCCTCCTGAGTAGCTGGGATTGCAGGCGTGTGCCACCACACCTGGCTAATTTTTGTATTTTTAGTAGAGATGGGTTTTCACCATGTTGGCTAGACTGGCCTCGAGCTCCTGACCTCAAGTGATTCACCCACCTTGGCCTACCAAAGTGCTGGGATTACAGCTGTGAGCCACTGCACCCAGCCATGGTTATTATTTTTAAAAGATTGCCCCAGCTTCTGGGTAGAGAGTAGATTAGAGGGGAAAGAATGAACAGAGGAGGACCAGTTAGGAGGCTGCTGCAGGTACGCAGGTGGAGATGATGGTGGCTGGACTAGGGTGGCAGAGGGAATGGAGAGAGGACAAGGCAAACCCAACTGTATTTTATAATGAATGCATTTGATGTAGGAGCGAAGAACAGGGGGGACTCAGAGATAACACCTAGGTTTGGGTCTGAGCCACAGTAAACAAGGACATGCCCCAGGGACATCAGAGGTCTCTCTGCATGGGGATTAAGAAGAGAGGAGGAAGCCCTGACATGTCCAATAAATTCATTCATCTGGAAGATGGCTCAGTAGGTGTATCCCTGATCTAGCATTGTGGGAGAAGATATGTTTGGAATGTGCCTTTTTCGGGGAGTGAGAAAGGAATGTCAGCAGGCAGGATGTCTGCAGATGGGGAGTTAGAAATCTGTCTTAGTATTGGTGGGACCCAGTTCAAAAGAGACTTCAGAGGGATTGATGCTTTAGACGGGTCATCTATATAGGACCTGTTTAGATGACCATCATGGAATGAGGGATGATGTAAGAGGGTAATATGGTTACCTGTAACAAACAACTGAGCTGTAACAAAGCCACTGAGATTTCTCACTCATCTTGTATAGTCCAGTGAGGGTCTAGGGACCAGGGGTAGCTCTGCTCCATTTGTTCATTCAAGGCTCTAGGTCCTTTCCATTATGTGGTATTGCTATATATGGCCTCTAAAATCATCACAGAATGGGAAGAGGGAATGCAGGGTGTATGGGAGATTTTTTAATAAGTCCAGCCTAGAAATGGCACACATTGCTTCTGCCTTCATTCCAGTGTTCAGAAATTGATCCCATGACATCCGCTTAACTACAAGAAGCTGGGAAGTGTAATTCTAATTCAGGAGGTCCTGTGCCCAGAAAGAGACATATAAATGTTGGCGTGTGTTGCCGATTCACTAGAAGTTTCTGCCACAGGCAGGGAGAATGGCTGTGCATCTTGTAGAGGTCGAAGTGGTGTCCATCCTGGACTGGGATGGGAGTGTGCTCTCTGAGAATGCCTTGAAGGAAGCTGATATGAGAAGGCGTGTGTGTGTGTGGTGCACACCCGTGTGCTTTGTGGCTCAACAATCATTCCATTCTTTCCCATCCTCAAGGTCTTTCACTGGATAAGATCTTAATTCCTTTGTACCTTATCACCGAAATAATCTTGTGAATGTTTTGTCCTCTACTGTTTTCCCCCATCAAATCTAACTGGATATTACGGTCTAATCTTCCTAAGACTTGGCTTATTTCATGTAATCCCTGTTCAATAATAACAATAACAATATCAACAACAGCAGCAGTAATTTGTTGAATTACTATACTGAGCACTTTGACTGTAGTATCTCATTATCTCAACCTTTGCAACGAGCCTGTGATGTATCAGCATCATTCCCTGTGTACAGGTGGAGCGGCAGGAGTCCTGAGAGGTTCTAGCTGTTTAACACAGTAGCCACTAGTCATGTGCAGCTATTTAAGTTAATTAAATTAAATTTAGATTAATTTAAATTAAATGCATTAACTTTAAACTAATTTAAATGAAATACAATAAAAAATTCAGTTCTGCCATCACACTAGTCACATATCAAGTATTCAATAGCCACCTGTGATTAGTGGCCACCATTGTGGAGGGTACAGATGTGGACTGTTTTCTTCCAGGCAGAAAGCCGATTGGATTGGGCAGCTGTGCGTTAGGGCAACTTGCCCAGGGTCACAGCAAATGGTGAAGCCGGGCCTCTCGCCCTACCTGAGTCTGCCACTCTGCAGTAGCTCTTTTTTGCTTCCACAATTTTAAAAACGCTGGAGCCTGGCCTTAGCCTTCTACAACCTGGGCCAGTACTACTATTACATAATTATTTCTCTTTCTTTTCTTGCACAATCTCACCTTCCAGCACAGCAAGCTTGCTCACTGCTCTCCCACACTCCTAATGTGTCCACTCATAATATTTGTGCTCTCCTCCTCTGTCTGCTCAGCTAATGAATTCTCCCCTGACCTTTAGGTTCAGATAGCCAAAATAGCTCTTGAAGCAGTTTTGTCTCTTCCATTCTCACTGCTTCCGCCTGAACCAACTCTGAAGCCTCTCATTGTCTCTTGCCATGGCAACCTTCTGCTGCTACTAATTCTACTTCCTGACATTTATTGAGAACCTACCGTGTGCTAGGCACTCTTCCAAGCAGTCCTCACAACACTTGGAAGTAGGTATTACTGCAGACTCCATTTTAAAGACATGGTAATTAAAGCACTGTGGAGTGAAATTTGTCCAACTCATCTCTCTGCTTCTAGTCTTTCACAGGCAGTTCGCCTTCACTCTATTACTCTTGCCATAGTTCTAAAACACAGAATTGTAACTTCTCTCCCCCCAGCCCCAGGGGCAGGGGAACAGCCTTCTTAACAGAGTATGCAAGGCCCTTTATGTCCAGAACCTTTCTAACCTCCAAATCCGCTACTCTACCTTCAAACTTGACATTCCAGGCACAAACGACTTACAGTCTCCCAAAGCCGCCACGTTATTTCTTCCCTCTGGGCCATCACACATGCAGTTCCCACTGCCTGGAACGCCCCGTCCATCCCGGCCAGCTCTGAAGCCATCCATGGCAATGCACTCCCGACCACCCGGCTTGCTCCCTCCTCCACAGGAAGAGCACTTACTCCCCACCAGCAGCTCCTAAAGGAGAGCCGGTGCTGAGCTCACAGCCTTAACATCACTTCTCATTAAAATACACACTCCAAGATTCAAATTTTAATAGGCAGGGGTGGGGTTGGTTTTTTTATTTTTTATTTTTAAAGAAGCTCCTAGGTTATTCTAGAGTGAGGTAAATGTACTTAACACTGCTTTACATCCCTTGTTTGGCAATTCAGCACACCCTGTCTAGATTCCTCGTGTATAATTGCTTTTGTTCTTATTTTATTCTTACCTTCATTCACTCACACTCATCTATTCAACAAACATTTATTTATTTATTTATTTAATTTATTTATTTATTTATTTTTTTGAGACAGAGTTTCGCTGTTGTTGCCCAGACTGGAGTGCAATGGCACGATCTCGGCTCACCGCAACCTCCGCCTCCTGGGTTCAAGCAATTCTCCTGCCTCAGCCTCCCAAGTAGTTGGGACTACAGGCACGCACCATCGTGCCCAGCTAATTTTTGTATTTTTAGTAGAGACGAGGTTTCACCTTGTTGACCAGGATGGTCTCGATCTCTTGACCTCGTGATCCACCCGCCTCAGCCTCCCAAAGTGCTGGGATTACAGGCTTGAGCCACCGCGCCCGGCCTCAACAAACATTTATTAAGTGGTTATTATATGCCAGACACCCTTTTAGGTGTTGGTGTGAACAAAACTGGCAATGTCCCTGCTCATGAAGTTTATGTTCCAGAGGGGGTGTGGTGGGTGGGATAACGGCCCCCAAAGATGTCCACAACCTCATCCCAGCACCTGTGAATATGTCATCTTCCATGGCAAAGGGATTTATTTTGTTGACGTGATGAAGTTCAGGATCTTGAGATGGGAGGTTATCCTGGACTATCCCTCAATCACAGGGGTCCTTACAAGGGAAAAGCAGGAAGAGGGAGTTAAGGGACGTGGGTAGCCTTTGCTCTAGAAGCTGGAAAAAGTGGCTGAGCACGGTGGGCTCATTGCCTGTAATCCCAGCACTTTGGGAGGCCGAGGTGGGCAGATCACCTGAGGTCAGAAGTTTGAGACCAGCCTGGCCAACATGGCAAAACCCTATCTTTACTAAAAATACAAAAATTAGCCGGACATGTGGTGGAAGCCTGTAATCCCAACTCCTCGGGAGGCTGAGGCAGAAGAACTGCCAGAACCCAGGAAGGCGGAGATTGCAGTGAGCTGAGATCACACTACTGCACTCCAGCCTGGGTGAGAGTGAG